GGTAAAGTTGTCAATTTTATATCAAAAATCCAGTCAAAAGATATCATGCAAAATATGTTTCGTTCGTTCCACAGGCGTTGCGAGAGATTGGCAAGAAACCAAATTATTTCGTCGAACAATATGGAAATTGTGTTGGCGTGAATCGTGATGGTCCTTCTGAGGATTTAGGAATAGTTTACGACGCGGAGGATACTGTCAGGAACAGTTTGGTGACGCTCGAAGTCAGTGCTGATGATATGATATTAATATACAATAGGTATGTTCGGGGTTGGTCCAGTCGGATAGATCGATCTGAAGACAGTGCATCGACAGTCTTACGCTAGAGCTAAACTGTCATGTGTTCTTTTAGAGCTAATGGTGTGATAGTTAAATCATTTGCAACGGATTTTGATGCTCTGTCTCAAGATGGGAAGATGACTGTCGTTGCGCAGAACACAGGCCTTGTCACAGCTGACTTTTATGTACGTCAGTGTTTATTTAGATATCACTACCGAAGAGTAGAATCTCTTTACAACCCTACACCAAACCTTTTCATGTTACAGTTCAACACCCATAAGGCCGCAATAATGTGTATTTCTCTTTAACTTAAAGGTCATCTTTTCTGGCTGCTCCAAAGGTATCTATCGTGCTGACGAAAGAATGGCGTCGATAAATCCAAAAGCGACTCATGTGTTTAACTACAACATCAATGTGTACATGAAGAAAGGAAAACAGCACTTCTGTACAGGTATAGTAGTCTTCAAGGCGCATTGCGATCAGTGTGCGGTTGCAGGGCCGCCGAGAGAAATTGTGGGGCACGGGCGAAACTTTTTCTGGGGCTCTATGACGTCATAGTTTTCAATATCTGCGAGGCATAAAGTACTTCAAAGCGATGTTACAAACAAACTTTTTTACAAACAATATCAACATATCTTAAAATTCGACCATGGATGAGTCCGCCGGGAAATGGCATATTCGACCATGGTCGAGTCCGCTGGAAAATCACGTATTCGTCATTTTCAGGCTAATTCGACCATGGTCGAATTCGTCATTTTCCGGCCAATTCGACCGTGGTCGAATTCGTCATTTTTCGGCCAATTCGACCATGGTCGAATTAGTCGTTTTCCGGCGAACTCGACCATGGTCGAGTTAGTCGTTTTCCGGCAAACTCGACCATGGTCGAGTTAGTCGTTTTCCGGCGAACTCGACCATGGTCGAATTAGTTGTTTTCCGGCGAACTCGACCATGGTCGAGTTAGTCGTTTTCCGGCAAACTCGACCATGGTCGAGTTAGTCGTTTTCCGGCGAACTCGACCATGGTCGAATTAGTCGTTTTCCGGCGAACTCGACCATGGTCGAATTAGTCGTTTTCCGGCGAACTCGACCATGGTCGAATTAGTCGTTTTCCGGCAAACTCGACCATGGTCGAATTAGTCGTTTTCCGGTGAACTCGACCATGGTTGAGTTAGTCGTTTTCCGGCGAACTCGACCATAGTTGAGTTAGTCGTTTTCCGGCGAACTCGACCATGGTCGAATTAGTCGTTTTCCGGTGAACTCGACCATGGTCGAGTTAATCGTTTTCCGGCAAACTCGACCATGGTCGAATTAGTCGTTTTCCGGTGAACTCGACCATGGTTGAGTTAGTCGTTTTCCGGTGAACTCGACCATGGTCGAATTAGTCGTTTCCCGGTGAACTCGACCATGGTTGAGTTAGTCGTTTTCCGGCGAACTCGACCATAGTTGAGTTAGTCGTTTTCCGGCGAACTCGACCATGGTCGAGTTAGTCGTTTTCCGGCAAACTCGACCATGGTCGAATTAGTCGTTTTCCGGCGAACTCGACCATGGTCGAGTTAGTCGTTTTCCGGCAAACTCGACCATGGTCGAGTTAGTCGTTTTCCGGCGAACTCGACCATGGTCGAATTAGTCGTTTTCCGGCGAACTCGACCATGGTCGAATTAGTCGTTTTCCGGCGAACTCGACCATGGTCGAATTAGTCGTTTTCCGGCAAACTCGACCATGGTCGAATTAGTCGTTTTCCGGTGAACTCGACCATGGTTGAGTTAGTCGTTTTCCGGCGAACTCGACCATAGTTGAGTTAGTCGTTTTCCGGCGAACTCGACCATGGTCGAATTAGTCGTTTTCCGGTGAACTCGACCATGGTCGAGTTAATCGTTTTCCGGCAAACTCGACCATGGTCGAATTAGTCGTTTTCCGGTGAACTCGACCATGGTTGAGTTAGTCGTTTTCCGGTGAACTCGACCATGGTCGAATTAGTCGTTTCCCGGTGAACTCGACCATGGTTGAGTTAGTCGTTTTCCGGCGAACTCGACCATAGTTGAGTTAGTCGTTTTCCGGCGAACTCGACCATGGTCGAGTTAGTCGTTTTCCGGCAAACTCGACCATGGTCGAGTTAGTCGTTTTCCGGCAAACTCGACCATGGTCGAGTTAGTCGTTTTCCGGCGAACTCGACCATGGTCGAATTAGTCGTTTTCCGGCGAACTCGACCATGGTCGAATTAGTCGTTTTCCGGCGAACTCGACCATGGTCGAATTAGTCGTTTTCCGGCAAACTCGACCATGGTCGAATTAGTCGTTTTCCGGTGAACTCGACCATGGTTGAGTTAGTCGTTTTCCGGCGAACTCGACCATAGTTGAGTTAGTCGTTTTCCGGCGAACTCGACCATGGTCGAATTAGTCGTTTTCCGGTGAACTCGACCATGGTCGAGTTAATCGTTTTCCGGCAAACTCGACCATGGTCGAATTAGTCGTTTTCCGGTGAACTCGACCATGGTTGAGTTAGTCGTTTTCCGGTGAACTCGACCATGGTCGAATTAGTCGTTTCCCGGTGAACTCGACCATGGTTGAGTTAGTCGTTTTCCGGCGAACTCGACCATAGTTGAGTTAGTCGTTTTCCGGCGAACTCGACCATGGTCGAGTTAGTCGTTTTCCGGCAAACTCGACCATGGTCGAATTAGTCGTTTTCCGGCGAACTCGACCATGGTCGAGTTAGTCGTTTTCCGGCGAACTCGACCATGGTCAATTGCAGTGTACCGGTAAAATAATTTTAGAATCTCTTAAGTCGGAGGCCCCTTCAGGTTTTGGGCCCGGGCAAAATGCTTCCCCTGCCCCTCCCTCCCGGTGGCCCTATGTGGTTGACGTGTACACTTCATGAACATCTTCCACGTGTCTTGCAGTGCAACTTTACGATTCCCGGCGTCAACTCCAAGACACGACAAACGTGACTTTTAAGACTTTTACGCCTTGCGTGTGTCTTCATAATTGTATCTGTAAGGTAAGTGTTAAATCAGCATTTCACGGTGTCATGAAGTCAGTTTGAAATGACGGAGCTAGGAAGAGTTGTGCAAAGGGTGAAACAAGGAATTAAAAACATGTAAAATGGGTAAAATTATGGTAGAAAACCTCAAGATATTCTGAAATTTAAACTTCAGAAAAGACAACTACATGCAGTTTACTCTCTCTATTTCCTATTTTCCGAAGTGTAACGAGCTGGCTGCGGATGAAAACGACGACAACAAGGCGAGCATTGACGACTGTCAGAACGAAGAAGACTACGATCACGATTATGACGAAGACGGAGATGACGAGGACAAGGAAGACAGCCTGGTAACGAAGATCTTAAAGAGAGTCCGAGCTTTCTTCGACCCATTGCGAATCGTGCTGGCGGCGTTGCTGCTCTGCGGGATCATCAAGGCGATGATTGGTCGTCACTCGATCACCGTTGCGAAGTTGGGGCTCGGCGGTGTTCGTATGGGCGAGAAGGTTACGAGGAACGTTCAAGGGGTGGAAAAACTACTGACGTATGATGCAGCCATGAATCTTGTTGATACGACCAGGTGGGTTCACTTTAAAACAAATCAAACTATCCCCTCATTTTTCTACAGACGTAGTTCAAACTATCCTTGCTGAACTCTTGAACTCATCTTTATTTCAGCAACACTGTGGTGATTTTAAACCATTCGACGCGAGATTTCTTCATAAATATCCTCTTCTTTTACTTGCTGCCAATCATAGCGCTTCTAAAGGTCGTCTACTATGCAAAAGAGAATGGATTATTTAAACGGCAGGCGTTGCGATCAAGCAAGGATATAGAACAAGGGCTCTCAGACGTAAATGAGACGCTGTACGATAAGCAAACAGCAGTCACACAACAGACACCAAATGCCAGAAGAATAATTCCAAAGAAAACTCTAAATATGCAAGCAACTCCTAAGTTAACACTAAATAAGAAGTAATTTTATATGTTGAAATTATATCTCAAAGTAACGTGAATAGTCGATATCTTTGTTGTCTCTTCACTATGATATTATAGTACTGCGGGCTCTTGCCCAACTGACATCACGATTCATGTTTGTAGCAATCTGCAATATGATTTGAGTGGCGAATATAGTGCAGACTTAGAGGCAAGCATAGCATGCATGGAACTGCCCGATTGTAAGACTGCGAACTCCGGATTGCAAAATTGTTTGTACGAATTTAGGGAGACGTAACGCTCCTAAGATCTGTAGCAATTGTCAATTGATCAGTTGAAGAAAAACCCTCTTTGCCTGCAATGGCGGGCTGCTTTTGTAAACGTCATATTGCAAAACTCCATATATACATCTCATTGTATAAAAGAAACATTCTGCGGCAACGTGTCTATCGTATTACATGTAGTGTGTCTCACAGTTGTTCAAATGTCGACTAGCTCAAGAGATGAATATTCCTCTGACGGATTTCGTTCATATGACGATCTCCTGATCTACAAGTCTGTCATTTATGAAAAAAATGCACGCCCTTTCATTACGCCACCTAATTGCCAATCAGCAACCTAATTTTAAAAAGTGTGTAATCAATTCTTACCAAACCTATTTAAAAAAGTAGATAAGTTTACCTTTGTGTCCAAATGTATTGGCATTGTTCTTTTGAAATGAAATGTTTATTTCTTTTAATATTTTCAATTCTTGGCATTTATCGTGAGTTTCCATGTTGTGATGGTACAATTTTGTCGAAAAGTAAGATTACAATGTGTGTCAGAGATAAGAACAGGGATCCATTCAACGTGGTGGATGGAAAAAGTTGCGATAAGAAACTGGTCATCACGAAGTCCGTTACAGCTGGAGAGGTAGGAATGAAAGCTTTGAATGAAATATTTCTTGCCAATGCGTCGTGAGAGTTCACCAAATGAGCAACAAAATGTCCACTCTGTTGTTCATACATAAGCTAAAGTAAGTAAAGTTCACATTATGTGAATCTAGTTTTTACTTCTTCTTCTTCATTACAGAAAGAATCCGAGATGATTTATGTCAACGTCAGTAGAGTTCGAGATGAAGTGAATCGCGATGAAGCAAGACTTTACAATCCTTTTATCATAACAATCACATCCTCGCCAATGCATATCATTTATCCTTACACACTTGAAGGAGTATGTGGTCTTTTTAGACTGAGCCCGTTAAGTTAACGCCTGAGTGTATTTTATTCACTCATGAACCTGACATCTAACATCTAACCAAAACACTTCATGTCTTTTTAACCAGACAGTGAATAACAAGCCTTACGAGACATCAAAAAGGGAATATTGGTGTCAGGATGGCGCAGCTACCCATGATGCTGATGATTTTTCATGTAAAATTCAATATGATATCACAACGGGGAAAAGAATCTGGGATAGCCAGGTTGGTTTTATGCAGCCGGTAACGAGAATTATACAAGAGTAACTATAGGATCTATTGAGGGGATTGTGTTTTAGTCATAACTTAAAATAAACTTGTTGGAAGTCTTTTCTGAAATATATAAGCAGCCTGACATTTTTTGTTTAGTTTACCTTTTGGGAGCATGACTAGAAAATAGTTTTTCTGGTTCGAGAAAGATGGCAGGTTAAATTCACCGATGAATTCAAGTCCTCTTATTTTATCATCCAGGGTTTTTGCTGTCGTTGTTCGTTTATGGAAGATATGCATAAGAGTCAAGGTGGACGCTACCATCGTGGCAACACAGTGTGTGGCAATAAATTCCATATTCCACTTATCCATCAGTTGTTTAAAAACCGAAAAAGACAAAGCGCGCATTGTATGAATTATGATAATCTGTGGTATAATGTCCACAAGATTGGTGGTTACCGCATTTGGTTCAAGGTAAGTGTATTAACTTGTTACACAAAACGTTTGCCTCATTCAGTCTTGAACTCGTTGCTTAGAACACAGATCATATTTACTCTTACAACTGCAATGATGTTGAGGAAAAGTTCGAACTTTATGTGAAAGTTTTTTTATGTAATATCTTCTCGTTGAAGATATTCGTAAAAGCGTACGACTTGGTAGAGGAGGAAAGAGATGGAAAAAGGTACCAGAAGTTGGTTGATGGCGGTCAAATTGAGTTGAGCAACTTTAAAACATCAGGTCATGGAGTTCACGGGAGGGTAAGTGTAAATGAACGAGGAAATGCGAGGAAAGGTGAAATGTATTAAGACGAACAGCCATATATACACTTCACGTTTACAATATTGACTTATAACCTCACGACACAACTGGTTTACCAGTTGGTATTTTACCTTTATGCCGGCCGATATACCGCTATCATTGTTCATGTTTTTTGGCAGTTGTTGGCCTCGATGATTGGAATGTTTGAGTCAGACACACAGATATACAGTTTGACGGAAAGATACTTGTTCATCCCAGCCGGTGGTTCTAAGATCAACTGGCTATCACATCCACAGACGAGGGTGAGTTGGTGATAAGAACTCATGAATTTCAATTAATTTGTTTTCATATTTCTTTCATGTCTTTCTCGGCTATCACATCCTTTTTCACGCTCTCTTTCCCCAGAACGGTGCGAGAGATTTCATGATCATACCAAAAACTCTGGTGGCAATGAAAAACTCGATGGAGTCCTGTAACAAGATTGGTGTCAGTTTTACCGCATTTCGCATGCAAGGTGCTGGAATGGACGGACAAGACTTTGGGTGTCTTCAAAGAATGGGATGGTTAGCAAACTCATTCCTTTAGGATTGTCAGGTTACAGATACCAAAGAGTGCAATTAAATTTGAATTTTCCTTTTTCAGGTGTTTACATAATCAAGTTAAAGATTATTTTGAAATAGATGTGGTATGCTGGCTTTTAAATGTCGGAAGGCAGTCGTTTGCTATTCCAGCGCTAAAAAAGTCAAGCCATGGATTCCTTATTCAAAGTTTTCTTGTCTCTCTTTCCAGAAAAACCGTGAAAAAGGAAAACGACCACTCTACTTTCCAGAACGTTACGGAGTGGTTGAGGGAACCACCGATGACTTCAAAGAGGATGGAAGTTTCGCCTTAGTTTATAAAGCCGGAAAACTGGGCAATATTATGATTAGTTTAGAGATCAGTGCGGATGACATTGTTCTCATCTATAACAAGTAAGTCCAACTAAAAGATCTATCTTAGTTAGCCTTAGTAGCCAGGGAGCAGCGTGGGAAGTAAGTGAGATGAAACATGGATTATAACGTATATATTTAATCTGGTTATTTACAATGTCATATCAGGGCTGGTGGGACAATTGTCAAAGCGTTTGCAACCAATTTCGAGTCGCTCTCTCAAGATGGTCTGCTTCACGTTATCGTTCAAAACACAGGACTTGTTACCGCCGATTACCACGTAAGTTCTTCGTGCGATTGTTTTTTCATTGAAAAAGCAAAATAGATTCAACTTTACAGAAAAACGCATGAGAATATCCTCCATTGTTTGTGAAATCTTTTTGTTCATCATGGCTCTCACCAAAGCAATGAACAAAAGTCGTCTCAATTTCATGTGTTGTATCCAAGGTAACTATGAAACACTGCACACGGGGAATACGACGTAGTCCAGAAGAAAAAGCCTCAATCAATGCCCAGTCAGTTCATACTTTCACATTTCCACTCAGGACAACCGTTCATGCTTCGGGAAAATTCATGTGCACAAGTGAGGCGAACTATATGAGGCTGTTGGATGTATCTCGTAGTCAATATGATAGTCAAGGCTAAAATGGCCTTCCTTGTTTTTCTGTTTTAGTGAATCTTTGGGACTCTCGTCATGGTTTGCTGGACAGTGCCAACATTACATTTGAAACAACAACGGCTTGTGTGTGTTTACAATCTTGTTCCTGTGCGGTATGTCTTTTCCACTTCTAGATCTGTTTCAAGAGTCCGTCTCTCGTTTGTTCAATATTCCCACTGGCTATAACTGGACTAACTCAAACTATATTTTCATCCATTCGACTCCTAACCTGCTCTACTTTGAGATCATCTAAGAAGGGAAGCATACAATGCTTGACTTGTAAACTTTTGCAGACGAAAAACAACATGCATGTTGATGTGTTTTCCCTTGTAGTGTGTAGGGCAGGCGGACAGAGAAATGTGTATTCATGACATGGCGAAAGATGTCGTCGAGAAAGCCTTAGAATTAGACAACGTTCAAATACAAAAGAAGACCTTGGAGAGCGTGGAGAAAATTTTCGTTTGGGTCAACGACAATTTCTCGGCAATTGTAGACATTTTCACCAAGCCTTCGTTCGCACATTTCGTCAGTCTTTGGATCCTGTTTTCCCTCGTCTTCGGCCTCCTGAAAGCGAGGCTGGGCATGCAACCGGGGGGTTCACCGATTGCTTATTTTGGATGGTGGTGGGAACAGCCAACGGGGCAGAAGCTGTTTATAGATGACAACGGTGATAGAATAATGGGAAGTTATAACCAGGACGGAGATCTCATTGATCCATCTACGTAAGTTAGATGCAAGAGAGTTTCTCTTTGTTTGGTAATTCACATGTCAGTTTGCACGTCATTAAAATCATTTTTTTGCAGCGGGAAAGTCCTAAAAAGCGAGAAATCAGTTTTGTTTCTTGGCAATGTTCTATTCTTCTTATGCTTTATTTTTATCATTGGTGTCCATGCGGCAAAGTTTTACAAACTCTGGGAGGAAGAGAAAAAGGTAGGAAATGAGTTTGTAAGAGTTTGTAAAACTGGTGCGATGTATTAGGGCTGTTAGCACATAAAGCACAAACTGTAATTTTTATGAATAAGTTCATTAAACAGACGTTTTACTATGTCATGGCATCAAATATGTCTGGTAGAAATAACAACTTTATTCAATTTATCCCATAGCTTGCCTTGTCATTGTCAGACGTTGTGTTAACAGGAACCTCTGTCTACAGAAATTTCACAGATTACAAAATTGGGGAGACGTATTTAACAGTGAGTTTTTGAGGCGTTTGGTGCAAAATGTTTTCTGTTGTGAGAGCAATATCCATCATCTCATCCTTAGAATCCTGGTAACGAATTCAGCCTTGTTGGGAAACTGGAACGCGATGAAATGGAATACAAATTTATTGTCTCAGACACAATGCAGGTGAGTTAACATTGCAGATGTTTCTAGATAGTAGACGTTTCCGTAGGTTCCTTGATGAAGTTTTCAACTCTCATATTAAGTTCACAACAACTGCATAGAATTGAGGTTCACTCTTTCACGAAGGGATTTTATATAGTGTGTTACAGTCTTTTAGTCGTTTTATGATTATTCATTTTTTAGTTTCTTGAGATCGTTAATGATGAAATGCTACTTCTGACACCCGCGATCCCGTTCAATCCTGAGCCCTTCGCAGAAACATTCACAGAGGCGAAAGTATTTGAAAAAATCACACTAGAGCCGCAGCACGTCTGTCTTAACGAGGAGATTGAGTTCGAGTTTTATGACGATCACACGACATTGACTGGGGACGAGGAATCGACAAGCAGGTACATCACGAAGGATGATGACATCATTGACGCTCAAAATGTGTCTGCGGGTTCACCGGCCAGCGACCTCCCCCCTGAGCTACCGCCAAAAGACTATTCAAGACACGATCTTGACAACGAGGAGGTTTATGAGGAGCCTGTGATACCATATGGTAGTCCAGTTTATGAACACCATCCTTCGTTAAGACGCAACCAACTGGATTAGTGGATCACAGGCTCAAAGCTACGATAGTATTAAGAACTCGCGTAAAATGACAGATATTGAAACGAATGTAGGTATAATTTGTGTTATATCAAGGTAAAGTTGAATTGGACCAGTTAAAGGTTTTCGACCACACCTTGTGTCAATGGGCTCGTACACACCATCGTCACTATAAGTCTACGACACTCAAAATATTTCTTTCTAAACTGTTCTTCCTAAGGATCATCTCTTATTGATCCAGTGTTACCAGAGGGGAAAAGACTGAGCTAAACTAACTTTATTTATACAGGAGGGCGTTATCCATATTCCTAGGGGTTCACTTTAGTAAGGGTCATTGCAAAATCTTACTGTTCATTTTACTGTTCACTATAAGCTGTATAACAATAAGACAGAGTCTTCTGTCGACGACATTCCGATAAACCGATTGTGAGACGAACAATGAACGTCGTCAGAAACGTCAGAACTTTGACTCGTGAGAAAGAAGACTTGTTATGTCATATGGAAGCATTTGACAAGAATCGAACGAACACTAGACGAATTTGAAGTATTTGACAGCAATAATGTGGGGCGAGAGAATATAAAAGCAATATTTTATTGGTAAGTGCGACCCATTTCAAAAATTTACATTTTCCATAGCGCATATATATGGAGGCCTCAGTTAAAACTATGTGACAGTTGACAATGCTGGATTGCTACAGCCTGCAGAGCTTTAGTTGTCAGTCAAAGTCAAAGTAAAAGTCAATATCTTAGTCAATAACAAAACAAATGTACATTTTTTGACAGAGGAAATAAATCGTGCCAGATAAATGAGAGAGTGCTAACATCGTTCAGATTCGTACTTGAAACACGACTGATCTTGATGAAGTTGGTGGGTAGACGAGTTCAGCTCCTGAATAATTGATACTAAAAAGAAAAGTCACCAAAGATTGATCTTCATGTCAAAAGATATTCTGCAGGTCAGTCAAGGGTAATGAGGATTATATATGGACAATTTATCCCTGTAGCTCACCCTGTTCTCTCTTTCGTCCTTTCTACTTCTGAGTTGGCTATGCCAAGAGTGCACTTCATTGGCTGACCTGAAATTCAATAGTCTGTTGTCATAAAGGAAATTTGTAAGGGTAGAGTGCTGGGGAAATATGATTGGATATTAGTCTTCTATAGTTTCTTACCATCCAACATCCGGTTATGATATTTCTGATATGCACTCTCTGCATCTTTTGCATTTGCAAATACCACCTCTGCAACAGAGTTCTCCATCTTGACACTTACTAATGGACCAATTGCACCAAACAACTCCTGTTTCAAGCAAAATATTTTAGACAATAAAAAAACATATGGTAGATTCTCAACTCTGTTGCCTTGCTTACCGCAATATCTGCTTGAATCACACGCGAATGAAGATTTGTTACCACAATCTTTGTTAACCTTTTCTGTTCCAAGAAAATTACGTATCTTATAAGAATGGTGTGAATATAAAAAATGAAAGCAAAACAAATATAACAGTTGTTTAATATTTACATTATTCTGAGCAACACGCTTGGCTGGGCTTTGTCTAACTAACGATGGCCTTTCCTCGGTTAACGATTTGAACGATAAGCTGGGACTCGACGTCCTCAAATCTTCTTCCATATTTGACAGTCTTGATGAATATAAATCATTTCTTAATGTCCGTCTTGGGGTTGCCTCTGGTTCAGGTTTCTCTGTTTTGCTTATGCTGTTTGATGGTGTAACAATCTTCAAGGTATCTGACGATACAATGGCTTTTCGGCAGAGTTCTGGTCGTTTTGTAGTGATTCGAAGTCTGCCGCTGCTCAGGGATAATGTACGAGTGTTACTCCTAGTAGTTGATCTGTCTTTGAGATTTGTTTTTTTGACACCCTCTGTTTTTCCCAGCATATCTTTCAAAGGCATCAGCCTACGGATTCTGGCTTTTGTGTTTGTGCTGGACGCTTGCTTTGGCCTTCCTGAGGCTGAGTAAAGATTTGAGACTTTGCCAATCCTTCCCTAGATATGAAATAGATATAGCAACGTAATCTGAGACATCTCGTGGTCAGTTCACGTGGAAATATAAACAATTACAGGTCATCCTCTATAACAGCACTGCCTGATTTACATATGCGCAAATTTCATACACCATTACGGAAAATTGTAAGCTAGTCAATGCCTAACACACCATGTATACAAGGATATATATATAAAAGTACCCTATAAACCTACAGGCTACGATCCATATGTATAAACTGTGTTAAAACAAAACAAACGTTAGCAACAACAAAAACAACGGGTAATCCACACAGAATTACCTTGGCTGAGCCTTTCTGTTTCAGTACGTCTCTTGCGTCGCGAATTCGTCCCGTTTTAGCTTTAGTTGTAGTAAAATTACGCCTTCCTAGCCTGCTTTTAACATCTTTCTTCCTTGTGCGACCCACCATCTTGAAATTTGAAGCGTCCTCTTGGCACACCCGATTCGCATTAATTCGCTTGTCGCTTTTGTCGTAGTAATAATGTCGTACTCCAGTGCATGAATTGTCTATATAGTTCAGTGACGAAATTAAAGAACAGGACATGAAGGAGTCGAGGAGATGATCCCCGTTTTCTAGAAATCAAAGTGTTTGTCGGAGGTGTTTTTTTAAAGTGAATTATAAAGCATACGGTTTTTTCTTGGAGCCAGTTTAGAGGTATGGAAATCGAGATTTTGTTATAGGAAAACTCCTAACGATAAATTCCGTATAATCGAGCAAGCAGAATAGCATAATATTTTGATCTTTTAGACGACCTCATGAACCGGTTGTCAAATATATTGACAATATTATGATGTTAAACTCGGTGATATTTCCGGATGTGAAAAAATATAACAGAAGCGTTTTAAGAAGATAAACCATTATGGATTTAGAAGAAGCGAAAAAGCGGTCAACCTATTCGGTAATGTATTGTTCTCAATGTTTTTTAATAATAGCCAAACTCATTGCCGGAGGCTAGAAGCATATTTGGACAATCGTCTTCCTCTTTAAATTGTGTCGAATTGTCCTGCATGTATCGGGAAAGGAAACCTCTATTACAAAATATTCAGGATGAGATATGAAAGCATTTGACTGTAGTGGATTGAGGAAAAATATAATGAAAGGTTTAATAATCATATCCACATGAAACAGCTTGCATAACTCTTATACCCACCGTTATAACTGACAGCTAAATCATTTGGCATTAGATAATTAAAGAGTGATATGCCTGAGTGGTTTGCTAGTTGGTAGGTTTATTTTGCCCTAATCCTCAGTGACCCATGCACAGTAAGCATGTTCTTAAACCTTCATATCTTTCAGACAACTATGGAGACAAGTTATGGTGCTAATTCAGCCACTACATCTGCTCGTGCAAGAGGAAGAAGCTTTCAAGAAGGAGAATTCCACTCTCCACCTGGTTCAGAGAAGGTCTGCAGATTTGAAGACCTTGCCACTGAAATATGATTACCAATACTCAATCTCTACCAATGATTAGGTTATATTGATCTTTAATGGCCCTAAACCTTTGTTTTGCATAGAATCGTCAGTCATTCACAGAAGACTCCATGCGTTGGCAAAGACGGCATTCGAATGTTTCAGCCTGTTCATCATATCCTTCACTAAGCAGTAATCTGAGTAACTCTGACAGTGATAAAGGACACAAGGTATCCTTGCATGTAACATGATCAACTCAACACCCAAATATTCATATACTAGTCTGTGTTTTACTGTAATCAATATATGCTTCATCAAAGAGAATCTTTTTCAGCAGGAGATTGTTGTCTTTGCTGACAAGCCTTCTGAGAAATTGTTTTGTATGATTTGTTCCGATGTCTTCCATGATCCTGTGATCACTTCATGTGGAGTAAGTTTAAATTTCCATTCAACTGCACACCACTTTTAACGTAATACTTGAGCATGAAAAAAACCATGTATCTTGTTTTGTTAGTTCATGTATCTTGTTTTTCCAACTCTTTTTCTAGCATTCATTCTGTCGTAGCTGTGTCTTACTACACAAGGTTGAACATTGTCCTGTTGACAACAGTAACCTGGTTGTTGTTGTTTCAAACTTAGCGGTATGATATATTGATACAACATGTTTATACTTTAATTGAATATCCGTAGTGCAAATTGTAGTCCAACTCTCAAACATTTCTAAATCATTTCCACCTAAAACCACATTCATTCAGGTGTTGGAACAGATTGGTGAGCTATTGGTTCATTGTAAATATGGCTGCATGCCTTCTGCGACAGAGGAAGGAAAATATGAAGTCAATTCTGCAGGTAAATAATTGTAATTTCAAACTACAAATTGCTTATAATGTTACTTAATATAAACATTTCTGTTATACAGGTTGCCCAGTCAAAGTAAAACTGAATTCAAGGCAGTAAGTGTCCATCATTCAAATTATTAAACTCCAGCGGAGACCTTAAAGTGTCCTTGGAATCTAATAATTCTGTTGTTTTCCAGGGAGCATGAACAAAGCTGTCAGTATGCTCCAATGCAATGCCCTAACAGCACTCTTTGTCCTGCTGTTTTGAAAATGGTACCGTACATGTTTTCCGTAATAAACACTACTTTTCGTCCTGCAAATGATTTGCACAAGTCTTGGAAGAGTGGTTAAAAATGGCATATTGTATTCTGTTTAGAATCTTGAGGACCACCTTCAACACTGCGAACACATTAAGTGCATGCATTTTAAATATGGGTAAGACCTTTGTTGTAATATTTTAAAACTGAAGAAAATAGAGAGATTGCAGTTATGTATGTGGACTCTGTGCCTTTCTAGATGTAATTTTGAGGGAACTGATTCTGAAGTGCAAGAGCATTTAAATACATGCAAGTTTGAACCAATGAAAGTGAGCAGTATTTTTGAGATGCATTTTATGCTTTGAGTTATTTTTTTGCTTTTGAATTAGGGATTGTCCTTTGTACAATCTCATGTGAACATCCTGAACATCTCTTTTCTATCCTTCTTTAGGAATTTTTACAACACTCGGCAGATCAGATAGAAGACCTTCAAACCGACTTGAAAAATAAAGATCAGGTTGGAATATTTGCCTGAACGATTTGGAATTCAAAAATGATTCTAGAGTTGTATTTTTCTACTTTAGGAAATCACATTTCTGAGATCAATGTTGGTTAAAATGACAGAAAGGATTGAACGTGTTGAAAAAACTGTTGATATCCGACTGGGTAAGAACGAGTACCACCAATTCGTGATGGAAATTATCACGGGATATACCTGATCACTTTTTTTTAAAGATTTCCTTGATGAAGGACATACTAAACTGTCATCAGAAATAATGGAAACCAGAAGAGCGATGACGAAGTTGAAGGTAGTGTCGCATCAGGGAATATTTTATGATATAATACAGTAGGAATTCTTTATCAAAAATTACATGTCATTTCTATTCTTTCAAGGACGACATTTCCGACGTCGAAGTGCGGTTATGGGGAGCTGGATGTAAGTCGAAGTTTGATGCATTGCTAAATATTTCTCCAAGAAAATTAATCCAAAACTTGCTCAAAAAGAAGCCAAACAAATTACGTTCGTTTCATCTATTTTCCAGCGTTCGACATCTATCCATTGTTCAAGTGCCGAGGAACGTTTGTTGGTCACCAGGCAAGTGTGCTACAATCTTTTCTTTCCATTCGCTGAGGTGAAAATACTTCTAGCATCATTGGTTTTACGTTCTTTTCTTTGCACCTCAAACAAACTTTAGGGTCCAATTTGGGCGTTGTGTGTCTCTAATGGTGAATGGCTGTACAGTGGGTCGTCTGATAAAACAATCAAGGTGAGCTAAGTTGCCTTTTTGAAGTCGTTTTTGGTTGAACACACCGTAGAAACAGTGCTTATTGATTATTATCATGTTTCTCAGGTGTGGGACACTCAAAGCACATACAATTGCGTGAAGACAATGGATGGACACGCTGGAATCGTCCTTACCCTCTGCTCTGACGGGTAAAATAACCATTGAAATTATATTTTATTCTGTCTTCTAGAGGTTGATACCTCAATTCTAAATGTACTTCGATAATTTTCGTTTAGAAAACGATTGTATAGTGGTTCATCAGATTGCACAATAAACGTAAGTCATACTAAGTATATTTTATGTCTATACTTTTCTCGTTGCTTGTCAATAACCAATACGCTGTTGTAATTCCCCGCTGTTTCGTTTACAGATATGGGATTGTTCATCTTTGGAGTTTGTTGAGAAGATACGAGGACATGAAAATCCCGTGTGCACTTTGGTGACAAAGAAAAACAAGTTATTCAGTGGATCTTTGAAAAAGATCAAGGTTTGCTTACCAATTTAGTTTGGTGAATGTAGTTTTCATGAGTCGGGGTTTAACATTAGCGAGGAACTCATAATCATCATAATGAACGTGATTAATCTTTTGTTATATTTCTAGGTTTGGGATTTAGAGACTCTCAAACAAGTAAACGAACTGACCGAGCTTAATCACTGGGTACGAGCTTTGGTTGCGTCTGAGAACTATTTGTACAGCGGATCCTACCAAACAATCAAGGTATTTCTTTGTTTTTGTACATTACAATGCCTGCCTGGTAGATGCAATGTCTTCACGGGGGGATCAGGAAGAGACGTCTTCACCTGGACAATTACAATGTTTCTCTTTGTAGATTTGGGATTTGGACACTCTTGAGTGTGTTCACGTCCTTGAAGCATCTGGTGGAAGTGTTTATTCTCTGGCTGTGACCAAAGAACATATCATTTGTGGTACCTATGAAAACTCTATTATAGTAAGTACAGAATGAGTATACACCTTGCCTTAAGATTCGCTTATAAGAAGTAAACAATAGCATGAAATTCGCCCGAGAGATTCTGTTCTCTTGTCTTTGGGAAGACACTGTAAGACCGCATCACTCAGCATTGAGACCAGGGATCTTGCGGAGATCTTACAAACCAGGATCTTACAAACTTGCATTTTGTTTCACTAACAAAGATTTCGTTTGTTTCAAGGTGTGGGACCTCAATAACTACAAACGTCTGACAACGTTGAATGGTAGGGCCCAGTTCAACCTTCTGTTCTTTTCACCTCTGTTGCAAGACATTCATTAGTGGTATTCTGTATTCTTAGGTCATGTTGGGACCGTTTACGCCCTGACTGTCCTAAGCACGCCAGGACAAACAAGGTTATTTAGCGCGTCTTACGATCGTTCTTTGAGGGTAAGATGATTGGCCATTCATCACTGTTTTATTGAAACTCGATAACCGATTTGTTTGATTCATTTTTCAGGTGTGGAATTTAGATAGTTTGGCGTGCGTACAGACATTATTAAGGCATCAGGGAAGCGTGTCGGCCCTAGCTGTCTCTAGAGGAAGAATATTTTCAGGAGCAATGGACAGCACAGTTAAGGCATGTGATAGATACCCTTGTTTCATTTCTGTATATCACTTGGATGCCCGGGGGGGAGGAAAGCAATTCCTCTGCTGAAAGGGTCTCCTCTTTTATCTCTGGGACGTCCTTAGGATTTGAACTTACCTCATAAGTATATGAGTATCTGAGAGTGAAGCTATACAACATTGCTGAGATTAGTTTATCCAATTCTCAAGGGATCATAATTTAACCTATTTCTCATTCAGGTGTGGCAGTGTTAGGATAAATTAGACGCTGCGCAGGTGATCGGCCATATCCCACAGTACCAGGCACACAGTTATGGATGGTAGACTGGAGTTACAAATGGACATAGTCTCAAATCCCTGTCAGCTGAACCTACTAACCTACCTGTACCAGACTACCAGTGTGTATAAGTCAGTGGTTGAACCTGACAGTGTAGAAATTAATTGTAAAATACTAAATGAAATCTATTTTAAAACCTTAAGCAGAGTATGTATATGTACAACAGTGCTATAAAGATGTAAATAGGGAGATTTTGAAAAGAAAATACGATGTATTTTAAATTTTATTTCGCTGTATGAGCCATGTGTATGAGCAAGCCTGTGCAATGCAAACGACGGCAACTTCTCATCCCAGTCCCAGTCTCCCAACAAATTTTCTGCGGAAATAGAAATTCACCCGTCATGCTTTGTATGAAAATTATTCAACATGTCGCTGGCAAGGTATGTTTTGGTCCACTTTTCTCCTTCAATTTCTTCTGTATTTTACAAATTTTAGTTACGATCTTTAATGTAATATTTTTCTTGTTCAGTTTACTACCGGCTCCGGCTCACAGGCCCTATCAAGAGGCCAGTGACGATGATTTGGAGCGAGCATACAGTCAAGTAAGGCAACCTTTCTTGATACAAACGTCGATTTCCTTCCATGAATATATTAAAAGTAAATATATGATCTTGTCGTAATTTCGTTGCTTCAGATGACAACAGTAGCCGTGTCTAAGAAGCAGCCACCACCTTATGGACAGAGAAGAAATTGGATCCCCAGAACACAAGAGGTCTGATAACTCATAACTGCTTTTATTATATTCATAAATCGTATTAAATGTTCTATTTTGGAAAACGTATATTGGACGTTATCACTTATAAACATCTACAACTAACACATTTATTCTTTACCATAAATAATGAAGTGGCTGGGTATTACCATAAAATATTAAAAAGAATAATTTTGTTTAACTATTTAGAGTCAAACAAAAGTGATATGAAATCACCTACAGAAAAAATTACTGTAGTGTACCTATTTTTTACCCATACTTAGCCATGCTTAGCTTATGTATAGGTATATGTATAGGTAAAGCCCTAGTATGGTTAGAATTGGTACTGATACCAATCTCATCAGTGCCCGCCATTCAAATAGTACTATCAGTTTGCTAATGTTGTTGTATAAATAAACAATTTCATTATTTGTAGGATTTTGGAGATGGAGGTGCTTTTCCAGAAATTCATGTGGCTCAATTCCCGTTGGATATGGGGAAAACCAGAAACAAGGTAGGTTCCACATTATAAATACAATTGAATTCCAGCCTGTTCAGATGTAAATTTAACACATTATTGCTTTATTCTTGCAGGGAACATCTTCGGCACTTCCTGTTACGTTAGACTCTGAAGGAAGAGTGAAATATGATGCTCTTGTACGTCAAGGACATTCAAAGGACAGAGTAAGCCACATTTAACAATCATTTCTACAGCATATAGCTCTACATTAGAGCAGTATTGGACTATACTGTAAATAAAACCGTAATATTATGTGAAAAGACTGTTGAAGCAACAACTATATAATTTTTGTTAAGGTGGTCCACTCACGCTTTCAAGATTTGATTCCGGCTCAAATAACCAAAGAAGATGACCCTGAATTACAACGACCAGATGATGATGAGATTGCTGAGGTATCTGATGGACTTTATGTTATCTAAAACTTGTCAAACACTTACTCTGTTTATGTTCAAAGACTAGCCATATTGCTACGTCTAACATGGATCCTTTTCCTCTAGACAACGGAGAGGACACGACTTGCATTAGAGAAAGAAGTTTCATCCAAAATAGCTGCAGCACAACCAACTCATGTTCCTCAGCAACAAGGAGGTGCTCAGTATATCCGATACACGCCGTCACAGCAAGGACTGTCATTCAACTCTGGGGCAAAACAACGAGTCATTCGTATGGTGGAAGCACAGAAGGATCCAATGGAACCTCCTAGATTCAAGTACGGAAACACCAATAATTTATAGAATATATCGTAGACAATTTTTATGAGATTGAGGGCAGGTGTTATCAAAATTTAACACGCTATATATACATTGTTTCTCCAGAACAAACAAAAAGATCCCTAGAGGACCCCCATCACCCCCAGCTCCTGTCATGCATTCACCAAATAGAAAGGTAACTGTGGTTCTACTACATGCATTCTGACTTTTCATTTCTAAATATTTATAATAAAAAATGGTTTGTATCAAAAAAAAATTTGCCATAGGTGACAGTGAAAGAACAACAGGATTGGAAAATTCCACCCTGTATCTCAAATTGGAAAAATGCTAAGGTAATACTTATGTACTTTACCATATAATGCCTTACAGGTTAAAGTTATTATTTTTACAGCCTTTCGCATCCTGTGTGAGTGAATTCCTACATCTTGGACTTTATTGCTTTGCAGGGGTACACAATTCCTTTGGACAAAAGGCTAGCGGCAGATGGTCGAGGTTTACAGGATCCACATATTAATGATAAGTTTGCAAAACTTGCGGAAGCTTTGTACATTGCAGACAGACAGGTGTGTTTAATCAGATCAATGCCCCTGTACTTTGATTAAGTTGATGTGAAATTGACAGGTGTTACAATGTGATATGGGTGTGGTGGGCTGAGACGACTCTTTGATTCTTTCAGGCTCGTGAAGAAGTTGAACTTCGTACGCAGTTGGAAAAGAAAGTTGCTCAGCGAGAGAAGGAAAAACAAGAAGAAAAGCTAAGAAAATTAGCACAAAAAGCTCGCGAATCAAGGGCTGGAATACAAAGTGCATCAGGTATGGAGCTGTTCTGATTCTCTCTGGCAATTTTAGACCCAGACCAGGATGAAATTAGCTACGATTATTATGACCTGTGTTTTACGAAACTTTTAGAGAAATCCCATGATGAGCGAGAGCGTGATCAGGTGCGTTATGAAAGACATAAAGATCGCGAGAAAGAGCGAAGAATTGCCAAAGCAGCTCCTGATAAGAGGTTTGAATTGCATCAAAATAATACAGTTCAGCTTTTTCAAATGAACAACTGGATCCATAGGGCCCAGTGAGAAATAAATCTCTTAGATTTTTGTAATCTCTTTATCGTTGAAAACTTTGCTGTGTTCACTCTATGGCGTTTGTTGTTGTTTTTTTAGGTCAAAACTTCAACGGGACCGGGAGCGTGATATCACTGAGAAGATTGCTTTGGGAATCGCAGGCGGCGGCTCGCAATCTCACGAAGCTATGTATGACCAGCGGCTGTTCAATCAAAATAAAGTAAGCAAACCCGAGTCCAAGGAGACGCCAAGATATTGCTCTCAAAATCCTCCCCACGTAACGTGGGATATCATTGAACAATGTTGGATGCTTTCTTCTAGGGAATTTCCTCCGGATTTGGCGAAGATGACAGCTACAATGTTTATGATAAACCCTGGCGTAACTCAGGAAGTACGGCTAACGCTGTGTACAGACCATCAAGGAACAATGATAAGGATATTTATGGCGATGACATCGATAAACTCATGAACACGGACAAGTAGGTTGACGTTAATGTGGGAATATTCTGTCTGCCCAAACGTCTGTTCACACGATCCATTCACACGATCCGGCAATGTTTAATCCAATTCTCTTTTGAAGGATTTTGCGATGTTTTATACCAAATCAACTAGTAACAACTACTGTAGCTATATAGCTAATGCAGTACTGCTTTATCAATAACAAGCTACGCTGTATACGTCAGAAGTGACTTGGATCCAACAAAGTTGGATCGTGTGATCACTGAAAGTACAGTTTGTGAAGAACCGGTCAACAAAATCAATGATGAGACTTCGGAAGTTTACGTGTTCGTATCGATTGTTGTTTTAGGTTCCAACCAGACAAGGAATTCGCGGGAACCGACCGAAATGTACGTCGAGATGGTCCCGTGCAGTTTGAACGAGATGAAGAAGATCCGTTTGGACTGGACAAGTTTCTTACGGAGGCTAAAAAAGCTGGGAAACGAACCGCAGATGATCCAAGAGGCAGCAGGTACGATTGTGCGCATGGTCTGGTTTTCTCTTGGACTGTGGATTATTATCATAGAGGCCTTCTAGGGCGTGAAAAGACTTGTGAATTTGCAGTTCTTTTCGGTTTACCACGGTCTATCAACCGTACTTCCTTTACTGTATATTTTTGTCCATTTTTTCAGAGACGCGGACAATCGTAAAAGAAGCAAACGTTAATTGAGGATGATGTCGTGCTTCTTGGGAAATCGCACGGAGCAAACTGGAGCTCAACTTTATAGCGCTCGATGCGGGCTGTTTGTTCAAACAACCTGTTCAGACAGCCTTGAAATACTTACGACCTAGAACGCTTGTATAGAATGACTAAAATGTGAAATATTTTAAAGCGAAAACTCGAAGACGAGGCAAAGGAAGATTGCGCCATTTCTTTGGCTACTGTATACAGTTCTTTTATAAAAGAAGAAGTTTGATAATGTAACGTTTTAGATGGAGGGAAATCGTTCATAATGCATCACAATCTTTACGGATATCTGTTAATAGCATGTATCTCTTGATTTCATGAATTTCCAGTGTCATTTCCTTGACGTTTGCGTCTTGACAAGAAACACTAGGAAAATGTGCCAAAAAATTTATATAGATTACAAATATTTTTTGTGGAGGCAAAATTAAAAAAATGTCCCAACCAGTAACGACAGCATTGCACTTTTTGGGTGATATGGACAAGAGCATAGAATCAGTGCTAAAAAAGCTGGTCAAGAGAAATATGTGTTAAGTAGATTTCTGTCAATGTAAAATAAAATCTTGTAAGAATTGTTGGTTTGTAAGGTTGCTGCAATAAATACAAATATAGGTACGTAATGCGTACTTTTGTAAACAAGCCTAATTCTTGCCCTGAAACCCTGTGTTTGGTATACCAAATATCTATCCAATTGAGATTAAATTACCCAATTAAATAGTCAACTACAAGTTTAAATTGAATATATCTTTAACTTCACAAGAATATTTCATACATCAAATCGGAGAATATTTTCAGTTTCGTTTCACATTGTTTATTATTCCCTTAGCCAAATGAAGCCTAAACTAATTTTTAAGAAAATACATGTGATATTAAAATAATCAAGTTGATGCATTATATACAAAATATATTATGTTAATATATTATGAGTTGATAAAAGATTATATATGTATAGATGTAGTCTGTTGGTACTAAGTTTATTTCAAATTAAATTTCCAATATTTAGATACTGTATACATGACAAGGGCCCCAGCTGTTGTTCCAATGAAAACTGCTCCAGCCCAAGAATTCATAAAGTTTCTCATTCTTTCTCCAAACGTTGCGCTACACTGTACATTATCTGTTGAAAGTTTAGCCTGTGAAACGATATAAACACTTAATCTATACCTTTCTCTATATATGAACAGAGCTTTAAATATACCATTGTGGTATGTGGTAACAGTGGTATAAAACAAGTAATATTGGTTATGTTTCACAATACTAACCACTAGTAATTGCTGAGCAAATTTTTCTATTCTTAGTATGATAGTTGTTCCAGCATTTCTGAATGCATCTACAGCATCTGAATGGGTCACTCCTATTAAACTAAATTCATTTATCTAAATAGGAAGAAATAATTAAGTTGAAATTAGCAAATCTAGCTCATAGATAGCAATCAACCGTTCAGATCATCTAACATTGGAGAATGGATATTTTTGGAACAATCGGAATTAGTCATAAATTATTCAATATGAAATCCCTTTTGTTGTATTGCTACGTACAAACCTGTAGCAATCGATCGCCAACGTCCAACTGTCCACAAGATGCGGCAGGACCATATGTGTTTATTGAGGATATGAAGATACTGGTATTATTTCCAATTTCCCTTGAATCTATACCGCCAACTATATTTAGACCAAACCCCTCTCCTATAAAGGTTTAATGCAATTTAATGTAGAGGTTTGAAGGGTCTTAACTTCAAGTGGGATTATCCTCTGGCACAATACTTATTTTTCCATCAACTGTTCCTCGCTTGAATTTGAAGTGTGTATAATTCCACTCGAAATTAAGACCCTTTGAAGAACCTCTAGAATTTACCTGCATCGAGTGAAGTATCAAATCATTTACTACATTGTCTAGTGTAGAAGTTACTCCCAATTAACCTACCAAATCATACAATAAATAAAGCCTCTTTTATAAAAAACTAGGACACTAAAAGTGTTTACACCATATCATATAAATGGGCAGCTTTACTATTGGGTTATTGTGAAGATTAAATATTGAAGATGTATCATCGAATTACTTCTTTGGGCAGGGCTGACATACCAGGGTTTCTTGTTATTCTTACTTCCAATACAGTCCCCGGTTGAATATCTTGTTCGGGTTCTTCACCAGATGACATCTCTTTCTGTTAGAAAACGCTGAAAAATTGACGATCTGTGAACAACAGTAAACAATATTGGCTGCCGATAATATACATCAAATATTTGACCCTTTGATGAAGTAAGCAAATTGGCGAAGACACTTCATTTTGTTTACACGAAGTAGGCGGCCAGCTGGCATAATGCAGATGTGCGGGTGTGGTTTCCTGGGAGAAGCCATGATATTAAATTATATAAATAAATATAAATATTTTAAATGTGTGCGGAAATATTAATATTGTCCACGTCGAAATGCCTTTGTTGATATTATACGAAATGCAGATAATGCAGAGAAACTGGATATTCTCGTTTAATAGAGTGGGAGCTTTTAAAAAAATTCAATTATTAAAGTAAACAGTAATTTCAGCCCGGAGAAAAACGCGGGCAAACTACTCAGGCAAACACCCATGACGTCGTGTAAAAAATGAAGAAGGAGGTGCGGAAGAGACAAACTTGATCTGTTTAAAATCTGTTTATATTTTGGTTTAGAAACGTTGACGACGTCGTGATTACTCGAAGTATTGATGTTAGCTGTTTGTATTTAGTTATAAACTAATGATCGGCTGTATTCCTTTAACCTGAACGCAGTGCATTCGCAATAATATATACCATATGGCCTTGGAAGTATTCCATATTAAAATTCATATTTGTTTTGTGCCTATTGTATGTCTCGCAGTTTTGCTGTGCTCCTGGCAATCAAATGGTATGTTTCTTATGAAAATCTTATTATTTCTAGTAGAGAACTAGTAGAGTAGAACATATGATTTTTACTGCCATTTTACTGTTAGTTGGAAGTTAATTTCATACCTCAAATGAAATATAAATACCCTCAGTTCCAGTGGTTATTAAATTGTGTAAAAACTATTTATTCGTCACTGTCTCTTGTTAACTCAAAAACTGAGCAACATCTCATTAAGATTTAACAGAAACAGAGCTTCCTTTATTTCTCTAGCTAACATTGAAAATGTGAAAACTAAAAAGGTCTAGTAGAACACATCAAAACCTTTTGGTGTGACATCCTCCTCTCCCTGTTACTGTTTTTTCTAGCTAATAGTAACGGGACTTGTGGAAAGTTGACTAGATGTCCAGATTGGCTAAGGAGAAAAAGACTTTGTTACTGTCCCAATGGTGATCGTGTAAAATTTACTTGTGTCAATGGAAAATGGAAAAATCTTCCCTGTGGTAAATATTCTCCAACAATTAATGTGCATTTATTCATATTCTAACCACTGGTTCTTGGTGACTTTCTGCAATCAAACCGTACTGCTTCAGCTTCTCCTTGTAAGAAAAGATCAACTCATTAATGCAAATATCCTGCAACAGATCATTAAATAGAATAGAATATTTTAGTTTGTATTTGTTTCTGTTTTCAGACACTTCAACAACCACTGCTGTTCAAACTACACAACTGACAACAACACCTTGTATGTAAATAGTAATTATATATTTACCTGCAAGTCTTTGGGATTGATAAGATTATAACTGCTTGCTCAGCATTTTCTCATTGAGGGAAAATTAATATCACTTGATATTTGTTCCCATTTTTTGTAATGTTATTACAGCTTTTGATAAGATAATGTAATCTTAGAAAAACTGAAATGGAAAAACCTGATTATTATTATTTTTGTTGTCTTCAGCTCCACGATGCCCAAAACTTAAAGAAATCCTTTATGGTGCAATAAAATATTCAAATGATAGTAGTCGTCTTCCTGGTACATCTGCAAAGTATAAATGTATTGGTTACTCACATAAGGTTATGGACCCGCTTGATTGTGACAGTAATGGCAAGTGGAATAGGAAAGAACCAGAATCAAACATGTGTTGTAAGTCTGATTTATGTATGATATATTCTCTATATATGTTCTACTCTTCCTTTGTCAGATATACCTGCATTAATATCTGATGCTATCTGTTATCTTCACATCCAAATAAAGTTCATCTCATTGCAATAGTACAGTACATATTTATTTAACTCTAATTATATTTTTCTTCTATGTAGATTGTGAAGCTCTGGACTTCGAGAGTGATAACCTGGAGATTTCTTATAATCCACCGAATTCAAAATCTCGTTATTATGTTTTGAAGACTGTAGTAACATACTTTTGTAAAGGATCAAACAAAGAAATCCAACTTGCCTCATCAACATGTAAAAACACAGGCGAGGGCAAAGGGGCTATTTGGACACCAAGACTAAAACAGTCAAGCATTGAGAAGTGCAGATCACAAAGACCTACAATTAGTGAGTCTAAGTAACCATTCTAATCAGTGCATGAATTAAAAAAACATTTTCCATGTTTCTGTACAGTTACACAAACACGTTTCTCGACCAATCAGCACGCACATACTATAAATGTTACATCATATTATATGTTGTATAACAACTACCTACAGTTTAAGATAATTAACATTTTCCTCTCTTTTTTTTAAGGAGTTCAAGTAAGCAAAAGTAAGTTGCTGGAATTGTATGTTTTCTTTTTCATAAGATTAAGTCCTTAAGTACCAAAGTGAAGTGCCTATGAACTTAATAATGGTAGCCAAACTTAAAAGCTAGTTTTACAACGAATTTCATTGCAATATTTTTTTCACAAGCTACGAAACCGCCGATACACCACACAGACGAGAGGACTGTAATCATTGTTAGCGGCACAACTGGCGCAATCTTAGGCGCCCTCATTATCTTGGTTGTCATTGTATCATGTCAGCGGCGTATTCATTATCATCGCATGCGCCGTGCACGAATACGTCACCGCCAGGATCAGGATGCCTTCACCGCATTCATCACGTATCATCGGGATGCTCGTCTTCTGCTACCATCTTATGATGAAGCCATTAACCAAGAAGAACAGGGTCAACCTCCATCATTCGAAGAAGCTCTTGGCCATTATGAAGAGCCTACGCTCCCCCCTGGCCATACATCTGCAGAGGACGGATGCCCGTCCGATACTCAAGATGCTTCATCCGCTCCCCCCGGCAGTGAAACTCACAGCCTTCCCGAAACTTCCACCTCATTTGAAAACCATTCGGACGCAAGCCCCTTGTTAGACAGCCAGACCTCACCCGCGTCGGAGAATAGTCGCCTCTTCCGAAGTCTTCGGGCGTTATTCGGGGGAAGAACATTCCGACCTGACGCGATTTATTGCCGATTTGTACCAGATGACACTGGCGAGAGTGAGAGTCAGACATCGACCAGGGCTGTGGAGACAGAACCACCTGACAGTTCAGCAGAGTTGGCTGAAGTCTTAACACGAGCTGGCTTGTGTTGAGGCGCTTTTAGACTAGGCAATTTTCCTTTCAACTTGCAATGCAATTTTAATTTTGAAATTGTAATTAGACTATGCAATTTTCCTTGCAACTTGCAATGCAATTATAATTTTGAGGGATGTTAATTTGTAAAGAGTGTGTTCAAAATGCTAAGAAAACGTGAGCAGATCGTAAGAAATGTTCGTATTTGACAACTTTTGATGCCTCAGGAGATGAAAGGCACTGCAAGTTTGCAAGGAAAGTGGCATAGTATAACAACACCGCTTTTAACAACGAAATAGAGTCAATGTTAATATATAGTTTTTTAGCTCAAGTAACACTATGATTCTCACCCCACTCAAAATAATTTTCCAACCATTTAAATAATTTTCTAAGTGTAACTTTCTGCACGGCGGACTTCAATATGGCTTGTTACAAGCGCTGTCCTGTACTATACTTTACTAAAGGTCAGTGGTCGACCACTGGACATTTTCTACCTCAAAAACTGTACTATTATTAGTATTATATAACATGTTTTGGAGACTAGTGACGGCATCGGTCGTGTCTTGTAGTCTTAAAAATGAAAACTTGAACGTCTTTATTCATGTGAACTAAAAGACAGTCGTAGTAGTGATGCATTCCGTGCAACCGACGGTAGACAACGACACCGGAATAACATGAAGTATTCCGCACTTTTCAGAATCAAAATGGCGCTTCGCTCAGGAGTGAAGAATTGAGTTTGTTATGGAAAATGCTCTTCCTGTGAAGTTTTGGGGGTTGGATCCCCTGTATTGGACTCATGTTAAACTGTTTGCGAGAGATGTGTTGAAACTAAAGGAATATCCTGGGTTTACGGGTAATCTATAAATATTGACGCACAATTTATACACGTTTCTAAACTCTAAAGAAATTCATTTTAATTCTTTACCATTGCAAATATTGTTTGTTATTTGTTGTTGTGTTATGTACACCACAATTTATACAATTGAAATACAAAATAATATTTCTGATCATATATCAGGAGTCTATGCAATCAGTAACCATCCCATTGTCCACGCCTTGGTCGTTGGTTATATTGTCAAAGTCGATAAGAGAGAAAAATTGACAAATTATGGTGGTATGTAAACTGGCCATACTGAAGGCTGCATTAAATATAATTAAATTCAATTACATATCCTGAGATAATAGCACCTTTTATCCGTGTTATAAAAGCACCTTTTATCCCTTTTTACCCCCCTTTTTTCCTATGCATTAATTCTATCCCCCCTTAGTTGATGATGGAACTGGTTTTCTGCCATGTTGTATGTGGCATGATCAAAGTAATGGAATTGAAGCAGATTTTGGTGATCTGGTCACAGTGATGGGTAGAATCTCGACTTTTAGAGAGGAAAGACAGATTACTCTTTCTAAACTCAGTATCCTGAAAGTTTCAGTTAATGATGTGGTATTAGCTTTTCTACCTTTCTTTCTCTTTCTCTCTCTCAAAGAGCTTATTGGTTTTATCTACATAATTGTACATTTTTACAGTTTAAAGCAATACAAATTATACAATGCTGCGTAAACATCAATAATATTCGGTGACTGCCAAAAAGAATAAAAATGATGTGATGAGATCAGACCACATGACCGATATGCTTGGAGACTTGTAGTGTTTGACTTTATTTTCAAAATTTCTTAACATCCTGAAAGATATTGAGACAGATTCCAACGTAGAGGTATTACACTGGCTTGAGGTCATGAAATTGAAAGAAGTTTATCAAAAACCATTCAAACCACCACAAGATCCCAAACAAAAAACGTAAGCGGTTACTTTTCTGCTGGTTGCGTTTTTTTTTAAAATATTTACCAAAATTCTGTCATCAGCGTGAAACCAAAGCCTTGGATCAAAAATGAGTTGGACGCTGAAATTGACCGACTCGAAGAATTGCTGAAGACAACAATTAGGGAGTATTTGGAGGCCAAGAATGTTGTCACGTTCAATCTTTCAGTTTTACTCGAACTCAACAATGTGGTGGAAATCGTCAAACAACTTTTAAACAAATTTGCTGAACGTTCAAATGGGGGCAAGGTCTGTAGGATTCAAGGTTTTTTATACATACGAAGGTCAATACGATTCTATATGCATATGTTGTCGGTTGTACGAAAACTGGACAGCAAATCTCATTGCTTTTTCAACATTTGAAGAGTCATGCGAGTGATGCGACCTGTGCAACTTAGCTTTGTAAAAATATTCAGCAGATTTACTGTTGAAGAAATCATCCGGTGGATAACGCTATCGTACGATCGTACAACGACCGGTCCCCGATTGTTTTCCCTGTAGGGTGAAGTTAAAAGAATTCACATATCAAGCAAAGACATTGGTCAAGTCGTAAAGGAATCTTTGAGGAAACTTGAGAAGGATGGAATTTTGTGGTGTAAATATGTCACAGATTTTGTTAATACGAATAATCGAGAGTTTGAGGTGAGTGTAGACCATGGGCATGGCCGTGTAGACTAATGATTGCACCATTTTGTGAAGGTAACGTCATTTTGAATTTAGTGTGCAGATTAGATCAGTGCCTCAATATCAGTGTTTATTAACGAATAAAGTTAATTAAGATCATTTCCCTTCTCAAGTTTTTTTCAATCGCAAAAGATTTATCACCAAGTATAGTTGCAGTTATCAAGGAAACCTCCGAAAGTGAAGGTAAATAAGAAGGCTGCTCCATCAGTTGAACTGTCCTGGATAATTCAGAACACTGTGTGAGAAGTGTGTGTAATGATGGGATGCACATATTGTTCTGGGGCCGGTTGTTCGAAAGGCGTTTAGCTTAAACGGTGGATAAGCCAAAATTTAAAAATACTCTCATGGATCTTGTGAATGACTGAACCTACATCTTATGCATTTAATATGTTCTTCCATTGACAATTAAACTATTTACATCGAATTATTTCAGCTCAGTTGTTCAATAAATAGATAATTTTGTTTTCCATTTTTAACTTATCCACCGGCACCGTTTAATCTAAACGCCTTTCGAACAATGTTTAGTCTATTACATATGCTGTCAACCACGCGTTTTATAATTGTTCGCATAATACACAGTATAATGATTTCATGTATTTTCATGTCTAAATGCGCTCTTTAGACACTTTTACGCATTGAATCTCGCAAAACTATAGCCATCACATTCCTAAAAATAGATACAGCTATGTCTATGGATGACGATAAAGTCTTAAAAAAAGGCCAACATAACATCACGGTTAAACACATTATCATTTAGTCATTTCCCATCACTTTCAAACACGTGGAAAGTGTTTCCCTTACAAGGTCTTCTTTTTTTCCGTTGCAGGAGAGACCTCGTATGGTATTGCGTTTAAAAAGATCATGGAGAAACTGAAATCGTTAGAAAAGTACCAATACGTTCGTAGAGATCGGGTGAAGGACGCAATAGAGCATCTTATGAGTACCGGGGATATCTATGAAGCGATAGATTACCACTATCGTGTTGTATAAACATACTCATTATCATTAAGGCTCCTGCGTGCGGGTTGACCGATAAACTGATCATAAAGTTCTGCCCGCATAATGGTCAGTCAATGCGAATGCCCAATAGGATCGAACCGCGAGTTCTTGTTCGCACAGTTTCCAAAACATACAAACATGATATTCGGGTATTTTTGTTCTACACCCTGTGGTTATGTTTTATCTTTTTATTGAATTTAGAATTGCTAATCATCAAACTGTTTACAGTCAGAGAAACGAGATTCAACACTGTAAAACCTGGTGAAAACAAGCGCCTGCTCAGAAGCCGTTCACCTATCTGATGAAGATATCTGCTTTAGTCCAAGTTTAAAAAAGAATATTCACGTTAAGAATCAAAATCAACTTCTATGGTAGTAGGTCTCGCCACAAGTGGTCGCATCACAAGTAGAGACCTTTGTCCTGACAAATTATTGGCAACTGGTGTCTGCAGCTCAATCTATTTGCTTTCGTGAAAAAATAACCTCGTTCGATTACGGTCACCACCTGCCTTACCAAGCAAGCCAAGAAACAGAAGTAGATATTTGAGACCAAATTTTTGGCGAAGAAGATGGAATAAATGGCAAGGTGTTGTCACTAAATAGACCTTGCATGATATTATATTCTTTTAATTCGGTTGGTGACTAAATAGACTTCATAGATTATATTCTTTTACTAACTGTGTCTACCTTATGGCTTATTCCTTAATGAATTTTTACATTTGGCAGTCATCGTAAAGATTATGTTCTCCAGTATTTTTCAATCATCACTCGGAATGTATCACTCATAATCAAACCACTAAAATAATCAATAGCTGGTCAAGAAATTATATAACTCGGGGGCGAAACAAGTGCAATAAATAATACTTGGCGTGACTATCTCCAGTATTAACTATAGCAGGTATAACACCCAGGTTTTACCGACATATACCTGGCGCATCTAGGAAAAGCGTAAAGCTATTTGGACCGTTGTGAAACTGAAATGATAATGAAAATACTAATAATGTATTAAATATATCTCCCCATTGCTACTAGTGACGGCTCTGGCAGTAATCGTGGTGATTAAATTGTTCAAAACTTTTAATCAGGATGGTGAAACAGAAATTTCGCCCAGGAACCAAAAACAAGCATTTAAAGACATGCTATTTGATTCTCTGGCTCGTCATATTCACCTCTCTCCTGTGTTACTTCTCTTTGCCATCTGTAATTTCATACGTTCGTTTCGATGCTGTTATCAATTTTCGTAATCTGTTACGTTTGAGACAGACAACTCAAACAGGTTTTCAACACAGCTGGTTAAGAATGCATCGGGCTAGAACTGACTGGCAGGCGATGTTAAAACCGTGCTCAGATCAAATGGCTTGGGGAACCTTGAAATCAGGCTGGGGTAAGGTTAAAAGAACTTCTGCAAGACGTAGTTATGTCATTTACAAAGATATCCAACCTTCTGGTCAGTTTTCGAGGATATTTATTCAAACGCGTACAGCTGGTGGGCAGGAAAAAACTATCGGTGGTGATTTTTGGCGAGTGTTCTTAACAGGACCAGCAAACGTTGCAGCTTCTGTATTTGACCATGAAAATGGTACGTACGAAGCCATCGCATTGCTTTTGGAGCCTGGAAACTATAGTGTTCTTGCTTATCTCGATTATACTTTGTGCGATGGACTGAGAGATCCTCCGGAAAACTGGTTCCGAATTGGTGAGTTTCAATGATGTTACGTAATACTGAGACGTAGCTCTAATGGGGTACGCGGAAAATCGTGTTAGTATATGGTACTTTTGTCAAATGTACTTACATCTTATATGGTACTTACATGCATCAATTCGTTTTAAGGGAACAAGTATGGAAAAAGACAACGTGAAGGAATTCTTGGTTTTCTTGATCACTTCATTTATGAGCCTTTGTCAGGAGGTGAAATAATAACCTTTGAAGTTTCACCAAATAAATCAAGTTCAGGAATTGACGGTGAGTCCCATTTATAATTCACCAAGAATCTATTTTGGTGCTGATTACGTCATTCTTTCGTGTACTTTATTCAACAGGATTACCCAAAATCACTTGCGCGCAATCTTGTCGTTCTCTCTGGAACGGCTTTGGACGTTGGAAGAACAATGTTTGGTCGCCATATATTCCTGGTAAATCAAATAAAATGAACTTGACATTAGCAAATTGACTTGTGTTAGAACGTGTATTTTGTAATCATGAAGCTTTGAAATTTAAAACAGATTCTTGCTTTTCAAACAGATTTTGCCTGAGAAAGTATTTCCTAAGAAAGCCCTCCTATATCTTAAGTCAAAATGGTCTTTATTAATTAACCGGCACAAAAATGAATAAACCTTATCGGACTATTGGCTGGGTGTAAATAAACATTCCTGTTTTCACTTTAGTTGCAAGCCATTTGTCAACAGCAGAGAACCGAACAGCTCGTAGGGGAACACTGTGGTTATTTGGGGACTCCTTGGCAGTGCGATTTTTTCGTTCACTAAAAAGAAAACCGCTGTGCAGTCGAATATTCAGGGAATGTAGACGCAGTTATAACTGGTTGTACCCACTGCCTGGCGAGAATGAGGCTCTCGGAAAATTGCAAAATGATGACCTTGATTTTCAACCAACTATAATACTTGACTCAATCAGAGATGTTCTACGTGATAGACTTATGAAAGATTCGCACAGTTTATTGCTTTTGAACCTTGGATTACACTACGTACCGTCATTAAATTTTACGAGTTTTCAAAAGTTGATCGACGACGTCATAGAACTATTGATCGTGCGTGAGAAAGAACTTGGGAGTCATGCGAGGGTGGTTTGGAAAACAACAACGTCGATACGGAAAGAAAATGGTGCTTCGCGAAATAGGACCGAATCAAGATTTTTTACCGAACAAGTAAGTTAAATTGAAGTCTAATTTTTGGCCACGATGGTCTGCAAAAGACAACCTTTTATTGGTCAATTGCACTCGTGATTGATTAATCTGAACGGCCCGAAGATTCTCGCATTTCACGTCTTCATCTTCAGCTTCTTTTCACTAACCTATTGTGCTTGTGATTGTTTAATCTGAGCGGTTTCTCGCATTTGATTGGTTCATGTTCGCCACCTTTCGCTCATGACCTATTGTGATTGGTTAATCTGAAGGGATTCTCGTTTTTGATTGGTTTATCTCTTCTCGAAGTTAGAGGTAACGGTAGGTCAAATGTTTACCTTGTTACGGCCAGCTAAAGGATTAATTGTCGCCTTTATGTTCTACTTTCTAGCGTGTCGAATTATTTGATGCATACGCCATGTCAGCGATGTGTAACGCTGGGATTGAAGTCTTAGATGTGTTTCCATTAACCGCCTCGTTTTTGGAGGGCACAGTGGACGTCGTTCACTACAGGAACAAAGCTAATGTGTTTATGACCGCGGAAATAGCTTTAGAGACTTGTGTTAAGGCTGGACACGCATTTAGGAACACAAGAGTTTGTATCAAGTAAATTATATGTATTCGATATAGCTAATTCTATATTCTGGATTTTCAACGATAATTTAACTGCCTCACCCCTCCCGTTACGCCTATACTCTTATACCTCAGCCGTCAAACGAAGAATATAGCTAATTCAATATAGCTAATTCTACAAATGCTCCGAGTCTCTGCAATTATGAATTAAGTTAAGGCCTGGTTAAAGTTAAGACCTGGCAATATTCTGGATTTTCAAAGAAAATTTAATCGCCCCACTCCTCCTGTTACCAAATAACTGTGTGATCTAAACACTTAAAATCATTTAAGTGATGCATGTAAAACCTTCGAATAAACTGTCATTTTTTGTGTAGGTTCGGTCGACAATATATAGGTTTCTAAAACATGATTCCCCAATATGCAATATCCCAATCGCCACAGTCTTAGGACCTTAGGTGGTTATAAGATTCGCATTTTACAGGTGCTTTTCTTGCAGGTGCCAGTCCGAACTTGTCGAAATAAACGCAAACTTTCTTTGATAGCTTTGTACACGTGTTTATCATTGTGCAATCGTCTGTCAGAACGGGAGAATATAACAAACAATAGTTTTGAGAGGAAGGATCGAAATGTTGATAAAAATACACCGCTAATAGCTCTTGCCAAGATAAATCTATTAAACCTTAGAATATAAGCCAGACCTATGCAAGATTTAATGAGAAGATTCGTAATCTTTGAACGCTTCAAATTGTAAGTATCCGTGTTGTTATCCGTGATATAACATCGACTTTATTTGTGATCCGGAAGACCGAAGCCTACTCGTATCTATTTGACTTTTATTTGCTTTCCTGCATTTTAGTCCTCAGGCCAAGAAAAAACTACCAAACTGCCCGTCCGGCTGAGAGCTGAGCCAAAAGGTTAATTTGTCAATGTTGGTAAAAAGCCTGAAGCAATGTAGGATTCGTCATTCAATTTTCGCCGTTATTGCTATAGCTTTTGTTCTTTTTTATTACTTGTATTGCTGCTCGGGCCTTTTCTTCGACGTTACCATCATTTTTCACAATGGCTTACCTTGGTTACAGTATGATATTCAGAAACAGACAGATCACCTAAGAAATTTCACACGCAATTGGTTAAGGATGCATCGGGCTAGAACTGACTGGCAGGCAATGTTAAAACCGTGCTCAGATCAAATGGCTTGGGGATCTTTGAAATCAGGCTGGGGTAAGGTAAACAGAACTTCTGCAAGACGTAGTTATGTTATTTACAAAGATATCCAACCTTCTGGTCAGTTTTCGAGGATATTTATTCAAACGCGTACAGCTGGTGGGCAGGAAAAAACTATCGGTGGTGATTTTTGGCGAGTGTTCTTAACAGGACCAGCAAATATTTCTGCTTCTGTATTTGACCATGAAAATGGTACGTACGAAGCCATCGCTCTGCTTTTGGAGCCTGGGAACTATAGTGTTCTTGCTTTTCTTGATTATACTTTGTGCGATGGACTGAGAGATCCTCCAGAAACCTGGTTTCGAATTGGTGAGTTTACAACGATGTTACGTAATACTGAGACATGATTCTGATGGAATATACAGAATATTTTGACAGTATATGGCTTTTTATTATATACTATAGGAGCTTTGTATAATATACTATATGATTATATTGCAGCCCATAAGTAACTTTACATATACTACCAGGAAATAGGCAGGGAAAACAACAACGTGAAGGAATACTTGGTTTTCTTGATCACTTCATTTATGAGCCTTTGTCAGGAGGTGAAATAATAACCTTTGAAGTTTCACCAAATAAATCAAGTTCAGGAATTGACGGTGAGTCTCATTTATAATTCACCAAGAATCTATTTTGATGCTAATTACGTCATTCTTTCGTGTACTTTATTCAACAGGATTACCCAACATCACTTGCGCGCAATCTTGTCGTTCTCTCTGGAATGGCTTTGGACGTTGGAAGAACAATGTTTGGTCGCCATATATTCCTGGTAAATCAAATAAAACGAACTTGACATTAGCAAATTGACTTGTGTTAGAACGTGTACATTGTTGTAATCATGAAGCTTTGAAATTTAAAACAGATTCCTGTTTTTCAAACAGATTTTGCCTGAGAAAGTATTTCCTGAGAAAGCCCTCATATATCCTAGTCAAAATGGTCTTTATTAATTAACCACAAAAATGAATAAACCTTATCGGACTATTGGCTGGGTGTAAATAAACATTCCTGTTTTCACTTTAGTTGCAAGCCATTTGTCAACAGGAGAGAACCGAACAGCTCGTAGGGGAACACTGTGGCTATTTGGGGACTCCTTGGCAGTGCGTTTTCATATTTCACTTTCAACTAAACCGCTGTGCAGGCAAATATTCGAGCAATGTAGACGGAGTTATAACTGGTTGTACCCACTGCCTGGCGAGAATGAGGCTCTCGAAAAATTGCGAAATGATGACCTTGATTTTCAACCAACTATAATACTTGACTCAATCAGAGATGTTCTACGCGATAGACTTATGAAAGATCCACACAGTTTATTGCTTTTGAACCTTGGATTACACTACCCCATATCTTTAAACTTTACGACTTTTCAAAAGTTGATCGATGACGTCATACAAGTGTTGATCATGCGCGAGAAAGGACTTGGAAGTCATGCGAGGGTGGTTTGGAAAACAACAACGTCGATTCGAAAAGAAAATACTAAACCACCAAGAAATGCGACAGGATGGAGATTTTTCACTGAAGAAGTAAGATAGCCTCGCATTTTGATACATTGTTGATTTCTGTTTCGGCCCAGAGCTAAGAAGGACTTGAGGTTCTTTAACTTCAGTAAAATCATCAAACGTATAGAGTAAAAACAGAAAAACCTGCGCATGTTCGCTGGCTATTAATAAATTGCAACGTTTATATTTTTCAGCGTATCAGATTATTCGACGCATACGCCATGTCAGCGATGTGTAAAGCTGGGATCGAAGTCTTAGATGTGTTTCCATTAACCGCCTCATATTTGAAAGGCACGCTAGAGTCAGACATAGTCCATTACAGCAATGGCGTGTTTATGACCGCAGAAATGGCTTTAGAGACGTATGTGAAAACCGGAGCAACCACAAGAGTTTGTATCAAGTGACTTTATAAAATAACATGTATATAACGCGTGTTCTGATTGGTCGAAGACCGTGTTTAGATCAGGCCAGCCAAACACGGAAATTTAAGTTTTAAAGAATTTAAATTTAAATTCAGGCCTGTCGTTGTTATTTTATAAAACAATTACTTACTGGTTTTCGTGTTTGGATGGCCTGATCCAAACACTTGGGAATGTTGCTCGAGCTAAGAAAAGCTCGGAAAATAATCAGGTCTTATACATGAACAAATTCGCCGGTTAGTTTGATGAAATATGCATTATATTCCCCATTTAATTTAGCATGTCTCTTAGCAATCAAATACACGCACAATTAGAATGATGTTATAATCATTCTGATAATATGCACACGTAGTCTTTGTATAAAAAATAAAAAAGTTGTGTCCGAGTTCACAGAGATATTCATCTGAATTGCCAGAAAATGAAACGCATACATTTCTGGTCTAAATTTCGTCGCAATCGGCGTGTGCTCTATTCATTAGTCATTATTCTTTTCACTCTGGGCATTGGCCTAAGACATGTGAAGATTGAAATTAAACGCCCAAAAGCCTTCGATACGATTGTAGTTATACCATATAAAGGACAACGGTCAAAAAGTAATTTTGTCTACGATTGGTCGAGGATTCATCGGGCTAGAACTGACTGGCAGGCAATGTTAAAACCGTGCTCAGATCAAATGGCTTGGGGATCCTTGAAATCAGGCTGGGGTAAGGTAAACAGAACTTCTGCAAGACGTAGTTATGTTATTTACAAAGATATCCAACCTTCTGGGCACTTTTCGAGGATATTTATTCAAACGCGTACAGCTGGCGGACAGGAAAAGACTATTGGTGGTGATTTTTGGCGAGTGTTCTTAACAGGACCAGCAAACGTTGCAGCTTCTGTATTTGACCATGAAAAGGGTACGTACGAAGCCCGGGAGCCTGGCGACTTGCTTATCTTGATTATACTTTGTGCGATGGACTGAGAGATCCTCCGGAAAACTGGTTCCGAATTGGTGAGTGATACTGATCAGATGTTTTAACATTAAAAAGTATTGAAAATTCAATGTTTTGTATTTTCTTCTAGGAAATGCACAAGGCAAATACCAAGCAAAAGGGTCTCTAGGATTTCTCGACGAATATCTTTACGAGCCATTCCTTGGTGGCCGTTCGATGACGGTTCAAATTGTGCCAAGTAGTCTTGTGCCAAGTACGAATAGAAAATTGTAGCGTTTGTTGGCGAGTTGAATGTGAGTATAGATATTGTAAACTTATGTCTTCTGTCACTACAGATTTACAAAACATCAAATGCAAACGAACCTGTCGCTCGCTATGGGATGGCCATGGTCGTTGGAAAGCTGATCGGTGGCGGCCTTATCTTACAGGTAAACCCGGCCGCACCATAACCTCTCTCCCCTCGAGGTTTGAGGGGGATTTGGTGTGCCATATACTGGTGGTGCCCGGCAAGGAGTGAGCACTGAACCACGGTATAGTGTTTTAAGAAACAATCCAATTAGGCGCGAGTGCTGCCGCTGGTCACTCAGTCTGGATGCAGCTAACGGAAGATTATCGTTCAACTGTTTATGCTTGCGTTTTCATTTCCAGATAACTTCGAACAAGGGATGGAAACACCAAGATTTCGCGACGGGACTTTATGGATATTTGGTGATTCCATTGGATGCCGCCTGTATCGTTCTCTAGCTAAAAAACCGCTGTGCAATCAGACATTCGTCGCTTGTAGGTGCAGTTATAACTGGATCTACCCTGTACCTAACAACAATATTACTCTTGGTCGACTTCTGAATGATGATTTCGACTTCCGAGCCGACATTGTACTGAAGTCTCTACGAAGTGTTTTACACCACAATGCAATGAAAAGTTCTCGTAGTTTATTATTGCTTAATTTTGGCCTCCATTATCCAATCTCAGTAAATTTTACAACGTTTCAAAAATTAATCGATGACGTCATCATAATGTTGAAAGATCGCGACCGAGAACTGGGACCGAGAGTAATTTGGAAGACGACAACGGCAATGCACAAAGAGAATGCGGAGCCACCAAGAAATGTGACGCATTTCAGATTCGCTTCAGAACAGGTAAGTGTGAACTAGATTTATTTTTCCTAGCCGTATTTAATTGACCTAGTGTTGTTCCTTGAGGTCAAACAACTGGACTTATGTTATGGTGTAGTACGGAACAACTGTGTTACCTGCTGAATTGCTCATCAGCCGTTCAATTGATGAAAATTGCAGAAATAGTAACAGCAAAATATTTAGGATTAACACCGGGAAACTTTCGGAGGCTATAACCAGATTCAAGGACAGGTTTTTAAAATATATATGGGTCCAACCTCTCCTGTAATTAACAGTAGAAATTCTATTTATTATTGATGGTAAGTAAGCGCCCCTGGTTTAACCATAGCTGCTAATCCAGCAAGAAGATGCATATATTCGGCATATTTCAAGACATTTCTAAAACGTTATCTTCTCCATAATTAAAAGCGATCTCTCTTCCTTCGTCTTAATAAAAAAGGGAACAAGATTGCTAAATATGAAGAAATATACTCAATCAAGCCTTAGTTTAGGCCATAACTGCATGTACTAACTTCAGGTACCATTTGAGACTAATTAGCTACTCAAAATTCACTAAATTTCCTTTCTTATTTTTGTTTCAGCGTGTACGTCTATTTGACTCCTACGCCATGTGGGCAATGTGTAATGCAGACATCGAAATTCTGGACGTGTTTCCACTCAGCGCCTCGTATCCACGCGGTACTGTAGATATAACGCATTATCATGAAGAAACATTCCTTGCGGCCGAAAATGAACTGAAGCGGTATGTTTTATCTGAGGTAAAAGAAAAGACCAGGCGAGTTTGTGTTGGGTGAAAAACCTGCATTAGCAACGTCAACGACCAACGGGAACGCTTGATTTATTTGATTATATTCGTTTCAGTCTAATAAGAACGAGGAAAACCATTTTGCCGACATTCCGGATTCTTAATCTTAGAACAAGTGTGAACCAGGCCCTAAGTGTTTAGGTTACGTCACTGGTACCCAGGTTCCGACTTACGACTGATTGGATTTCACTGGATAAAATAGGCTTCTTTACAAAAGCATCTTTCGAGAACAACAACGTCGATACAAGAGTTAGTACTAAGAACTCACCAGACACTTCAAAACTTTTATTTATATTTCAATGTATGCATAACTAAAGTAGACAGTGGTAACTTGTAAAACATGTTAGCAGTTCAAGGTGTGCAATAATAGTTTACCTTACAGAATTAATATTTTGTTGTTCAGCACAAGATGGTTCGTCTCTACAGCACTTGTGTTTAGCTTTTACAGTAGATCTTTCGCATTCAAATTATAACTATAGCGTTAATTTTAAAGGTAAACGTTTTTTAGTTACACCTTGTATATTCTCAAGTCAGTAGCAGATAATACCAATTGCTTTTTTAGAATTTAGTGAAGCCAATGAAACCATATTAAAATCAGTCAAATAACTGTACAAAACTCAGGAAAAAATGCTTTCATAATTAAATTTACATAACCATTTCGTAAACTAATAATTTGAAATATTTGCTATGAGATTTTTCCAGGCTGTGTTCTACAGCCTAACTTGTCAAACACAAGCAAGAAATCGCTTATGGCAGAGCAATGTTAAATTTATGTCCATAACTTGACACCCTATCCAAACATATATTGTTTAATATTTCAGTTTTCTAAGTTCGTTCACTCAATGAGCTTTTTGGCGATGAAAAATCGTCGCAAGTAGAACACTTGCCATGTTGCTAGTCCAAGAAGGCAAAGCATTGAGAATACGCTGAAGTAGAGAACTCGTGAATGGGTTGACTCTAGAGAAAAACAACAGCAGGTTTAGTTTAAGAGGGATTGAGTGGGTTAGTCTTGGATATAATTCATTATCCAATACCAACCATTAGTGTCCCTCATTTCCTGCTCTCGTTGCCGCATGTATGCAAAGTCATTGACAATATCCTCAGCAAGATCTTCCAATCTTTTTAGCTCAATTTCTAGTGGTTTCATTTTCTCAACAGCTGCCATCTAAAATGAAAGTTGAATGCAATTTAGTTGGGATAAATGGGAATACTCAGTAATGTAAAAAAAGGAAATATTTTTCTAAAAACCTTATCATAATCTTTTGCCTCTGCACCATGTTTCAATACTAATGATACTTCTCGATCCATTCCTGAACCTGCTTTGCCTGCAATAAGATTGGAAATATAGTTTACATTAATTACATGGTTAAAACCATTTCCATGTGGATCACAAATTCCACCCACCTTCGCTCTGAAAACATATTTTATACATCTCATAATCTTCTGTTGTAAAAGCAAATTTTCCTTTGGTTGCATCTTCCTTTTTAAATAGAACATGTCCCTTTGAATCTGTCACCTAAATTCAAAGAAACGTGCTTTCATCAACGCAAGGAACATCGTGTATTATTTGCATCATGTAAAAAATAAAATACATTGTGTGATTAAACATGCTACACTTTCTACAGATCAACTACTTGTAGCATGACTATGCATATCTGAAGGTCAGATTTGGTTGTGGGTGCTGTATTACTACAGGCATGGTTATTTAGGGTGCCTTCTGTTTTAGTTTCATAAGACTAGGCCAATCATGATAGAAGAGGTCCACTATTGTTGGGCTAAAAGTATTCGTTGGTCTTTTTCAACAATGAATTATATTTGCCATACAATTCAGAGATACAACAGTTTTAAACAGTGTGATAACTCGGTGTTTATGACCCAGCTATCACACATCCTGTGATGAATGCAGGTCCCAATTTTCATTTGCAAAAATGATCCAAATTCACTTGATTCTTGCAAGTAAAAATTGCCCCGATCTCGCAATATTATTCTCTACTTTTATTCACTTGTCGCAGAGCTCTTTTTTTACCGTCAAATGTGTCTTTTGACTTGCTTCGGACAATTGATATTCTCCTGTCACTAGGACATCTTTATGGAGTTCTTCCTTCAAACATTTTGTCGTCCCAGACGATAATGTAAAAGACAGTGAATTTACAGGTAGAAGTTGATAAAAAATGGCCACAATTACAGTTGAAATACACAATATTTTATCCATGCTTTTGCATCTGTTGTTTTCGGTGGAAGTTGAACAAAAATAATGTAACTACAATACAATACAACACACAGGGCAACGTGGCATTAAAAAGGAACTCGGCTCTATCCACTGAGCTATATAATAATTCCTGGAGGACCGGTTCGTCATTTTTCGGTAACTTCGCCGCCATCTTTTTGCACAAAAAAACATGGCGGATTTTGCCTTCTGCGCACTGCGCAGAAGTTTTGCTGACGCCATATGGTCCCCTTTGCCCAGGGTAATTACCACTGACCAGGCTCAAATCTGAGCCCGCTACGAGAGATGCTCCCCCCTGGTTTATCTAAACAACAGTATTTCCCCCCTGGTTTTTTATGAATATTTTTTTTGCCGTGAAACATGAATTGGAAACCTTGCTGTTTTGTATTTTTCGATTTATTTTTGTGCTACAAAGCGTTGCAATAAGGCGTTTATTTCAGTTCTATACAATCGTGGACGCTGTTTTGCGAATGCCAGAGAAAATATTAATATTAAAACGTAAAAAAAAATTGTGGACGAAGGATTTTTATATACGATTAGCTGACAGGTTATTATTTATTTATTTATTTTCATTATTCATACATTTCTGTATAAAATTTTTGAAAATACTTGAATATTTTTCGAGTCTTGTCAGAAATTTGGATTATCTTTCGGATATCAATCGCCGACTAAAGGTTACCGGCAGAAAATATGTTGTTATGTGATGTTTTCCTTAGAACATCATGCTTATGCATATCAGCCCATAACTCAAGGAAAAAAAGGCCAAACCTCATGCAAGATGCTGGGCAGCTGATTATATAGTAATAGTACTTCAAGTCATTTGCATAGGATATTTTCATTCAGGTCATTATAGCTAGCCTAAGTTACCCCTATCTTACTGTATCCCAAGTAATGCATTTTCCAATCATAATCATATTCCAGATAATGCAAGGAAAGGCTATGGTAAATAACAAAAATTTTATTATAGTACCAACTACCAAGAAGAATATGGTACTAGTTGTGCTATTAAACAAATGTCTCATGAATTCATGAAAATGCAACTGAGCCTATTCATTCCTCCATTAGTCTATAATCTATTAACCTTCAATTCCTGATTAGCCCCATGATAATATTCCTTTGAATGGTGGGGAGGGTAAAACTGTCCAGAAGTTGCTGCAAATTGAAAACAAACTGCTCAGTCAATGCATGTCTGTATAAATTTATTTTCCATTTAAATAACTATCTTAACTATGACTAACAAAGTCAACATGGTAAAATTAACAGTTTAATGTTCCAGTAAATTTGCAAAAAAGCCATCCCCAAATTCAATAGCATCTTCATCCTAAAAAAGAGAGATCAGACCAAGTTTAACTGTACTCAATAAAGTACACCCAGAGGACAGAGCCAGAGGGGAATAAAAACCATTGCAAACTGATTAACAATCAAGCTTGTAGCTTGATCAACAAGGTGCAAGATGCCAAGAAGTCTATTAAGCCATGATTATTGACTTTGCATTTGACAAGGCAAACAAGATAACATACTAGACTTTTAACAACCACTGTTGAAATCTGACAGTAAAATATTTTGTATCAGCACTCACACAGTCATCATGTTTAATGTTTTAAATTCATCTAAAGGATCAATAGAGAGACTAATAGATTCACTGGGAGGATTGAATATTGATTCATCTTAATTGTTTGGCTGAAAATACTCATGAGTTGGCATTAAATATGAGTGAAAGCTCCAGTGCAAATGCCATAAGAGTTCTATTCAAAAGCCAAAACTGGCAAGACATAGCCAAAACTCAAAAGATCAGTTATTGATCCTTTTTCATAAAGTATAGTTTTTCATAGCGTAACTAAGTCATGTACCATTGATCAAAAAGGCTGCACTCTGCAGCATATTTGCCGTTTTTAACATTAATTTCAAAAGAAATAAACTGCAACAGACGCTTTGGTAGTTGTCTATACCAAAGGCGAAAAACGAAAATGTTATGAAAACCGGCTTACCTGAGGTAAAAATTGATATCCCGATAGGTGAATTAGGCCATTCACAGCATCATATGTAGAGCGAAAAATCACTTCTCCATTTAACTTGTTGAACAGGGAAAAAGAGTCTTTTTAGATGAAACGCGGAGAAAATATATGCCGAAAACAATACCGAAAACCAAAAATATTTTCATAAAAATCGGGAGGGTGATGGACACGTTTTTGACTTTGTATCGCGGTATGTCAGTGGTAATTACCATGGGCAAAGGGGACCATGTGGCGTCAGCAAAGCTGAAAATCCGCCATCTTTTTCGTTACACTTTTTGGTGGCGAGCCGGTCCTCCAGGAATTATTATATAGCTCAGTGGCTCTATCTCTTTTCCTGCCAAATACCATCCATCGCAGGTAGATTAAGGAGTCGGCTGTCTCCGAGTTACAAGAATCGGAAATCAAATATGGCATACGAAAAGCTGCGAAATCACTCGCCTGCCATAATTAAAAATACTTATTATGACTGTTTTGGCTCATTTTAATATTTATTCTTATCATAAGGGAGGAAAAATGTGCCCAGATTCAGAGTAAAATAGCCATTTTTGAATTTTAATTGATAATGGTCACAGTAAGTAAGAATTAACGACCGTTCACGGAATACATCGCTTAGAAAGTCATGGATGTAAAGGGTGTATAGAGAGTTTTTTGGGGAATATTCAGGGTGAAATGTGGATCAAAGGCTGGGTACAAAATTGTGGGTTGTCAGATTCATTCATCGACTAAAAAACCAAAATAGCATATTTTTTAACATTTATTTTGTATTATTTTTCAATTATTTTCAACCGAAAATGTCTGGGAAAGATAGAATAAACGTATTTCCTTCCAGAATGTAAGTATATGTAGAGATATAGTGCTATGGTGTGTGTATTCTAGTATGAAATATGAATATGGTTAGAAATATTTATAGTAGCCTTTCATTGAAAGTAACAAATATTTTAAAAGTAACAGATTACAAGATTTAATTGAAAAATTGCGCCATTGATGGATTATACGTACACCAATTACGTATAACACGCCAACACGCCAATTATATTTGTGTACTTTTTGCTGAGGAGAAAGTACAACAGAACATTTGAAGTTTTTTATCCACAGGGATATTGTCATTTGTCATGTGACAAGTTGTCAATCATGTATAAACAGACTCTACACTTTAATTATTGGATAACAACCCCTTCCCAATTCCCTTTCTATGACGGCACTCTGGCTAATAGCTGTTGATTTTACTTGACATGTGAAATCATCTGGTGTTAGACAGAAATTCACTGAAATATTAAGTATGACGGCATATTACAGCCAAGCAGCATAATCCGGTGAGCACCCAAATTGCTTTTAAGTGTACCATATTTTAATGATCCAGGGCACTGACCATAATGAAAGGACGTCTCAAAGGAGCGCAAAAAGGTCACTCTTTGTTGAAGAAAAAGGCAGATGCATTGACTTTGAGATTTAGAAATATCTTGAAAGACATCATAGAGGTATTGAAAATAAATAAATTCCTCAAATTAACCTTTTTATTTTACTTGGTCTAATGCATACAAATTGTTATTTTAGACCAAAACAGTGATGGGTGAAATAATGAGGGAAGCTCAGTTTTCATTGGCGGAGGCAAATTTTGCCGCAGGAGATTTTAGGTTAGACCTAAATATATGGATTGAAGTTAATCTTAAATGATATCAACCAATGGTTATTGATTGTGTGACCAATTTCTTTGCTGTCTTGCAGTTACGGAGTGTTGGAAAATGTTGACAAGGCTCAGACAAAAGTTCGTGCAAGAAATGAAAATGTGGCTGGTAGGTGTTCAGCTTGAATCATGCAAAAAATCTAAAACATGTACAACATTTTCTTTTTTTCATTTATTGTGTTCATAATCAAGGTGTGACACTTCCTCTGTTTGAAGCCACCTCTGATGGTGCCAGTGGTAAGTCAATTTCTTGTTTGATATTTCTTCATAGATCAACTTGACATTTTTCAACTCTCAATTTTTCATTTGATCAACTATTATAATTTTCCCCAGCTTATGAACTAACTGGTTTATCTCGTGGAGGACAACAGGTCAATAATTGCAAAGAGGTTTTTGCCAAAGCTGTCAATCTCCTAGTAGAACTTGCTTCTCTTCAGGTAAATACATTTCTTCCAGCAAAGTATGTGTTGCTTCTTTCTTGGAATGATCCAACACGATCATTTTTTCTCCCAGACTTCCTTTATTACTCTTGACGAGGCCATAAAGATCACTAATCGTCGTGTCAACGCCATTGAGCATGGTAGGTTTCCAATGTAAATTCAGTGAAGTAAAACTCTAATAATCTACCCATGGCTTAAAAAATGCCTTTTTTTACCAACCCAAGTTATCATCCCTCGGATCCAGGCAACCATTGCTTACATAAACACTGAACTTGACGAGCGAGACAGAGAAGAATTCTACAGGTGAGAATTCATGATTCTGTAGACACCATCTCATATCAGAGAGATTGGTGATATGTGGCTTGCTTGCGAACTGAATTTTAATTGTCAGTCTGCAAGCAGGCTATGGTACTGGTAGTATTTAATGAAGAGATTGATACTGACAGGCATCACTACTTTCTTTCTGAATAGACTTAAAAAGATTCAAGAAAAGAAGAAGATCAAAAAGGCGAAGGCAGAAGCAGCAAAATTGGCTAGTGGTGAAAAACCATCAGGTATGGAGTAGGTCACTGTCCTGAATGCATATTATCATTAGAGCTGAAAAACAGATCTTTCCTTTGAACAGTTATCTCCTGATTGTCCCTATTATCTACATGATTGTTCCTATTATCTACCTGATTGTCCCTATATCTATCTGATTGTTCCTATTATCTACCTGATTGTCCCTATATCTACCTGATTGTCCCTATTATCTACACAATTGTTCCTATTATCTAGCTGGTAGTGCCGCTGTTCCAAATCTTCTTGAGGATGACAGAGATGAAGACCTTCTCTTTGAGTGAAATATCCTCTTGAAAACAATATTCCAAAGTGATCAAAAACATTTCCAAGTGAGCACAAATGTTCCTAAATCTCCATCACAACCTAATAACAGTGTTTTGTGGTGCATTGTAAGGCTAATGCTATGTAGAAATCATGATTATTTATTTGATGGGCTGGAACACCAGGAGAGGCTGCAGCTGGGGGGGGTTCTTACTTTCAAGATCAAGATTAGGATTTGATTTAGGATTAATGAGATGATTAGGGGGATTCTTACTTTCAAGATCAAGATTAGGATTTGATCTAGGATTAAGGGGATGGTTAGGGGAGGTTTGATAAAGTTTGAAAATAAAACCCCTCCATTTGAAAATATAAACACCGACCATACCACTGAACTGAAGCCCATTGTAAAATTTATCATTTTATCCAAGATATCAAATTTAAAAGGCAGAACAACGTCAGTTGTGAATTTCTTGACAAAAACTTTAAATGTAATCCATGATCTGTTTAAATAGCTGGAGCATGATTGATAGTAAATTTTATATTATAAATGAGCTTTATCTGATAAATGTAATATTTATAATGAATTTAAGCAGAACAAACATAACAAACGTCAAAGACATGGCGATGAAGTGTGTTGATATGAACCTACTGTAGTTGTAAACATATTAGGTGTAAAAAACTGCACAAACAGTAGAGGCTCAGTATTCAGTATATAATACTTCAATTATATCGCCATTTTAAGAGTACAATGGTCAGCAAAACCAGGTGGTATAATAGCATGTCTGCAGACACACGATACAGGTCAAAGCTTGAAATCTGATTAGAAATGCAAGCTTTGGAAACAAATCATTGCAAAAAACACCAAGTCACTTCTCAAACTAGAGGAATATCTACCCCCAGTCTGACAGAACACGTCCTTCCCGTGAGATAAGAAGGATTTGGAATACATTGAAGAACATTAAAATGCTTCAATTTTATTACAACTGTGTCTCGACGGTGAAGATCTATTGAAACGTGGAAGAAACATCACAATTTTCAGATGTATCTTAGGGGAATTGGGATACATCGAAGGACATCAAAATGTTCCAATTTTATCACAACTGTGTCTCAAAGACAAAAATGAAGCCGGATTTCAATAATGCGTTTCAGAAAACATCACGTTTTCAATGAATGTTAGAGGAATTGGCCAAACACGGAAAAGTTGAAGAGACATCAGGATATTCAAAATTTCAAATGTCTTCCTGGAGTGTTTTCCATTCGACCAGCGACAGGTGGTTGTTTGAAAATTCAGCTGGTGTAATCAGGTCACTTTATTGCAGTCTTTTTGTCTTTCATCTCTCGATTCTTTTGACCTCATAAGACAAAGGAAGCTGGAAATAATCTCTAAAGGTAAGGTTGATATAAACGTTATTAATATAAGCTTGCATTTACCAAATACCGGGGAACTGTACTCAGTAAATTCCGTGAACTAAGTGTAGTTATTAAAAGATTTGTTTTACATGTTATTGGGTGAAATGAATTGTTCATTGAACCAAATATAAACAATACAATTATCCCAGTCAATTGCTGTCCTTACATCTCACGCAAATATACTTACTATTAAAGCAAATGTATTACTTTTTTTATTTGAATTCTATATTCCAAGTTGCTACATTGAAAACACAGAAAAGGTTACGTTGGCCGTGAATTTATTATTAGTAACAAAATGTATATAGTGTATATATAAGGCGATATAATCCTTTTTGCTGACAGCATATAATAGTACAGACAACAATATTTTACTAAAGAATATTGTTTGTATAACCTACAATATTTCGTCCATGAGATGCAACACTGTGCAGATAGATACACTTCAGGTGAAAACCTTATTATATACTGTAGTGGTTTGTCCACACGAGATCTATAGGACAGGTGTAGGTGCTGTAGACGTACCTTTGATCGAAGACGTAGAGCAATCCTATCAAGCGTAAACTCAATTTCATTGAACAATTTGACGGCTTCGACTTTTTCTTGGGCGACGAGTTCAACTTTCAAGATGATGGCAGAAGGCTACTTATAATTATATGTTTTCTTATAGGTTATGGCGTCATTTAGCCAACAGTTGTCCTTGATTGCTTGTCTGTTTATTGTGTTGATTTCCCTCGTGAGATCAGGTAAGTTTTCTTCAGTTCAAGATTATACACGACTCTGAAGAAAACCGTCACGGTTTGCACATGGTTATCCAGGCGTGTTCGTAATATAGAGACATGACTCGTTTAAGATCTGATGATAGTTTGATGTGCTCCTAAATTATGCTTTTCAATTTGTAGAGCTGGTCTGTGAGGACAAGACGAAATCATGCAAAAAATGGGCTGGTGAGAAAAACCTTTGTGATGAAAATCACAAATACAAAAAACAGCGCTTCTTTGTCTCGATGTCAAGGCTTTGTAAGAAGAGTTGTCTTATGTGTGGGGATGACGGTATGCTATCTTTCATGTGTACGACTTCTAGGAACTTATACGTTTAAAAAAACCTCAACAGAACACTTGACCTATTCCAATGTTTAGATGCGATCTTTTGATACGGACTCTCGTTGTTTCTCGTACTTCAAGAAAGGATATTGTGACATGAAACCTCATCAAGGGTTTATGTTGAAGCGATGTAAGTACAGTTGCCGCAGCACCATTCGTAGCGGTATCATGTCCCCCGGTCGTGGTAACTTCCAAAGGAACGACCCCCCTGCACAACAAGCGCAACAACAGCAGCAACAACATGGGTACTGGAACCAACAACAAGCAGACAACAGGTATCCCCAGCAGTACAACCAACAATACGCGCAGCAATACGGCCAGCAGTACGCTCAAAATTACGGTCAGCAGCAGGGTCAGCAGCAGACTCAAAATAATGGTCAGCAACAGTACGCTCAGCAATATGCGCAACAAAATGATGCACAACCACAACAACAACAACAAAATTCTGGTCAACAACAAGCCGCTGGTCAACAACCCCAGACTCAGACACAGGGTACCCAATCAATTGGAGACCTTCCTGTGCAGGTTCAAGCCCTATCAAGAAAGCATAAATTAGAGAAATCAGAAAAACATCATCACGATGATATGGATGATGATGATGCAGTCAACGATACAGATGATGACATGGACTAAATTTTGAATGTGTAATCTTCGATAATGACGATACAACAGGTTGATTGTATGACCCATTTCTGTAATCTCTCTCCGACAATGAAATATATTTGTCTTTGACGCGATCATCCGTAGATTGCTTTAATTGGATTAAATGAACTGACTTTTCAGTATTTCTAAGCACGTAACTGATTTAAATTAAACGATATTTTGTATATAGTCAAGTCTTTGACGTTGAACTGGAAACAATAAAATCATTTCTCTGTTTTCATAATTTCGAGCTTTGCATAGAAATGCTTTGAGTAATCAATATTTCCCGGAAATTAATCCAGATAGAGTACATGTCTAATGCCGAAGGACGTTCGCCCTTTAAATGCGACAGTTGGGTCGGGGTGCACCCCCCCCACCGCCGTGGAAACGTAGTGTGGGGATGTCTTTATATGAAATCAGGACAAATTAGGACAAATGATTGAGAGTTAACAAATGATTGAGGACAAATGATTGACATTGCATGGTGAGATGTTTTCTGTTTCAACGTCGTCTCGAAAAAGCAGAGCGAAGTGTGTAAGTCTCTCACCTCTTGAAATATAACGAAGAAGGGTTGAAAATATCCCGTTAAAATATGTTTTATCTTTTTGTGCAATCGTTGGCAATGATGCCATTCACGACAGAAGCTATTCTCTCACGAGCAGGTGCTGTCACGCTTTGACAAGTTGCGAAAAAACAAACGCAATCCGGTGAAGACAAAATATCCATCCCTAAAAATACCATAAAAGGTGAGAATTTTTACTGTTATTAACAAGGACTAGAATACCTACGGATATCTTTAATGGTCTAGCCATCAAATAATGTTATTACGAAACGAAAATAGCTCTTGAACTATTTACTTCCTGTAGAGTTTAGATTTAAGTTTATTGAAACAATAAGTAGCATTTTTTAAAGTAGACTTTTATATCTTTGTGCTCCGTAAGCGGCCATGTATGAGCCAGACTGAAGCACAAGTGTGATGTAAAATAACGTTTTTTAGTTGGTTTTATTATTAGTTAGTATTTATCACCTATGGCTATGTAGTAACGTTCTCGTTTCACCCAGATGTCCTGGGAACGAAATGATCAAACGTATAGATACCTGAGGTCTTGTATCATATATAGTATCCATACTTATCTATATCGTCTCTATATTCGCATGCTACCTCTCGTGAGACTTATCCAGTGATGAAATCCTCACTCTATTGCCTCAAACATAGTTGTAATTCAAAGTGATTTTCTGAAACTGACAAGCTGTTTCCTCTATGATGTTATGAAACTCTCCAATGTTCGGTAGCATTAATAATAAAGTCATTCTTTTACTTTATACAAAGGTCATGAAATTATTGGCTTGGTTTTTTGTCGGCTGTATTTTGATCATATCAGGTAGACGTTTGATGGATATTTTTCGGATATTTTTTAACAACTTTTCGGGCACGCCGCGATTCCTCCTTGAAAACATCTCTCTTCTCTCATTTCAGTTTCAGGCGGCAAAAGAAAATGTGAAAACATATCAAAAGATTGTGCGAAAAAGGCGAAACAAGGCTGGTGCAGCAAAAACCAGTCGTACGCCGCTATGGGCAGAAAATGTCAGAAGGCTTGTAAAATGTGTGATAAAAGTAGGTGGAGGTTTTTGTACCAGATGATTCAGTGCCCGACTATATATTACCTACCAAGTTCCAACCTTTGCATAGAAACGTAATCGGTAATTCTACCCTCCTAAATCAGCACCTCTACTTGAACGTTTGTTGAAAAGTATACCTCACTTGTGTTCATGCACGGTCAACTTTTCAGAACACAAGGTATTCGATATTGATGCCCGATGCAGCAGATGGAAAGAACTTGGGTATTGTGATGCTGATCCACACTCCCTTTATATGTGGAGAAGTTGCAAGTACAGCTGCCCTAAGCTAGTGAAAGCATTTTCCTGGCCTGAAGAATAATTATGAGATATGACTGTCCATGGAATTCAACTGGCGCTGAGAGGATAGCTATATCTCAAAGATTGAGACAACACTCTTTTATATAATTCTTTGAAGACAAGTATTAAATCGAAGTATATTTATTCCACTGACTGATTGTAAGTTCTATAGTGTGTATTTAATCGAGAGATAATTAAACTTTGCAAAAACTTTGAATCCATATTTGTTATTATGGGTTGATTGAAGTCATGTTGGTTTAGCAAAAGCCGGTGTCAAACGTTCGCTCATTTTATGCAAAGAAGCTGTAAATGAAACAAGATAAGCTTCAAATGTGGACGTAACATACAGCCATTACGACTTACTGAATATAAATAAAACCTAGGGGCTCTCCTTTATACGGTAACTGAAACAGCCAGACCAGTCCTGTTATATTTAGTAAAGACAGATTACTGGTATTTTAGAGTGTCTCTAAGAAATCTCGATTCAAGTATATTATTTAGATCTGCCTAGCATGGGAAATGCAGTTTCACCGCTATATATTCTTAACGGAATACTCTATTTCATCTCAAAATATGACTGGTCTGACCATTTTGGTCGCCTAAAAGGAAAGCGCCCTAGGTCCATATTGCAAGGTTTTATTCTGTTACTTTGACGATTATCTTTCTGCCGGAAAGGTTGACTGGATGGTTTGGATGACATCACCATATCACAATGGTTGTAAAAGTACATAATATAGGTAATAGGCGAAGTATAAAATATGGACTAGCCCAGCGTCGGCTTCCACGATTTTCCTGAAGTGCATAAAAGTGGGTATCGAGTTTCTCCATCTTATACTAATCTGGTATGATTCGTGACGATTATGCTAAAACAGAGATAAGAAAACAGTGGCATCTTATACTGAAATAATGTACTGGGATGATCATGCGCGCATGCGCGTTGGCGCTGCTCCATGCAACCATTTGTTCTTAACTAAATTATTTTAATAAATAAGACAGGTACTTACAAAAACATTTCTGGTTGGTTGGCCACAGTGTCTCATTTTCAAAGTATTATATCACGTTCACGTTACTGCTGTCCGCTTGTTCTTTAAAAGTATTTAAACGGAAAAGAAAATTGTATTAGGATAATCTATAACAAAGGTAAGCACCTCGTACAGTCATCAATACGTTCTTATAGTTCATTTTTTTATCTGGAAAATTAATTACATCGGCCAGATAACTTTGACCGAAATTTCAGTCAAGTTCAATTAATCTTAATTTCTCACGATTAACTACTAACTGTTTCTTACTTTTTTTGAAAACCGTGAGCGTAAGACCAGTCTTTATTCTTCAAATAGTCGGTTGATTCTAAGTAAAATGCTTTTCATGTTGTTATAATTTTTGTTAAACCCATTTGAGGAAATTGAAAGTACCCCAGAGGCCTAATTGAATTAGTATCATATATTCTCATGCATTTTTTATGTATTTAATTTGCTTGTGTAAGTAAATGGCGAAGATAAAATATAATCAGTACTGTGGAATTGCTATTTACTTAGCGACAAACTGTCACAAACATGAATTATTTTAAATATGTGGGGGGATTGAGAATTCATCGGTATTGGCTATATCTGACAATCAATAAGACTTATATAGTTAACCAGTAAACTCATATATTATATGGAAGTTCACTTGGTAACAGAAAATTTCTCCATATTAAATAGACCTTTCACTCTTCCATTAGTCCTACTGAACTATTCCAACAGGCCTGTTTTCTTTTTATTAGAAATGAGGTTTAACCTGTTCATCGTCGTTTTAGTCGTGTGCTTTGTTTGGACTATCGCAGGTTTGTTCATCAACTCTCTACATGGCATTCTAATTTTACAATGCTTCGTTTTAGGCGTTTTATCATAGGTTTTTACATTTAAAAAGATCTTTTTGACCTTCTCAATTGTCACTCTTAAATAGGGCCCGACCGCCCCGTATGTTATTTCATGCATTAGCACTATAGGAGGTTCAGGATTAACGGTATAGTTTGCATATACTACTTTCTTACTTACTGGGATGTCACTGTTTTAATATTTCTCTTTGCAGGAAAAAAGTGCGAGGACAAGAAGAAAGATAAATGCAAGAATTTGAATCCAACGACTTGCGCGCAGAAAGGACCAGAAGACTGCCAGAAAAGCTGTCGCCAGTGTGGAGAAGGTAAGATGACAATGCATCTGTATCGCGATCGTCTCTGACTCTGAGTAGTCTCGTCTGCATGAGATGTCAATTGTGAATATTCCGAGACAAGAACGCTAGACAAGTCGTATGGATGCTATATATATATATATATATATATATATATATATATATATATATATATATATATATATATATATATATAAATATATATATATATATATATATATATATATGTCTATAGAATTCCGATCTGTACAAAAAAATAAACGAAAAATCAGGATCATGATAGTTCAATTGAGCTATTGTTCTTAAGAACAATACTCTATTGTTCTTAAGAACAATACTCCATTTTCTAAATTTTGGTCTATACTGAATATAAACGTCCGTTGTCCCCATTTCCTTCAAATTCTCCCTAAATACAAATGAAAACTATGGACAGATTGACTTTGGACTGAAAACTATAGACGGAAAACAAGTGCTTCTTGGCATTTCCAACAACCATGCACACACAACTAATTGCGATCTGATCTTTTAGGGAGTAAAAAGTTTGACCGATCCCCAAGATGCTGGTCTTCGATTCAGAGTAGTGGATGCGCAAGATGGGTGTCCCAGTGTCCTTATTCATGTGAAGGTATGTTTTCATGTCTATATTAAGGCCAAATATGCAATTTTGGCAGACCAAATATTTAAGTGTGTGAGCAGTCTGTGGAATAGCATAACAGGCAAGAACGTTAACATTATATTTTGTGATGATACGTAATGGTGTACCGATTAATTCGTTTTAGGTTTTCACGCGGGATATGGGCAGCAAGGTATGGGTAGTCAATATGGACAACAAGGTCCATATGGACAAGGTCAATATGGACAAGGTCAATATGGACAACCAGGGCAATATGGACAACAAGGTCAATATGGACAACGACCTGGCCAATATGGACAACAAGGTCAATATGGACAACAACCTGGCCAATATGGACAACAACCTGGCCAATATGGACAACAACCTGGCCAATATGGTGGTAGTCAATTTGGTGTGCAACAACCACGCTCGCCCTATGGCCAAGATGCAGCAGGTGGTAATGCAGCAACAGCCGGCGCCACAGATACTCAAAACCCCGCTGGCAATGTCTTCCGTAAACACAAGTTGGAAACCGGTAAAAAGGAGCACCATAAGAAATCGAAGACCCATCATCATCATCATCACCACAGTGATGAGTAAACATCGTTTCAGTTATCATGAAGTATAAAGAACAAGTACTGTCTCTGCTTTGCAAAATCAACTTGTTTTAAGCAATATTAGTTTGTATTTTATCACTCAAAGATACATCGCCGAAGGCGAATAATTGAATAATCGTATTATCCAATTTATGTATCTGATATTCTTTATTTAATGTTTTTGATGAATATATAATGAATATGTATGAAGTATTGATTCATTAAATGAAGGAATATTGTTGTTGCTCTACGTTTATCATTGCAACCCGCCACTTGTAGTTGTTCCCAACCGTTCCCAACTTAGCCAACTGTAAATATTGGCACATAAGGAAATGCAAGATCAAGGGTGGAAACACAGCAATATACATCTGGGAGTAGTCGCGACATTTTTGAACTGGCGGAGTGGTAGTAAGTAATGCTTCTTGTGCTAATAATGCTAATTTTTTACAAATGCGTATGGTCAAAGCAACGTTATATTTTTCTAAAAAACGAACACACTGTTGTATGGTTACATAGAATCACATATGCTAGAACTAGCAACAGTTTTCTTACTTGTTCTAATCATTTAGCGTAGAAGAGAAAATTGATTTTAGAATATTTCACACTTATATACACTTTTTAATAAAAATATACAGGAGTCGAAATTATCTCCAGTCCTGTAGCCGATCTCGTATATCTGCAGTCTTGGTCACTGATTGTTGCTATTTGATTCTTGTAATCTTTCGTAGAAAAGATAAGGGCTCTCTTCAGAGGATTCTAAAGAGAAGGTTTCATAATGAAAAATATGTCAACGCTAGATTTTTTCCGTTTCTGACGTAGGCTTTTCTACTTAAGCTTTACTTAAACAGTTTCTGAAAAAAATGCATTCAACAAACTGAACAAACTGTTAAGACTTAAATTCAACAAGCTGTTAAATTCAAGAATCTGATTTGCAATTTGCATTAATACTTTGGTATTTGGTAAACGTCTTTTAAACACTCAGCTACAGGTGAATAATCGTATAATTTCCATACCTAGTCTTCTTCTCGTGCGGGGCCGTTCCACCTTCGTATTCACTCGGTATGTCGATGTTTAGATCGTCCAATGATATCGGGGATAGTGCGGGAGCCGGAATTGGTAATGGTTTCTCAGATCTGAGGACAGGCGGTGCTTCCAGTGGTGTAATCTTTGCTTCCTCTTCCTCCTGCTGTCGTTGTTCTTCTTTTTCTCTTAATCTTGACTCTTCTTCTTCCGCGTATTCCTCCAGAGCCTCCTTCATGTCCTCCTTTTCGTCCTGGGTAAGAGGTGGCGTCGGTCGTGGTGTGGGTTTCGTAGGTTTGGGAGCAGCCGTGGGGCGTGGGGAACGGCGCTTTGGAGGTTTGGCATATTTAACCGTGTAGCGACGGTTTGAATATTTTTGGCAACTGTAGGGACAAAGTCTTCTCATTTTCCGATTATACATCTTGATCCCGCAGAATCCTGTTCTACCCCACGTTGGACATCGTTCATCCCTGTCAGCCACTGAAGGATTATCTAAGACAAGTAACCGAATATCGTGTTTAATTTATCTGCAAGATTATGACGTTTGCCTAGCTACAAGTTATCAAAACTGTCCAACTGTCTATGGTACAGCAAGCAAACTGATTCTGAAGCATTCTTGCATTCATTCTTGTTCTAATTTTGGTTGAAAAAAATGGTGTTATTTATCGTAAAAAGACATACCGTTTCCACAAATCTGACAACTCTTTTTACAGACATCCAACATGAATGCAGAGTAATGCATGCAATCTCCTTCCTTTGCCCAGAGGCTGCATTTTGCATGGTGATTTTTGCATTCCCTATTGATTTTCGTCTTCTGTGCTGTAATAATGTTAAAAATAAAAAGATTCTTACGTGTCATGACATGACCTGACGGTATCCCTTAAGATTGGGCACAAGAAATATTCAATGCTGCGGTTTCCCATGCTTTATTGTTAGTTTTTAGAATGTACTAAACCTTTACTATAAGGGCTACAAAAACGACACGTCAGTTTGCAATAGTCGCTCATCAGTTGTCGATTAATCAGGCAAGCATTCGGATCTCCTTTCAACATCTTAGCACATTGTAGTTTTGTCTTTGTGTTCTTGCAATTTTCTGGTTTGATACTTCTCGAATCTGTGCGAGAATGTAAAAATTTCATATCAAAAATCGCGCGCACTGAAAAAAGCTGAGCTTTTGGGAAGGTTCGCACAGGATGTTTTGAATTACTTCACGACATGCATCCTCCGTGAAATTCGCGCCATGGCAGAGGACTCGGTTGTAAAACAGTTGGAAACTTACATGCTTTGAGGTCAAAATTTCCTATGTCGCTCTTTTTAAATGGTGAAACTGTTTCTTCTAAAAACATAGATAAATAAACCATAAAACTAATGTGGAAAGGTTTGGGTTGGGTGAAAGTAGGTCGCGTGTTCATATTTCCTTGAATGATCCGGCGGATGATAGTCCATATCTGTACCGGATGCTTGAAATGCACAAACATGATCTTTTACTTTTAAATGCGAAACACTTATCTATGCTTGATGATTCTGATGGATTCGTCATACCTTTCTTTTTGACGAGACGTATTTTCTCACTGGAGACATTTTCACTGGATATAAAGAAGAGTAGAACTCCAAGTGCAACCCAAGCGAACCTTGGTGCCGACATTTTTCTCCTTCAAGACAAAAAGATAACTATCTACTGTAGACATATTACTGTAGAATATAAAAAACATTATTCAAAAAATATGGCTGGTTTAAATGCGTTTTTTGGAGGATAAGTTGCGCAGAATCACGAGAAACAATCTTGTATTATTGAAGAGAGTGAAATGCGTGTAGTATTTTAGGTAAAAAAATGTAGATCAGTACTTTGAGTTCAGTATATTGGGTAACTGGAGAAGTTTTAGTTTACACATGGTTACTGAAAACAGGTACCAAATACACTTTACATAAACATCTATTCCTCCTTTCACAAGAATAATGATATTTTCATCTTTATTGAAAAACAATAACCAAAACTTTGTTACGAACTGAAAACACGAATAGATAAATTTAAAACCTAGAGCCGGGTTTGTTTTTTTTACCTAAAAACATGTATCGTTTGTCTTGGAGTTTGTGCGTTCACCTAACCTGTCAATCTTGCGCTCATTAAAATCTTAATCAAATTTGATTGTTTTAAAAAATGAAACTGCTCATAATCATATATGATATTCTTACCTTTCCAGTTGTGTTTTCTATTTGTTTCTGTGTGTTTCCAGCTATTTAGATTGTATTATTTTGTCAGACCGAAAGCTAAACTGATCGAGTTTTCAATTTTGTCATCATCGAGAATAAATTACGCAAGGTTACGCATGCGTGAAATTGCTAATGGTTATTTTGGAAATGCATGAAGCGAAAAGTCAATTGGTTTGATAGGTTCAAAGGGTCTTAATTTCGAGTGGAGTTATACACACTTCAAATTCAAGCCAGGAACAGTTGATGGAAAAATGGAGTCAACTATCGGTCCTCCGGCAGGAATTCGTCCTTCAATTAATTGCAACCTGGCTCTACATCCGAATTCCCCCCCTGAATTGACTCAAATTTCAAAATATTGTACACGTTGAATGAGCATCGAGAATTCATAGTCAAATTTTCACCTCATGCAACGAACACTATGCAACACGAAAAAAGCGAGCCTCTTGCAAAGAAAGTTAAGTTGGATTCAGCTGAAAACAATCGAGCAAACTCGCTTTCAAAAGATAGTAAAATTGGACTAGAAAATACTACAGCTGAAGCAGCAAGGCCGCCATATTGCCTGTCACGGGACATGCAAAACCCACGAGCTATTTTACACGACAAATATTCGCGACCATTGGAGACAGGTAAGCGATTTCGATAAAATTTTTAGCTTGTCTAATTTTGTTGTGAACAAACTCCTTTGATCAACAGCATCTCTATGAAATTCTATAGTTGACGTTTTTATATGTACCGCGAACGATCGGAAACAGACATCCAGAATAATGCGGTATGAGTAAAATTAAACAAAATATTACAGAAAAGTAGAGTGTTTCATTAAAAGTACAATTTCGTATGTTCAAATAGGGAAGTTGGAGAAGTATATCCATTTGGTAGTTTAAAGCATTTGAAACGAGTTAGGAATCAAGGTTAGTTTATATTCGTATTTTTCAAGTGCCTTATTGTAGCATCCCATATGGTCTAGTGGTTAGGATTCGTGGTTTTCACCCACGCGGCCCGGGTTCGATTCCCGGTATGGGAAATACAATTTTTTCTGCCCAAAACTGTTTAAAATAATTTTATTCAGCGGAAATCCTGTTCAGTAAACATCGTGCTATAAAAGTATTTTCATTTTTTCGGAAGAAGAATTTCTGAAAGAATTCCGCTTTTCAAAGCTCTATATTTTGTGATTTTCCCTTTCTCGCTCCATACTCCCAGATAAGCACACAGAATGGGAATGTGGCCAACCTGTTCGCAGGTGACACTAGCTAGCTGAATGTTTGTGACAGGGGGGATAAGAGTAACATAGTTCACTGGGATTACATCGCACGCGATTTAATAGAACGTTTGTAGCCGTATTATAATTATTATTTAGTTTTGAGACCAAAAATAATGCAAAAATTTAATCAAAAGATGATAAAAAGATGTATTTCCCATACCGGGAATCGAACCCGGGCCGCGTGGGTGAAAACCACGAATCCTAACCACTAGACCATATGGGATTGACGCTGACAGGGCTCAAATTATCGTGTAAATTCTAATTCGGTAGTTAAAAATGAGAACAGTGATAATTAAGAATGAGAATGCTGATGATTAAAAATGAGAATAAAAGTTGTCTAACAATGTTTTTTTTGTAAAGGTGGAAAATTGGATATGATTATTACTACCGTGCAGAATGTAGCAACGCCAGGTGGTCAAATGACGCTAGATAAATTGTTTCAAGGATCATCTGTGAACTTTGCTGGACTCTCTGATCCATCCGTGACCTGTGTACCCAAATACCCAGCACTAACAAGACAGCAGTACGAGGAATATTCCAAAATTTGGCCAATATCATTTCACGAGGACAAACGGTGAGAGGGTAGAGCCTTAGGAGTTAGAAACATTAGAAAAGTAACACTCGTGTCAATTTTAAAACTAAAGGAATTTTGCTGACAAGTTCCAAAAATCCCTTGTCCATGACGGGGGTATTCGACTTTGGACTGGGGTGCACATAGGAACTATAAAGGATAGTGAAGGCGCAACGTGGGTGAATGATCCATTGGTGTATTTTTTATGGGGGTGATTACTTCATTTGGATAGTTCCTGGGTAATATGTAAACACTATTTTTATAATATTTTCCTGTATTTTTTTAACTAGTATAACAAGGCTTATAAATGGTGAGATGTTTAACGAGATTGAACTCAGGGAGATGACGTGGTATATGGAAGAGGCGTTTAACGTTGCCGTCTTAGCGAAGAAAAAAGGAATGGTATGTCAATGAACTTATGTATGATAAAACGGTGTTGTGTTGTCAGGAATGCCTGACCGACATACTAGTTTTAAAAACAAATTGAATCTGTATCTTTAGTGTCAGGTTGGAGCCGTTGTCGTAAATCCAAGTTCGAAGAAAATTTTATGTAAAGCACACGATTTGACTTGCCAACACCCGTTGTATCATACAACCATGGTATGTATTGATCTGGTCGCCAAGCTGCAGGGCGGAGGAGCCTGGGATCTGGATATGGATCTTCTCGGATGCGAGGAGGGAATGGACAGGACAGTGAGAGATAAACATGATCATTTGAACACAGCTGCTGGTTCCAACAATATAGTTTCATGCAGTGAAAAAAGACCAAACACAAGAATTGACTCTATCTGTTCAAGTAAAACTGGAGAAAGGGATGAAAGGACACAAAGTGCATCTGACCATAACTCGATCTTTCCTTCAACAGAAATTGTAAAGAATTTAGATAAAGAGGAAGATGCCCCATATTTGTGCACAGGATATGATCTATATATAACCAGGGAGCCTTGTACAATGTAAGCATTTCTGCCTGCATGCTCACTATGTCTTTCAATTTCGAAATTAAAATGAGCTGGTTCAAAGTTTTCCAGTTCGACTTTATCATGATGTGAATTTCCTGAGGAGTATTTTTTAATTTTGTCTTGTAGGTGTGCAATGGCCTTACTTCATTCCAGAATACGCAGAGTATTCTACGCATGCGCCAATCCAACATTTGGAGGACTAGGTTCGAGGTATAAGATTCATTGTTTGGACGGAACAAACCATCATTTTGAAGTTTTCGCCGGTTTGTTAGAAACTAAATACAGCGAACTTCTTTGACATCGCAAAAGATAATGGAAACGCACCATGGAGAATCGATAATGTCATGCCTCTCAGGCTCTAACCTATTCCCATCATTCAGCGCGCGTAGACGTCCACTGGATGTTGGGCGATGTCTGGGGACGAGTCAGCTGGGTTGCCAGCTGGCAATGGTAGTCACGTGCACTGCCTGTGTGTTATTTATGCTAATTATTCCGATATTTATGCTAATACCTGATATTTATTCACGCCCACGTAATGAAATTCCAGTTTGTCATTAATAAAATCAAAATATTCTCATCTGGAAAGGGACAAGACGACCTTTGTATTTTAAACATCGGTATTTTCAATGTGGAGTAAGATTTTGATTTAATCTTTGCGAATAGAAATCATATTTTATCAAAAGATAAAATTTTATAGCATTTACAACCGTACAACGATAGGGGATCATCTTTTTATGTAAAGGATTCACAATTAAGCTTCGTCATGAGCGGCCACAAACGACAATGGGTTCTTGTCGTTCTTGTTTGTCTAGGTTTATTAACGTTATATACTGCTAATGGACACCCGTATCTCGAACGAAATGCTGAGACGGGAATAAGAGATGATCCAGCAGAACTTATGCTGCTTAGTTTGGTGGAAAGAGAAGCAAAAAACGAGGATATATCTGGAGGACAACAGTCTGGTTCAAGTGAAAATGTGGCTACAACCAATTCATTACAGTCAAATACAATTTCAGCCAGTTTAATGAAACAACAAACCCCAAGCCTATCGACTTTAAATCGAAATGTGGCTACAGTTGCCTCGGACAAGACGAGTATTTCGAAGGCAGCGTTGACTCAGAATGTAAGAATTATCGCAACAACAAATGTGGCGACAGGTATCACTATCGGTTTGACAAGTACTCGAACTACGAGTGTAAACATGAATAAAACGAATTCAAGTCGAACGCTTCAAAACGCCCCAAATAAATCGAGTATAATCTTGGCCACGTATGCAAAAGAATTGAAGCCTTCATCTATCCAGCACCCAACTGGGAGCCTATCTTTGAGCGTGGTCAATGGTGCGTCAAGCTTCAACTCTGCATTAACATCTAGTCCTAGGACAACCGTTCTAGCAACGAAGCCTGCCCCAAGTTCTGTGGCTGTAAATTTAAACCTAAGTGGATCAACTAACTCAGCAGCCATTAGACAGCAAATAATCACCAGTTCTCTATATCTGAATGTCATTCCTACAAGTTCTGCTGGGCTACAAAACGTACCATCATCTAATGTCATTTTCAACAGTATGGTAGTACAATCAAGCCCATTAGTCAGGTCAAGCATAGCTGCATCAGAAAAAGCATCAATGTCAATTACAACACCCAAACTTGGTGCTTCTAGGACATCTTCTCAGAGTCTAACAGAATCAACAGCAATTCAGAAGCCTTCTGAAACATCATCCACCAAAGCTATATCCAAGGGCCTATCAACTATTGCTCTAGAGGTACCATCCACTCAGGTATCAAGCAGCGCAAATACTAAGCCACCATCCCAAACATCAGAAAAACTACCATCTACAAACCAGCAAACTACACCACCATCGACAACACCACAAGGATCCTCCTCACCACCTACAAAAGGAATTACTGTGCCTGAGTCTACTTCTACCGTCAGAAGTAGCGACAAACCAACAACTAAATTAACTACTAAAAATCCGACCACAGTGGAGAGTAAAAAGCCATCAACAAAAGCTACTTCTTCTGCCTCATCAACAAGTGAAACCTCAACAACTGTTACAAAACAACCAACCACAAAAATGAAACCAAAGACAACAAAGGAAGTTAAAACAAAAGCAACTTCTAAAGCAACAACAACAGCAAGTGATATGTCAACAACTGTCCCAAAAAAACCAACAACAAACCCGAAACCTGAGACGACAAATGAACCAATAATGCCTAAAACAACAGCAGCTGAAAAAGCCCAAACAATCAAGCAAAATAATGGTAATTAAAATAACAATCCATACTATACTTTATAATATATTATACTTTATAACAGCAATTATTCTCTTAAATTTTTATAGATGAAGGAAGAATGCCCCCTCCAGACCAAGGAAAAGAAGCTGTGTTGTGGGATTTCATAATTCCTGTAGCAATTGGAACAGGTGTAGCACTTGTAATTGCATTTGGTGTCATAGTAGTCAGAGCTTGTCGAAGAAGACGATTGATTAAAGTCAGATTTGGAGGAAAGGTTGGTGTTAACATATAGAAAACATTTTCACTGAAACCATGCTAAAAAGTTCATTTCATTAACTGGATATTTTTATTTACTTTCCAGCCAAGTCATCCGCGATTGCTAAATAATGATTTGATCAACCTTCTGGCAGAGTCGGATGATGAAGAAGAGGAATAATTTAGTTGTGAATGTCGTCAAGCTTATAAATTATCATTCTAATGGTATCCAAGTGTTTTTAAAGACAGATTTATAATATATATTTACCATTAGTTATTTTTACACTTTACAGTAGTGTGTTGAGTTATTTTTATGGGCATATTTATCATAAATATTCTGATGAAAGCCTTGTTGAGTGTAAGGTGTAGGTAGAGTTACTTAGCAATATGTAGACCATACACAGCAATAGACCATAGCCAACAACTTTATATATTTTATGGACTAACTTTGGAGAGTCATTATCAATATGGATGACTGTGCATGTACCTTACACATGAAGAACTTCAAGCATTTTTCAGCGGTCCATTCTCATTTGCCATCAGAAAAATTTGTGGGAATGAGTCTAAAAAGAACTAATCACTAATCAACTTCGAATTCCACATGAGTTCATTTTTTGTAAATTGATATTGTATTTTTTCTGAGCAGATTTGTTCAGGCGGTTTGGAGTCCTTTGTTTGCTAATTGCCAAGTATGGAATTATTGATTTTGGTTGGGATTGATTTCACCACATAATCTGTTGTTTGAATTGTTTAAATAAAAACATCAGTTACGTTGTGTTCAAGTATACAACATTCTGGTATAATAACTATAATATTACATGCAAACACTTGTAGCACATACGTCATGTTCATCTTGACCTATGATCTTGTACACAGCCAAAAACGCTCAAGTTGCAACAAGTCTGTGGCGTTTTTGGGAATTCTGGCTGCGTACTTAACACTGGGTTACTATAAAACACCGACTTTTTATACTCATTGCGTGTAAATCAGTAGATATTCCAATGAACCAGCAACAGAATTTTGCGGTTAGAACGTTAGTTGTAGGAACCACGGTTGCTGCAGGCTTAACTCTCTCTTGGCTTGCTTACAAATACTTTTTTTCGAAAAAATTAGGCAAGAGAGCTGTGGTGAAGTCACTGTTCATTTATCCTGTGAAATCATGCGCTGGAATTGCACTGGACCAAATAGAAATCACAAAAATAGGTGTCTTATTGGACAGGTATTGAGTATTAATACCTAGTTTGTTTTGCACGCTTACGGCTTTTGGGGTAAAGTATTACAAGGCATTATTGGCAACACTAGCATTTTATACCCCTCTCTCTGTAGAGGAGAGTTCATGTTAAATATGGCCAATAATAGTCTAAATAGGTGTTTTAATATTAAACACACTAACTGTAAAGACTTTTTCAGATCATGGGCGTTGTTCAACTCAAAAGGAAGTGTGCAGACAATGCGTCAACTACCAATGATGGCTTTGATCAAACCATCCTTCGAAGGGACAAAATATTTATGTCTAGATGCCCCTGGTATGCCCACGCTCAAGCTAGATGTTGATCTGAATGAAAATGACGTGGAGGCAAAGATGCTTGAGTACTGTGTCAGTCCTGGTAGTGATCACTATTTACTATACACTCTTGACTACTGAGAATTAAGATAATTTTTTACACTTATTTCTAGTGTTTTTGGCCTGCATGGTGAGGGTTTGGACTGTGGTGATGAGGCAGCTAAATGGTTTGATAAATACTTGGGTAAACCTGGGCATAGATTGTTCAATGGTTGCAGCAAAAGTTTAAAGCGCAGAGAATTGAGAGAAGACCCTGACTGGGGGGACTTGGTAAAAGAGAATGATAAGGTAGATGATCGCAGCTAGTCAGAATAAACCATAATTTACGTAACAAATGAAGGTGCAGTGAGTAAAAATTCCTTTTTGCAATCTGCTTAGATCATTTATCATGATGATGCACCAGTTTTGCTGACCTCTGAGAGGTCATTAGAAGCTGTAAACAAAGAATTGCCCTATCCACTTGACATTAGAACCTTCCGACCCAATATCTATGTTGAAGGTTCCTTTTCCTTTGAAGAAGATTTGTGGCGAAGTGTACAAATTGGGGAGGTTCTATTAAGATATTCGCGACAGAGCAGTAGGTATTTTAAAAAATATGTATACATGGTGACCTGAATTCACTGCCTTTTGTATTCCAGTTTTATTCCTGATCAGTTAACATTGTGTGGTTTGTGGTAAGTTATATGCTATTATTGAGGCTAAACATTATGCACCATACTTAGACAAATCTCCATACATTTTATAAAGGTGTGTTCTGACAACTGTGGATATGGACTCTGGCGTACGGAGAGCTGATAGTGAACCATTTAAGACTCTTAAAAGGTGATGACTAAATAATAACCATTTAGCTTATCCCTACTCAGAAATGTAATTGTTTCATATGGGAAAGTGTAAAGGAAGGTTTCATCCAGTTTTGCTGTCCACAAAGGCAGAGGTTTCATTCAGTTTGCTGTTTATTCAATTTAGTTCAGATTTGTAGTTGGCTGGTAAGCGTGCTGCATTGGATAATCCTGTATTGATTAAGTTGAAAGTTTGATTATTGTTTCATTCTGTTACTTTCTTTCTTGTCATTTAGAATGAGGGTATCAAGCAAGGATGATCCAAGATATAGGAAGAAACCTTTGTTTGGAATTCTTATGGTTGCTGATAAGCCAGGTGTTATTCGTGTTGGAGATGATGTCACTGTTCTTGCTTGAACATTAGACAAATTACGACTGCACAAACAAATTGAATAGACAAATATGGAAATATTACTGACTGCATCCTTCCATCTAATGCCAGACAGTCTAATTAAAAGTTACATCTACTTAATGGCTTAATTATAGCAATACACATTATTAAATGTGTGAAGGAAATGAAATACCCTTTTGACCTTTTCTTTGGTAACTAAATTTCCTTTTAAAAATGCAAACTTCTTCTCCCCCCCACTTCGGACCAGAAAAACCCCCACTCTACCATCAAAGGGAATTCCCCCTGTGCCACAAAAAAATTCCCCCCTCGGCTCCCATTTATACTGTAATTCGTCACGTTCGTTCGTTCCATTCCATTCTTTTCACCGCATATTATACATTTCAAATCACCAGCGTGGTACAACCGTACAACGAAATATATACCTGGTAATGTACGTATTTTTAAAAATTGTTACTTGGACGAATTTTTTATAATATTCTGTTCTTTATTAAGCCTTTAGGAATTATTAGACAACGACCAGTCAAGTATTTTACAATAAATGACTGTTTCCTTGTCAAAAAGTTCAAGATGCTGGAAAGCGAACATGATTTGAAACAGTATCGTTTCATTCAGCTTTGTTGTAATAAATTTACCAACTACAGTATGTTGTACTTTCGATCTCCTCACGAATTTGAAATCACATTTTCGATTTTCTCGTTCATTAGATTCATCAAAACGAGTATGCACGACGCAAAATCACTTCTCGTATTGGGCAGCTCAGTTGTGTTAGGAATTGGCTTGTTTTGGTTTGCATACACCAGTTACCGTCGTAAAAAACTTGGCAAGAGAGGTGTAGTCAAATCTTTGCATGTTTATCCCGTGAAGTCTTGTGCTGGAGTAAAACTAAACCAGGTAGAGATTGAAGAAGTCGGGCCATTCTTGGACAGGTAGGATGAGTCGTCAGACACATTCTGAAGCATATCTGAAGCATATCTATTGTTGATTTACTGTTGAAGATCCTTGCAAATAATCAGCTATCTAGTAAAAAAAACAGTATTTGCATTTCTTATTGGGGAAAAAACAAATCAGTATTTGACTATTTGTGTTTATATAAAGTGGGAAAAATAATATCAATTGCAGGCTACTTATATATCCTAAAACTTGAGGTATGCTATATTGGAAACCCTCAGGCTTTAGTTGTTTTTGCCCAATGGGCAAACTAGATTATTGCATTCATCCTACATTTTTTAAATGATTATCATAACATGCTTTTATTTTTATCAGGGCATGGTTGCTGACTAATGCAAAAGGAATTTATCAAAACCTGATTTCTATCCCAAAGCTAGCATTAGTTCAGCCCTCATTCGAAGATGGAAAATATTTGTGTCTGGACGCACCTGGTATGGAAACACTTAAGTTGGATATACATATGGAGGATGATATCAAAAAGAAAAAGTCACTTCAGTATGCGATTCCTATTGCCTTTATCAGTAAATGTATTATAATGCACATTGTCCTTATCATCAATGATAATTTATATATTGATTACATTATAATCAATGAAAATCGACTGAGGTAGGAAATACCTTTCTATTTTCTAAGTTGTATCTATGGTTCTTTTTAAGATTATATACACTAGCCGGTGAAGGTTTAGATTGTGGGGACGAGGCAGCCCAATGGTTTGATACTTTTCTTGGAAAAACAGGGCTTAGATTATATAACGGACAAAACAGGAACTTGAAACGAAGAGAATTAAAAGATGATCCTGTTTGGCAGGACGCAGCCAAAGATGGAGATAAAGTCTGTAGTGACTAAACTTTGTATGATGTTATATCTTTTAAACATTAATATTGAGTCATCCTTTTATATTGCAGATGATTTTTTCAAACTTTGCACCTGTGTTATTGACATGTGAAGAATCGCTAACGGCGCTGAACAAGAATTTGGGTGACAATGCAGTAGATATGAGATCATTCCGTCCCAGCATAGTCGTCCAAGGCTGTGATGCATTTGAAGAAGATATGTGGCATACTGTCAAAATAGGAAATGTCATTTTGAGAAAGTTTAGAAATAGTGCAAGGTGCTTCATTGTTTAGTAAACCTTTAAATGATCCAGTTCTTTCTTTGCAGATACATCCCTTCAGCCTAGCTATGCCTTACTTTGCATTTATTTCTTGTACTTGCATTTTAGATGTCCATTAACAACAGTTGATCCTGATGCTGGATCAATGAGGAAAAGTGGAGAACCATTGAAAACACTTAAAAGGTTAATTATGATATAAAGATTTTAATTCTTCTAACATTTTCTGTCAACTTCCATACAAAAACCCTTTCCCGAGAATTATGACATTATATGATCTATTATTTGTGTGCAATGCTTCCTTCAATTAAATGGTAATGATGTTTTTATTGTAGAACACATGCTGCAGTTGCTAATGTGAAAAACATGGACAAAAGACAAACAAACAAGCCCTTGTTTGGTGTTCTTTGTGTGCCTGAGCGTACTGGAACAATCACTGTTGGAGATGAAGTTATCATCCTAGCATAATTATTACAATGAATTAACTGAATCTATCAATTTTTTTAATCTATATTTATCTGAATTCTTTTAAATCAAGGGTTGGGGGTAATTTATGTAACCATGAATTCTTAAAAAATAAATACCATTATACCTTTCTTAATTCATATCATGGTGCCATGAACAAAAGTGTGATGCCAAATGCCAATCACTGAGCTATGTGATAATTGCAGGAGGAAGTGCTGCAAATGTTTAGCAACTTAAAAAGAGAAACAAAAATGCCAACTTATGGGTGATACCAGAAAGAGGTGATTGTAATTGCAATGATCAAAATACACCAGTGAACTGATAGTGTCATTCTCACAAACACCATAATTCTACATGTTTTTTGTTTCCCTTTCAATTCTATTTCACTTTTTCCAGGAATTGTAGTATAGCTCAGTGATGCTCATTGGGCACATTTTCATCATTACGTCATTCCAGTGCGTCATTCATGCAACTACCCATGATGACGTAATCACGAACTGCGCACCAGAACCTGGTACCAAATTCCATAATTTCTTTGGCGGCAGCGCGAGTTTTAAAACATGGCGTATTATTGCAGAAGTTCTGTCGTTGAAATCGTTCAAATATTTGGCCGTTTCGATCGGAAAGATAGATGTGAGACAATTTAAAACATGCCGCCTAGAAGGAAGAGAATTCGAAGTGATGATAGCGAAAATAGCACAGTTGATAGTAGAGGTAAGCGCGGGATAACTAAAGGCTAAAGCAATTCAAATCAAAAAGGTACCAATCGTACCATAGGCACCTCCATTCTTCAAGCAATATCTCAATCACCATTGTTGGCATTGTAAGTTGAACAGTGCACAATTCTGGTTTACTACAATTGGTTTAAAATGAATGTTTGGTTCTATTTGCTAGGCATATCAAGTGGTTCTGATAAACAAAATGCTAAAAACAGTCGACATCAGACTAAGAAAATAAACTCTGAAGATTATGATGGTGATTGTGAACTTGACCAGCCAGGAAAAAACCGCATCACGCGAACTGCCACCAGGTCCAGAAATCCCAAACAGAAGCTCACAAACAGCTTTGAAAACGACAGTTCTAGTTCAACACCTGTTGCCGGAATGGAAGGAATGGATGTTGATCAAGAAATGCTTGGTCTTGAACGTTTTGTCACACCCATACCCATATCACCAGTTCCTCATTATCGTAGCACACCCCACAGTTTGACGCCAGATATTCCTGCTACCAAAGGAAAGGTCAAGTCGGTTGCCATGGCAACACCAAAACCACTCTTCAACACACCAGCTGAAAAACCGGGAAAGAAATTTAAACGTAAAAGAGTAGCGAAATATCGACTTGCACAATCGCAGGTAGTGGCATATGGGAGTTGTTTAGTATTTTGATAAATAGCAGTTATGGTATATGGGTTCTAGAAGAAGATGTGTAACTGGTGAGGCTTTCATGGTCAGGCAAAGGGACTAATATGGTATTCCACTGTGTTATTATTTGTTGCAGAATCATCCAAAATTGGTGACGGAAAATGAAGCATTGATGATTGCTCATTTTAATGATATTGAGGATCATGAACTGCTGGTTGAATAAAGACAAGTCTGACAAATGTAAATATAAGTATTGGTCATATCAAATATTGAATTATGTTTGGTAATATGTATATATATAGTGATTGGTTATTATGAAATGAAACTGTTGAGAAATTGAAATTTGGACTGTATTTGTATATTTATGCTTTAATTGTGATTGTGTTAGATAGTCAGTCGATGATTTCTGTTATGCTTCAGTGATATATATAGGGCAAGACATTAATGGTTGGGTCAGGTTGAGGTGCTAATTAATATCCCTGATTATGTCATGTGTGACAATGTTTTGTTGATAACCAATTAGCCATTCTGAGGTTGCAATAGTGGACTGGTACTAGTGGTATTGACAATGCACCATGGGACTGTTTTAGGGTCTAGGGATGATCATTTGTTTTCAAAATCTGTCTCTTGAGACATTGTCAAACTTTGATTATCAGCAGACGTCTACTGCAACTTTGTAATGGCTAAATGCCAGTCTCAGAGATATAAATATAATATTAGATAAATTATTTACATGATATATCCATGTTATTTTTGTTTCAAATAGTTATTTCATCTATAATGAGAATGAAATATACTCAAATCATCTTTTCCCAGCATAGCTATATTCATTAATTTGGCTATTAATATCCTGCAGGAAACCTATTGTGTTCATTTGAAGATGTTTTGTGCCCTTCAGACCTGTTTTCATTCATACAGAGTGAGCTATCTCTTTGATCAATTATCCATGGTCAATGAGGAAGAAAATTCTCGAATTTTTCAGACAAAGCTTATTCTGTTACGACCAGGCCGGCCGCTCTGAAATACGACAGAATAAAGAAATTAACTTTTCCATTCGTGCAAAATGCTTTTGCTAGGATGCTCGCAAAAGGTTTATTTAGATATCGGCTTTCGCGATCGAACTGACTATTGACTCGAAGTTGAAGTGGGTTAGAAATGACATTTCCGTACGGGGGCAACGAGTCATAAAATTATAAAAAATTGAATTGTTTGCCATTGGATATATCATTGTCATGGATCTCCATGGATTTCTCTTGCTTCGTAATAGACCCAGGCATATTGCACCTCGTAGTTAATACATTTACACTATGCTAATAACGTAATAACGTAGCATAATTATAGAGCCCCCTTACTGTGTTGGAATAATGACTGTAATTTCGTGAAGAGCCCCTAAGTGGTAATTACCATACGTATAGATGCTTAGTTGGTGTGAAGTGTCAGGTCAGCTGGTAGAGGAACAAATTCACAGTCCAAGAAGTTTGGTTTAACGACGAAGAAATGGTTCGTAACCCAAAACCAAGCCTCGTAAAGATCGCTGATGATGAGGTACAAGATATGTGCAACAAAGTAAGTATAAGCTTTTTATCAAAGTGCTCTAGATATTGTCAATCGACTTTCCAAATATCCATTATGGTTGTCTATCGCTGGAATATCTATAATGTAGAGTGTTATGTTTTTCTGTATGATCTATGATATAGATCAGCAATATAGACTTGAGACTCCAAACAGATTATCTCAAGACACTAGCAACCAGAATGGGTCTATGGACTACAAAGTCTGAACTCTATACAAGCAGCTCACGCCCTGAACACTGTTTGAAATATTTATGTTCAATCATTTCTTACTATAAGTATAAGAAAATACGGAAAATTGCTTTTGCCAATATACTTGTCATGGAATGCTGTCATATTGATGAAATAAAACGTGCAAAAGTCCTGTGTATCAACCGATTTGTTCGCTCGATAACAACAGAAGCGGTGAGGAATATTCCAGAATGAGGTATAAGGCAAGTTTAAAAGGTTGATAAGAGTTTTCTGTGGCAGTTTGAAGTACACATGAGTGTTCATGAGTGTTTGACTTTGTTTGTGACACAGTAAGTTTGTGATTATTCCATTTATCTCGTGTCTCTCTGAGAAGGATGAACAGCAGGAAAAGAATGTGCAATTATATATCCTAAAGACAAGTATGGGCTGGCTATCAGTGTAATATCCCAGTCAGGATGATCTGAGACAGTCAATCTGCTATGCGTGATTACGGTCCCAGTCAGTGCACATGACACAAATCACAATATCGCTAGGTCGGCTAGGAAACGTCTAGGCCTTTTTCTATAGTCTCGGAGGATTTTTGCCATCAAACAAGTAAAGCTCCTTTTCTCTTGAAAACTTTTTTCCCATCAATGTCGAAAAGCAAAAACTGAAACACCTATTTTCGCTGAAACTTTCAAATGATTTGTATATATAACTTCTCGTTCTTACTCCATCAAGACTTCAGCCACTGTGAATTGAAACTAATCAACCTAAACAAACTCAGTCTGATCAAAAATTAAACAAGGCTTTCTGAAAAAAACTGATATCCAGTATAGTTTCGATCATATTCGTGGGCATGTTTTTTCATGCAAGTTCACAAACTTCTTCATTGAAGCAAATGTATTGACCTGATGATATTACAGTAAATAGTAGGCATGGCTCCCGTAAACACGTCAGAATTCTCTTAAATTTTCCGTTACACCGCCATGCAAGCCTAAAATTATCATAACAAACCCTTGGCTTGTCGGAACATGTCTTATCTTGCTAGCTCCCCCCTCTATGATCATGCATTGTGCGTCACCGCTATAAGGCGGGATTTAATAATGACATGTCTGCGAGATAGCTTATCCAATCTATTTTGACAAAAGATTTCCAGCCATGCATCGACGTATCTTGGGGCGAATGTTTATTGCTTACTTTAGCGGGATTAATCAATTTCGTGAATGTTGTAAACCATTGTATGGAAATCACTGTAACACCATACCACGACACACGGACACAGGGCAAAAAGACTTGACAATGACACGTGAACATTGCATGATGCTCGAGGATATTAAAACTCTGAGATAAGACCTTTGCTACGAGGTTGGTTATGTCCAGCCTCCATTTAGTCAAGAAGTCATATTCGACTACCTGAAATAGTCTAGTTCTAACTCATTTAAATACACCTTTGGCTGATAAATCCGTCGTGAATGAAATATGAATATCGGTGTGCGGTCTTTTGCAGGTGAAAGAAAGGGTAGAAGAAAAAACAACAAAAACATATTCTGAGTTCAAAGCAACATCCTATCGCACTCTTGTTGACTACGTGCACGGAAGGATTATCGTTTTCATCAAGGTAGGAAACCATGATAACTAGATCAGTGTTGTTTAAATCATTGCCAGACTAGGAGTTGTTTCTGCTTTGAGATGGTAAACGCTAGGAAAAACGAAGAAAAAAGAAATATTCTGCTATTTGAAAACGACTCTTAATTTTCGAGTGATAAAAGGTCACACAAAACACACCGAGGTCACACAAAACAGGCCAAGTTTGCCCGCTTTTGTGTTACACAAAAAACAAAGTTTAAGAGCGGTGAAGAATATTTTTGCTCAGCACGGACACACCACTTCAAGGTCACTGATGGTTGACAATTACCATCAGGGTTCATCACTGTTTAGCTAGCTTTAATTCCCTGACCTCGTGCACAAACCACTGTCAATTGCTTTTTAAAACTATCCACCTATTTTCGACCTCGGAGAGGTCATGAATAAGTAAACTTTAGCATATACACCCCAAAGGTGCTGGTCGGAGAGGACAGCTACATGCATTTGAGAGTGTTTCGTATCATACCATCACGACATGGTGAAGTGGAACTGGAGGAAATTTTGGATGAGAAAAAGGATTCGGATCCACTGGAAGCATTTGAAGCCGTCAGCCAGACTGGGGCAGAAGGCGAAGTGATCGCTGGACAATAAACACAAGTTTAATTCACGGAATTGAAATTTTAACTCAGTCTTCGTTCGTGGTTTATAAATTGGTTGTATATAATTAATCTTATGCCTTCACAAGCTGTAGGAAGCCATCAATGGTAGTTGGTTAGAATAACTTAGAATGGACTTGGTATATATCAGTCACGGAAATGTATGAAGTTCGTCTGTTTGACTATATCTTTGCAACTTAATCATAACAACGGTAGCACGAAACTGCAAGAATAAAAGTCAAGAAACAACATGATGAGTGATGCCTAGTTCATTTGTACATCGCGAGGATTGAGCTTTGAGGTCTAATTAGTTATCCCGAGATATAACAAGGTATTGCCGAAACGTAAAAGATTATATTTTTAGTTTAAATACAGTTTATTGTTCGATATTTTCAGGATATTTCCGTCTCTTCTTCCTACTATTGTCTAAAGGTTGGTTAAGGTCTGACCGGACGGAAGGGAATTCAATTTATCCACTAAAAAAACATCAGATGTTTTGCATACCAGATACGTCGAACGTTTTCTTGCCGAGACACCGCTAGCTAGACTCGGGCGACTGCCTTTAGTTTCATCGACATTTCAGACTTCAGAGCCCTGACATAGCAAAATACTTCAGGTTATCACGAAGCATCTTCTTCATTCCCAGTGGAACAATCTGCAGAATCGTATGTTGTTCCATTTGAAGATTCGTCGTCCATCGCTTCCCAGGCATTCAGTAAACTCTCGGTCTCTGTAAAAGAACCGTCGCTATATCCCCGATCTTTGCTAAAATGTTGCTCCTCGTTAATAATAAGTTCCTCGTTGAGCTTTAAAGCTGGTAAACCATATGGTTTTTTATCAACACCAGACTTCTTGTCCACCTTATAGTTCATGTTAAAATCTTTTTCAAAATCAATACTATTTCGCAAAAATGCCATGCTATTTTCGTCCCGAAGCGACTTGGAGTAAACGTAAGATATCGTTCCTCCCTTCTCGACGTTCGTCCGTCTGGGTTTCTTCGCACCGCTGTTCTCGCGAACCTTAGACGTACACGTACCGTCTATCAATTCCTTGTTTGTAGTGATTTTTGGTAATCCGATAGTCTCAAAACGCTTACGCGAATTTTGACTTCTACCTTGTAAGTTCTTTCCCGAATTCGATGCTTTTCTCGAAGGCACTTTGGGCTCTCGCCTACTGGTATTACTCCGTTTCTTTCCAGTCGTTTTCTCAACGTTTCTCGCTTCTCTATTGCTCTTTTGCACCCTGCCTGCGTGACTCTCGCCTGCCGTGACATTCCTACTAACGCCACTTAAACACCTATCTGACTGTCCACGCGAATGAACGATTTTTGGAAGGTGTAAGCTATCCATAACACTACGGCAACATCAAATTCCCATCGACTTTATCCCACGGTTTTAATTTAAGCAAAGAATGTGCCAAATACTTGATAAATATTTTCCAATTCCCAAATGTTGACGCAACGCTCAACTATCTACCCATTAAGTGTCTTCGTTGTTTGCAAAATAGACATGCAGATGTAATCGGATATGCTGGGTGTGCGTCTCACAGTTTGACCGTCTTCCAAGACAGTCTGCTATGATTTTGAGCAATTAATGCAGTAATGCATATAATCTCGCTCTGTAATCATTATAATGTAAAGTTATTAGATTTCTCTCGCCGTTTACAATGGATTATAAAAGTTTTATATAAATTCATTTAATCCTCCCAATGTGACACATGCCTGGATAATGGCCACTTGACAGCGAGAATGTACAAAAATCGGCTTAGCTTTCACGTGCTTGATGTCACGCGAACACTTTTCAGTTTAGCTTTTCAGAAAAATACAAGAAGGAAAATAGCTAAGTCTGTGAGACTTGTGACGTCATAAAAAGGGGAGTTCTGGGGAGGCAGCTTGAAATGATCGCTGGTGACAGTACGTCTATTTGGGTATCTGCGCTACAACATAATTTACTTGGAAATATGTGCCAAAACTGACAATACAATATCCCTGCAGATAAAATTGATATTGTATATAGCTTTTTTTCTAACCGTATCTTCAACATATCTTCATATTTCAATCTTTTGCCGACCCGTATGTATGAAGTTTAAAAACAAATATTTTATATACAAATGATTACTTCGGCGTCCCATGTTTTGTCATATTTGTTTTATTCGTTTCTTAATATTTCACATTGAATTAAATTTGAAGACGAAAGACAATAAATTCCAGAAAAAAAACTATAAATTGTAGGTTCTGTTGTTTCAGGTGGCCGTGGTTTTCTCACCAAGTAATTGTGGGAATCTTCATCCAACCATTCATGGCCAATTCGTCATTTTTGGCAGTGAGATTTGTATTCAGGGTATTTCTCTAATGTGTGTCTACAATGCATGATTATTTGATCAGTTTCATTCGCGCGGATTTGTACCACAAACAATTGTAATTGCTCTGCGATTATTAAAAATGTTAAATACCCACATGATTGTTAAGATGCCTTAAAGGATTTGCAGATCTGAAACGTTGTAATTAAAAAACGATGAAACATGTCGTTCGGCTAAAAGACGCATAGGAGAAAATACAGGGAATACTGTTGGTCTGACGTTTCTGCCTATTCTATCCCAACCTGCCAATCATCTTTCCTTTCTTTCATTATCTTCCATTGCAATTCATGTGTTGATGTTTTGACAATCTATCTGGTAGTGGCTGCGCCTAATAGTCAGTCCCGATGATGCCCTAAAGCGAGTCCCCCCCCCGGTTTGGAAACCTCGATAGTGCCTCAGAAGCCATGGTTTGTGATTCACAGTCTGCCTTACTTTACGCAAGACCCAATATTCTTGGAGGTTGTGGGACACAACGTCACTACAGTACATATATAGCTCGTCGGAATTATCCGGCGCTTTCCGAAATGCCATATCTCGGAACGTGTCGGTTACGGTCATGGAATTGGTTCTGTCATGTCAGTCAGATTGCATTCACGATGATTTGAAAAGATTGACGAATTTTTGAATATAAAACTAGCCAAAGAACAACAAATGTCTTAGCAAATGGCAGTGTTGACGTATTTATTATATATTTTTATTACTTCAGCCACAGGATTTTTTATATAATACATCGTACATCGTCCAAAGGTATGTTTAATTATTGAATACACGTGACAAGGACTAAAGTGCTAATCAAGTATTGCTCTTGATATCTTCTTTGTCATTTCTGTATATTTGTATTTTTTGTATAGAGAAGTTCACGCGTCGGAAACTCGCCCTCAGCGCGTTATAATTTCATCCGAAGGGTATGCAAATTAAATGACTTTTCCATAATTAATTAATTAATAATTAGTTGCAGTGATTTGTATTCCAAAGTTGATTGTTATTTATAATTGTTACATTTCATGTAATTGTAAGTTTTCTGTTCGATAAGTTTTTGTTTGTGAGAAATTTACGCAGAATTACCTGGATTATAAAACATGTTTGTTCATGACAAAACTTTGCACTCTCTTGTCTATTCTGATTGTAATAAATAAATAATTTGGTGAGATTAATATGTTTTGTTATTTGTTATGTACAATGGGAGAGCCTTTTCAAGTTTGTTCAAGTGTGTACAAAATAATACCTTTGAAGTTAAAGCAGATATATAAATTAGCAATTTCTTTCTTGCAAGTAATATTTGTATTACTTTACAAGTACACAAATGCATGCAGTGTATTCTTTATTCTAGGCGTTACCATTAGACAAAAATAATTGGAAATTAAATGGTGTGGAAAATGGTGTCAGGGTTTGGGCAAAATCTGGTCGTCAGTCTATATTTGCTACATCGGCCATTCTTTCAAAGCCCTTAAAAGTAAGTGTATGTACTGCGAAATAAAAAGTTATTTCTTTGCAGTCTGTTTTTGTTTGTCTGTTAAGGTATTATTCATTTATATAAATATATTCATTTTCGAAGGCAGTGAAGGATGTTTTGACTGACTCTTCACTGATTCTGGAATGGAATCCTTGTATTAAAACTGTGTCAAGGATCAGTGTTTCTAACGGAAAGGGCAGTTCATCTGATGAACACTCAGGTGATGTTATCTCTGTCACTGAAACTTCATATGGTTCCTCATTGCTGCACAGAATTTTTCTTAGTCTATCCAACCTCTTTAAAAAAGACCCGAAGCTTTATTCAAGGTGATTAGCTTATGTTATACTCTTTGTTTTAAACCTTTGAGAAGAGGTTTAGTTAATTGGTTAAATAAAGAGCAATAAAGTGGTATAAAGTGGTGTTGTCTGCCTAGAACATGGTGTTTCAAAGAAGATAGTCAATTCTGGCTCCATTCATCTGTTGTGGATCCTCATTCTACTGATCCAATATTCACCCTGTTTATGGTTTTTCCGATAAAAGGTTTTATTCTATTCATCTTTTCACTTGGAAAGAAGTGTATTATAGTGAAGTCAGTAATTCTAATAGAAAATAACACATTTGAGGTTTTTTAAATGCATAACATAGTTATTTTGTTATTGAACGTGCAGTCAAACAAATTAGTATTTTTTGAGATTTTTTGAGATTTTTTATGTCGTTATTTAGAAAAAGAGGACAAGTGTCAGCTAATTGTTGCAAGTGAATGTCCAGTACAGTCCTGGTTTTTTAATCCTGGTGTTTTGACAGCCTGTCTGGCTGGACTTCAAGATCTCGTTATTTCAAAACGTTCAGAAGCTGTCCTCCCTGATATAAACGAAGAAAAACAATTTAGTTCGACTGTGGCTGGTGAAAAAAACCTTGTTCCAAATGATGACAGCGAAGATTATGAAATACTAGATGCAGGCTTAGATGAACGTAAGTTATTTCTTCAGCTATAGTTTTTGTCTGAACAAGCAATGAAAAGAAAACAACGTTTTCCGCGACGCGTTATCAAGATAGTGAAGTGTGGTTTGCCACTTTCCCTCGTGATGTCGACCGCTTTTTCGAAATGACAATTTGCATATCGCGTTTACTTCTTTGTAGTTGAAGTCAATTTCAATCGGACACAATGTCACAAATCATATTGCCGTCTACCCAGCGTTTTTGGCAATAATTTCTCTATTTTTTTCATTCATTTCCGGCAAATCACTGTATGTTGTCTTTGTCATGTTTGTAGCTGACAGTCAGAATGATGGCGAGCGAGGACCAGCCGAGGTAAAACAATTTTATTGTTTATGAAAAGTGCAATGATTGTCCGAGGTTTGCGTACTCGAAGAGGTCATCTTGTTCAAATTTCAGCATGTTACATTTATTATTTATCAGTTATTGAACAAGAAGTTTTGCCAATTGCCATAATAAAACACAAGCAAATGAATTTGTCCACGAAATTGTGCTCTCCTGTAAAATTCTACAAATCTCATTCTACAAGCAACCGTAACTGAAACTTCTTCAAAACCTCATTTCTTTTCACGAAGGAATTCGTTGATGTTACCGGGGTCTATTACAACCCTGAGAAAGATATCCAAAAGTGAGTGGCGTTAATCCTCTTTTCTAAAAGTTGGGCTATAGATTAGTGCTTCTGTTTTCATCCATACTTTTTAAATACGTTTGAAAACAACGAGAAAGCATTTTATTTACAATGTTGTAATATAATCGTTAGATACAAAGTGATTATTGACAGTGGATTGAAGAGATTGAATGGAGTGTTACGAGGCCACGGAAAACGAAATTGGTTGGAACCATGTTGGAAACGTAAAGTTAGTCTATATATACCTTAGAACATCATTTGATGAAATTACTTCAGGAACTGCCTAAAAAAGATCCTTGCGGTCTCGGGGATATTCCCATTTTTCCTAGGGAGGATTAACATATCTAAGGTCTTCATATTGTGACGAAAAAAGTTTCCTTTCGTATCTTAGGCAGTTGCTGAAGCAATTTGATTCGATATCTAACTTTTTCCGAATCTGCAAGAGTTTATATTCTCACCACAAACTTTACCACGAACTTTTCAGAGGTGTTGATATCCTCAAAAGGCCTGCGAGTGCCGACTTCAGTATTTGGGATTGCTCAAAAGGCACGATTGAGATCAATGTACCATTGAATTATCTGTTGTCGTATCTTGATGATATGACCAGAACGTCTGACTATGATGATATGTTCGACACTGGTAAGAAAATGACTCTTTTTCATCAACCAGAAGTCGCATTAACTCATGACGCAGGGCACTTCAGTTGATTCTTTTTTTATCAAGTTGAAAACCAGCTCAAGATATTCCGCGATAGCTGGCTCAATTAGATCGCTACTTGTGATTGTTGAACGCAAACATTTTCCTCCTAATATATATAGGTCAGGTTGTTGAAACTCTTGGAGACCTTACTAAAGTTGTTTACATGGAGTACAAAGGCATATGGCCGGTCAGTGGCAGAGACTTCTGTTCCGTTAGCGCTATACGTGTTTTAGAGGATAACACCGTTGTGTTCTTCGCAAAACACGTAAGTCATATTTGTCATTTGTGAAAACACCACAAGTCTTGATACAAGAATATCAGCTTCTATCATTTGACAATAGACCTTCATCGTATGTATTTTCGTCTGAGGTTTCCTCGACTGTTGCATATTGCATGAATCAAACCTTGCTTCGTGAAGTGGAAGTCACGCACGATTGTTCTTTTAGGCAAAGCATCCTTCGTGCCCTCCATGCAAGAAATATGTTAGGTAAGCATTCTTTGTTTTCTCCGGCCAGTCGTACGTGTCTGTGATGGTTCACCTGCAGTTGCTGAAGCAGAAGTCGAATAATCAGTTCATAATTATCACCAGCCTACATTAATACTACTTTTTAATATATATTCATGTGTTTAGAGGCAAGATTCTAACTGGTGGTTATGTGATGAAAGTTCTCAGCGACAATCCTCCGCGAATTCTGTCGACTTACATAACGCATGTTGATTTACAAGGTAGGCAGAAACATAGTTCCATCACATTAACCACCTTGACATACTTACGACAAATACAACAACATGAATACATCGCTTAACTGCGCGACTTGATCATTAAAGAACTTTGTATTAGTAAGATGACTTTCATTATGCACGCCTTGCCTGCTAAAGCTGTTGTGGTTTTTCGTTTGCCTCGAATCAAAGGTAGCGTTCCGTCTCGTATTGTTAACAAAATCACTGCAAATCAACCTGCGTCTATTGGAATTGTCAAGAAAGTTGTGGAAGAAATGTACAATGAAGAACGCGCGAATCCTGATAGACCTCCATCCAAGTTTCAAATAGCCGCACTGGACTTTGCTCTGAAACTGGAGCGAGCGAGAGAGGTTGTGGCCGCGTCTCGTCCTCCACCAAAGGCGACTGGTGATACTCCGATCGTGCCGTCACAATTTGCACCTGAATTACAAGCACTCAACGAGGATTCACCGGGTTCACCCGATGATCAGGTAGAGCCTGGGAACTATTTATCCCATCGGAATATTCTTAACTTAAATACGTTGAAGTAAAGCTTCTTCTTAAGTCCTTGCGACATTCTTTCATTTAGCAGCCAAATAAGAATCTATCGCCAACTCATTCCAGCTCTTCACCATCAATCCATGCTGTGCCATGTAAGATTTTAAATTTCGAAACAATCAGATCTTCTCTTTGTTGAAAATATTAAGTTAGCTCTGTGACTGTACCCAACGTTATTAAATCATGTTTTTCTACAGTTGAATTCAACGGCTTGGATTTCAAAACAATTGGAAATCATGCGAGCGCAGGTCTTATTCAAGAGGTAAATGATAGATGATAGAACATGGATTCGTTCAACACCAACAACCCTGGTTGTCGATAAACGGTGTTCCTAAACGACCTTTCTAAATGTGTTGATGCTATGTTTACAAAATATGTCGAGACTCCTTCCTGCAGCAACTGCCTCAAACCAATGCTAACAATGTTTGCGTTTACAATTTTAGGCTTTTGAAGTATCTGATGTTGAAATTACAAAAGTCCCAGGTCCTTCTGTACACGAGCAATGGGAGTGAGTCTTCTTCTGTCCTCGGCCGAGGCAAATAACTTCGTTCATTTATCTTGCTGTACAGTCCTCATCAGTCACGTTTATTCTTTTCAGATATCAAGAAACGGAGAAAAAAGTAATGATATTTAGAAAAACTCATCGAAATGAGAAAATGCATAGGTACAAGATAAACCATACGAGACACTACTTCTCAGTCCTCCATGCAGTATATCAATACCCCGCGACCTGCTGGTGGCCTGGGTGAAATCAATCAATCACTCACTTAATCAATCAATCAATCAATCGATCCAATTATTTATTCGATTATAACCTTGATAGAATCATAAATATATAAGTTTATCTATATGTATATTATGATAAATCGATAACACACGCTGATCTCTCTATACATTTAGTTTTATTGGCAAAGGAATTATAGCTTCTCCTCCACCAAAAATTTGGGAGATTTTAAAAGACCCGGAAAGTACTTATAAATATAATAGCATGTTGAAGGTAAGATATCTCAACACTGACTATATAGAAATGATCTTATACACCCTAATTTAGTTTTTTTTTCATAAGGAAACGCGAACACTGGAACGATTAAATGACACACAAAGAATTGGTAATGAATCACATCCGTTCTCTATTAGTGTCTATCATTATTTACTATTTACAACCCAAACAAAAACAAAGACAAAAGCAAACTGACAATCTAGTGTACAACTTATGATATGTTCATAGAATATTTACATTTCGAAACGGAAAAGTGTTTCAAAAAGGAAGCAAGAGATTTCATCGTTCTAAGAACTGAACGTCAAGAGGTGATGAATTTACATGCAATATGATAAGAATATAGCGACACGATTCTTGCCATGCGTGTCCTAAAGATGTTGTTGTCTCTTACATTTTAGAAAGATAAATATTTGCTGTCATTTGTATCTGTGGATTATCCGAACTCTCCGTCAAAGAAGGATGTAAAACGAGGGAAGGTATGCTGAGATTTTTAACACCCTATTTCATTATTTCATGTCCAGTAAGGATAGTCCCTATTCAGACGTGGACAATAGAGAAATCCTAGCCGACTATCTAAATATTTTGTGTTTTTACAAACAAATGTAGATCATCGCGTCTGGATGGGTCGTTGAGCCCTTACTTCACAATGGTCAGTTGCAATCTATGGTTACGTATTTAGCTCAGGTATGAACGTTGTGTCTCATCATGGTCAAGACCATAAATCAAAATCCATTCGCATGTTTTTTATTAAAAGAACTTCAGGATCCCTGCATACTGAAATTTTGACAAAACATACTTTCGATAAAACGTCTATATTTTGAGGTGATATTCCAGGTTTACTGTGATGTGTGGTAAATCCTGTAGTTCACTATTTTTAATAGGTTAACCCTGGTGGAAACTATCCAGCCATGCTGGTCAACATAACTGGAAGAAAGCAGCCATTGTGTCTTGCTTATTTAAGGAGACTCCTTGAAAATCCAAATCAAACTTTGAACCGAAGCCAATCTATTCACGAATCAGATCGTTTTTAAGTTTCTATTTCTGCGTGTCAGTGAGATTTCAATTGTTCTGATGAATTTGATCCCAGTGAAACAGCGTACTTTTGACTTGGTGATTTTACGAACATACTTGAAGTTGAATCTTTGGGGGGGGGTTCAAAATTGAGTTCCAGCAAATGAAAGAGGGTCGTCATCTTGCTGGATCTTAGGCACTGTCTTTAGTAGGATCGCTTTTGGAATTGGGTTTGGGTTCTAATTCACATTTATTAATTAGCGATATGTTCGATGTATACGTAACACTAGCATTAAAATATTAATAATAATAATAATAATATATGAAATTCGTGGATTCCTAAAAGGAATAAGAAAATGGATAAATAACTATTTTGAGTGGCCTTATCGCTGGCATGGTAACTTGCAAATTCCAGTCTTACGTGTGATTTGTACGTCAGTTTTACTCACTACATATACTAGCATATTAGTTGACAGTTTTTAAAACGATTTAATACCAGGTACGTTTAATACCAAGACTGCATGGTGCTTGGAGCAAATGAGTTCACTAGTGCTTCATCACTGGTGGTCATCACTGCTGGTCATCGTTGGTGGTCATCACCTGTGGTCATCACTGGTGGTTATCATTTGTGGTCATCACTGCTGGTCATCGTTGGTGGTCATCACTGGTGGTCATCGCTGGTGGTCATCCAAATGTCACGCCTATTCGCAGGCTTACTCCTTCCCTGATAGACGCGGGCTTACTGCGCGGAGGTTTCAAAAATAAATGTTTATTGTTTACCACGTTTTGTTTACGTTCTCGAAATAAATGTTTTTATTCAGTTTTGACGATGTTTGTTTTAAATGAAGCTTGAGGTTTACAGGGAGATTGTCTCCATAATTCATTCTTGCTGGACTAGAGAATGTTTTAAAACAATTTCAGCCAAATTCTCAGGGTACGTAACCTGTGTTTCATGCCATACATGTGATGTTACATGTCTTCATTGTTTATACAGAATAATATTTCGATTTTTGTTGTAAAAATTTGATTTTTTTCCCAATCTTTTATGTAGAGTCACAAATGATGCTTTGATCAGTATTTATTCCCAAGAATTTCAGGTAATTTTTTGATATGACCTGTATGCATCTTTGTAGTAATATATTAATTTCGGTTGTACTCTCATAGAAAAAGATAAAGAAAAATCATCACAAACACCACCAACCAGATGTAGTTGAATCATACTATAAAAGGTAAATTGTTTAGTTATGAAAGTATACTATGTCCATATGTTTCCATCAGTATCTGAACTATCTTTGAGAAGGTAACAAGATCTTCCTTTTAGATATTTGGAGTTGATACACAACAATAAAAATGATTCCATTCTTCTTTCAATGGCCCAAGAGGTTAGTAGAGAGAGACCTGTAAAAGATTTTATGACACTAAGGTGTATAACCATGTATTATTGATATGTAAGGTTTAACATATATTCTTTATTTTTATAGATCGATCTTTCACCCTGCATACTGGCTCGAATTATCTTAGAGGAATATTTATATCGTAAATATTGTAAAGAGAGCCATGGTAAGCATGATTTTATGCCATCTCGGGTGAATTCACTGTCATGCATGCTAATAGTTATGTTATTTTTCTCCAATTCTTTGCCTGACAACTGAACTACAGTCCCAAAAGATGTTATTAGTCACATGATCAAAGACCCATCTCTGATACCTTGTGAAGAACTTTCCCATGAAATACAGCAGGTAAGATCATAGACAATATGGACCTAATTATATTGACCTCAATGGATGAATTATATACTACTGATAATTTCAAATATATTGAGAACATCACAAACAAATGCAACTAAAATTACTTTTGTTCTTATAGTGTGTTTTAAAGGATGAAAATTGTGGCCCTTTGGTTGACAATATCAAGCAGTATCCTTTTACATCATTATCAGATAAAATTGGCTCATTGCTCAAGCCACAAAAAATAACCACATACACAATGCATATATACATACAAGTAGGTCAAATATGCTTGCATTAAAACAGGAAACTTTACGTAGTGTAATATTCCTTATCAGTCCTCCAGTTCTATTGGTATCAAGTATGAAAATTTATTAGAAGAAAAATTAGCAGAATGGAAAATACCATTCCTTGGTAAGAAACTTACTGGACGAATTTGAAAAGTCTTAGAAACCTGATCTATTGATACACTGGACAATTTTTATTATATTTCCCAGGAGAAAAAGACATGAGATGTCAGGGATATGATAAAACTCCTGATTTTAAATTACAAGTTCCTATTGGTATGTTGAATATACTCCTTATGGCTCATGCACCTGATAAGAAACATTTTAGAAGTCCGTATTTGATGTGATTTTATTGTTTCATAAGCTGTAGATGGTCATGTGGTGAATTGGATTGAATCCAAAGCATCCTTTGGTGATGAGTCCAGTCACAAGACATACCTCAAAGATCAGTTTTGGAGCTACTGGAATAGGTTTGAAAAACAAAATATTTTTTTGCAAAAGATTCCATGTGGTCGCATAATCTTCTCTCAATAAATTTTACCCTTGGAGACTCTTTCAGATTCTAGATCTTGCTCAAAATTTTCTTTTGCTTATTTTGCCGAAATTCGTCACAATTCTGAAACTGATGTTTTTACATTTGCTTTTTCAACTTCAGGTTTGGTCCTGGTATGGTTATTTATTGGTTTGGATTTATTGATGAACTTGATTGTAATCGGGATAAAGGAATTATACTTTGCAATAGTTTTCCTTGCAACTTGGTAACATTGACCAGCCTTGTTTGGAAGGATGACTGCAAAAAGACCTGAACAACATGGTTCTGTGTACTTGTGGAGTATATACATACTGCATAGGTTTGTTGAAACAATATTATCCCATTTATTTTTATCATAATAATTGTAACTCACCAATAAAATTGAAGTGAATATTTGGGTGCTAATTTCATGTCCAGAATCCAAAAATATAATCTTGACTTCTTAAACTTAAACCTGATCCTAATCCTTAACCAACGATATAGGATTAGATTAAGGTTCAAATTCGTGGATTGACTGGATTGTGGATTAAATCCTAAATAGACATATTCAATTCTTGAAATTAGGTTAGATTAGGTTTATGGTTGGGTAAGCTTAACCCTTAATTTAATCCTATCCTAATCTCCAAAAAATAGTTCGTATTTAACTTAACATGAAATTATAGTCGAATTATTACCGCCAGTCTCGCATCCAAGGGCTTTGTTCTCTACCTGCGGCGCACTTGACGCACAAAATGACGCACACGAACGCAAAGCAACGGAGCTAAGCCCTGGGGACGAGGATGACGCAAAGCGCGCTAAAGAGTAGAGCCTAGTCTCCCACACGAGCGCCCCACGACGCAACGTCATAGACTCAATATAGCGCGTGAACTTAGCGCCTGGGAAAATGAAGTACGTTTTATGCGGTTCGTTTTAGTTCGGATTTAAGTCATAAAGAAATCAGAGTGCAATGGACGAATTATATTCAATCCCTAATCCTAGACAGTTCAATGTTTCCTATATTTGGGTAATCCCGTCTCGCGTGACTGATCGTGATTTCAAAATCGAAACGAAAAGTTTAATGTCAGTTCCAAGAAAAAGCCTCAAAGGTCATTACATAAGTCAATATTGATTTAGTGAGTGTATCGACACAAGGTAACAACTCAATACAACAGCTTGCCGTATTCTGACCATGGAGAATTTTGATTTACTACAACACCGCAACAGAAACGATATATTTCGCGTCTCCTTCGATTTTTACACACCAAGACCTCAGTTTGTGATAATCCCGAAAGATATTGAATCAATAAACCCGGAGTTCAGCGCTATGACTGCTGAACAGACGTGTGTTTTGATCGAAGCAGCGAAGTCTGTGCTCTCAAGCTTTCGTATTCCCAGTGGTGTTTTGTCCGTTCATCGCGGTTCCTGGAAATCACGGCCGGCGAGGTCGTTTCATTGTCACTTGTGTGTCGATGCTGACAGATATCTGGAGACCTTTGAGAGACGGAAAAAGGCGATTCCTAACTGGCCTAGCGTGGCGTATGTTACCAGGCAATGGTGCTGGAATAAAGATCCGCACTCGTACGCACAAAATGTTCGGGGGTATCCGTACAAAAGTCGTTTTAAGGAGGATGTTTCTGCTATAATACAGATAATGCAGAGTCCTATTACTCCTGTAACGCTAGACAATGCCTGTGCGCAGGCTACGCCAACGCCTTGGACCCAGGCCCAACCTGGCAACTGCCTGAGTGGAATAGTCTATCATCGAAGCCACCCTAAAATTGGGTTTGTCGGCAAGAAGGATGCAACCGTCTACGACTTACATGAAATACTTCGGGCAATTGAGAATTTTGCCGCGGCATACGGTTTGACGGACATGGAGACTGAGGACAAGGATTATGGCTGTCATGTTTGTTTGTATCTTGGCGCAGGTATATAGAGTCTGACGTTGCATGCCACCCAAGGTGCATGCCTCTTAAAAGTAGATTTGCATTGCAAGTTGCAAGATAAAATTGCGACCATTCGAGATTCGAGACTGAAAGTTGATACCCCATCGTGAACTAAGTATGGAAATTTATTTTTCTATTTTTCCTATAGCTCCTTCCGATTGGGAGTTTTCGAGTCAAGCAGCCTCAGAATATGATATTGTTGGCTACCTCGTGACTACTGGCCCTCGCTTTTATCAATTATGTCCTCCAGAACAAAGACAATCGTGGTTTGACGCGTTTCAACGCTCAAACTTTAAATGCTTAACTTGAAAAATCCACAGAATTTGACCAGAAATATTCTGTTACATCTGAAAAGACGTTATGTTATGACTTATGTTTAGACATAAACTACACGTTTAATACGTTGATATTGACCAACTTTTGTAATAGATTTGAATATATTTTCATATTGAAAGGACAGATTGAAAGGACAAAGTCAAAATATATTTACCCAGATTACCTTATCTGCGGTCTGTTTAATTAGAGTGAAGATTGAACTAGTTTTCGGTTTTCGGAGAATTTTTCGATCTATGCATGACGTTGGACAAACCTTCTCGAACCGTTAGCTGTGACACGTGTTGGCTTATCAGTAACCCCTAACGTTTGTTGATGTGGCCATAACATACCTAATGACGTCATTATGACATCATATAGCTCGTACATACTCGTATCTAAAAACCACGTTTACCAAGATTTGGGAAAACTGTGGTCAGTACTGAAGGTGACCCCGAGGTGATTCCTGTATGTGGCACTCCAGTTTGGTCTCTCAGTCAGCTGTTAAACGATAACGAGAATTTTTTCCACCAGGCGAGAAACAGGTTGATGAAACTTGCAGTGAATACGTTTAATGTCCGTATCATAACTATTGCGTTGATCTGTCTAAGATGAGCGTGGTTTATAGCAGCCCATAACAATGCATGTCTAAAAATTATCGCGTTTTGTTTCCTTATACCATACGCCATCACATTCCATTTTTGTGATCGTTGGACGTGGTCGACAACCAGTTTCGAACAATGCTTTCGACATATTGTTTTCCAAATCTACGTCAACGACAGACGGGTTTCGTCAGATGGCGTGAGCAAAACGCAGAGTTTGGCGCGAATGACGAATTTCGTACTCGCGGTCACTGCTAATTAAAGCCATAGTATAATTCTCGTAATCAGAGTGCTAATATTGCTAAGTGCCCTGCTCTTAATTCTGAACCTGCTGTGCGTGTTCAAGACTCCTATACTTTCATTTAAGCCTGGTTTCCATATGACGCCGACGTCGGCAAAGTATTATTGTCGGTGATTACTGATGAATGGAATCTTTTGTCTTTCTGAAATAATTTTCTCCTTGGATGATTACAGACAATGAGTCGGCGACAGGTCGGCGTCATATGGAAACCAGGCTTTACGCATGCCTGCCTGGCAGGACCACAGGAACAGCGGTATGTACCTACGCTCAGCTACGTGTGATACAAATATTGCATGCTGCAATAAAAAAGCATTTATACTCTAACAACCTGTCGCCTGGCTGGAGTGCTCTACATCAGCTTTGAATAAGAATTGGCGTTTGTTTATTCTTTCGGGATCCTAGGGATGCAAACGTTCTTTAACTGGTGAGAAATATATCTTCATATTAATTCCAATATATAAGCTGAGATTATGGGCACCGTAAGGAAATAGACAGGTATACATACATGCATGTACAATAAATACATAATTCAGGTTGAATATTGATTTCGGCGCGAAACTTTTGATGTCGTCCACTTTTCGTATAAAAAACTCATTTGCACTTATCTGAAAGCTCTTACTAGCCTAATTCACAACTGCATCTGCGTTGAGTTCACTAATTATGGTGTATTTATCGGCTGAGCACTGATATCGCTCGAGATTTTCAGACGATACAGAGGAGACATACATGCAAAATCTCGATTCGAAACAACGAAGTCAATATTCAGCAATCACTTACGTGTCCGGAAACATACAGCGCGACTTGATTTTTTCTATAAAAATACTCGTATAGGACTATAGCAACTTTTAAAATGCATTTAAACATTTAATTTGTGCAATTGACGTTGAAACGGTAGCGTTTGCGAGACGATTTATACTCTTCTGTTGTATCTACCTGGGCTAGCAAATAATGGCTCTGTTTAATTACTTCTACTATAGCTGTGACTATAGCCCTAAGGCCTGCTTCAGACGTCAAACTTTTCATGTGCCGAACCTGATGTTAATATGCTAAAGTCTTTGTTGAAGGTTGGAATACGGACACTTTTATATATATACATTTTATTTATGATTCGTATGGACGAGTGTATATGAATGAAAGGTATAGACATTCTTTCATGATATAGTTTTTAGCCAACGCGAATGATAATGAAACTAATCTCTTTTTTTTTAATATATATAAAACGTAGGCTACTTACGTGTACAAACACTGCACAGAAACTAGATATAAGAAAACCAAATATATATGCGATAGAGTTAATCTGATCTAAAACACATCACGTCTTCTAGCTCATCCAGAGTGATTGTGTCTGCTGCTTAAGTTAGCATATTGTACATGACGTGTGCATGCATTAATCAGCCAAATCATACATTCACGTTCGCTTAAAGCTATACCCGCTGTATCGATTGTGTGTTTGCGATGTTAGTCTAGTTTCGTTTTAAAGCTGCGACCACCTGGAACGGGATAAATGCATGAAGTTTGCCGTTGCGTGTGAAACATACATGGAAAGTTTGTTTCGAAGTTTTTTTAGACTTTAGAATTCAGAAAGACTATATTTCCATTCGTTATTGCCTTTTATCATATGCTCAACTTTAATTATACGAACGTTGTTACCGCTTGTTAAGGATCTACTTAACTTCCCATTGGTGTATGCTAATTAGCTTTGCCGTTACTCGTTTTACAAGAACTCTAAAGAAGTCTTAAATGATTTGATCAGAATGCATTACTCCTCCATACATAGTGCATGCATGCATGGCGTGACTGTTTTTGACAAGTGAAGAATACTTTACTTAGGAATGGGACAGTGGCGGTTCTGTGATGATGTTAATTTTCTTGCATGGCACCCAGCTGAAACGTGTATGTTTGAAATGATTTATGTAGAACTATACGTAAGTTCCCGCCACAATATGACCGTAATTACAAAAGCGTTTTCATCACCTCACTTCATTGTGCGTGAGGTTTGACTTATCTTCGTCTTGATATTAAAAATCGACGCGCATTTCAGTAGCCGATATCTGCCGGTATTCTAGGCCTATAAGGTAATCGCAGCTGGTTTTAGCAACGAAATCAACTCCGTCATCACAGCTGATGGAACTGAAAAAGAATTGTGACCTCAATGAATCTATTTTTGACAACAAGTCAAGTGGATGATATTAGTTGTTCGTCGAAAATTATTTGTTTGTGACAATAGCCGTAGGTTCATGGACTGTTGCATCATTTTGATGTCGGCATCTCGTGAATCATATTATATAGACTATAATATTTCTCTCTCTCACTCATCACAAATTTAACTTTGCCACTCAATTTAAGTATTTGATTCTAATCAGAAAACGCATGAATTGACGCAGTAATTAACGTTCAGCCTTCACAGTAGAATATTTTAAGATAACATGTAATATTCTGAGTCGTCTTCACTGTTCCAAACATCATCCCATTTGTTCTAATTCCGATCAAAATGCGTCTTATAGAACGGATCAGAATACTTGTTGTTCTAATTTCAAAGAGAGATATTTAATGATACAGGCTTTGGGGCAATCAGTCTGATGAGCTGGCCCTAAAAAGCTGCTTTCCAATTATAGAAAAACTAAATACAAAAGACAGAAATGGAACGGAATGGGGTTTCATTGTGTTAAACCATTAATATACGAGTGCATGGTCATGGAGAACTTTAAGACAAAAGAAATTTCACTCAGTTTTTCTGTGTTTACGCAAAAGAGGGTGATAGTTGTGACTATAATAATTGACTTCGATACAAAAGCCTGTTTACTGAAAATCGATCTTCCAAGAATCTATCGCTCTTGAACATGAAGAGTTTGTTGCAAGAATGCAAGTGGAACATCTTGAATTTTACCCAAATTTGTCGGCTTGTGCTTGTGGATATATATCAGTTTATCTGCGGATCAAAATGGCCGCGATAAGCAATTACCCCTATCTTATCTTCCCGAAAACTATTCAAGATTCAAAATTAAAAAGTTATCGGGCATATTATGAATGACGTTGTGGATTCATTTACAATTTACGGCCTGTTTACATAAGGTCCATACCTCTCGCTTATACGAGGAGGCGGGCTAATTTTGATGGATGGAAAATTTGCTTCCTTATGGTCTTGTGATCTGTTTATTTCATGTTTTCGTAGATATATATTTGTCGTGCATAAACCAGACTGAGCCATCAGAAACAGGATGCTTCTAACCTTGATCGGGTTATTTTGTTCTGCAAACTACTCTGTAAACACGGGAACTACATTTATTGATTTTTAACCTTTTCGTCAATTAATATGCATGCGTGATATGACCTCAGACAGAAAGACATACAGCCAAATTGTCTTGTTTCTTCCAACAACAATGTTTGCCCTGCATGGAAAGGAATTCATTTAGAGTGTTTTTCAAGAGGAATTCACTTCAATATTTCTTGCTATTCATCTTAGAAACACTTCCTAGAAAAGAAAGCCTATTCTGTGCATGTGATTCTTTCGCGCATGGGGTCCATCTCTCAATCATTTTCTGTTTTTCTTCAAAACGTCTTTCCCACGCAGCTGATCAAATGTGATTGATATTTGAGCTGTATTTCTGAATTCTTATTTGTTAATTATGATTAAATGTCCCCCAACCATATGTTGAGGATTCTGTCACCTTCATTCTCAAACGTCATACATTACCGCGCGTATTGCTTTTCGCATCTCGTTAGACATCGCCGATTACCTCGAAATTTGTGGAAACATTTGGAAACCTATTGACAGTGCTCTATCTTCTGCATGTCTTTGGTAAGCTCATATATCTTTCATATAAGCCAGAATGCGAGAATGTTGAGCCTGAAGAAAATTGCTTAAACAAGCAACAAATGAGTCAATATAGAGTTATACAAATGCATGAGCTAGTATTTTCAATTGCAAAATCTTCGCGTAGATCTCCATAGATAATACAAGTTTTGTTTGATGTGTGTTTAGGAGAGTATACATTTATTATGTACATCTGAATGAAATCTGCATAAAAAGGTTTTATTTTTTCTCTTTTTTTAATTATTTTATGTTCGGGTTAAACTTTGTTGACCTACGTCGCAAGACACTGATTTTGAAAGGGCGTCGTGCAAATATTAATTAAAAAACGCCAAACATCAATTTGCTCGGCCTGTGTCATTCTTGTGGATCTGCATAACAATAACGGTGTAAAATGTTGCTGGCTTGAACATATTTTCCCGGCATTTGAATACCGGACATATCACATAAGAAACTCACACATGCTTCAGTAAATTTGTTGAATTGACAGATAATCTCAGAATTTTAGCAAGTAGGCACTTAACCGCGAAGACGCGCAGGTTAAAGTACTTTTCGTATTCAAAGTGAAGACATTAATCCTAATTTAATGCATACAACAAGAATATTTATAAAGTGGATTGATACGATACAATACATCACTGTGTCAGCACGTATATAATATATTAAGAACTGTATGAAATATAAGAACTCTCTCGTAGAATTCAACTTTGCTCAGATAAGAAATGCATGCAGGGGACAAATTTCGTATTTTTTATATCCTTATCTCGCCTGCAAGTCGTATACGTATGTTATCCTTGACTGAAACTTAACACAGCCTTGGCGTAACTTTCATTTTTTGTCATTATGTTTAGCAAGTGGTTGCTACGATATAACTACAAGTGTACAACATGCATGCAGCTTGTGTTTGACCTAAAAATTACCATGAACGATTCAAATTTTTATGGTCTTTCAGATACTGAAAAATGACGTACTGTATATCCGGACAGCCATCTAGAATAATGCTTTCTAAGTTCAGTTTTCCACCAGAGACCGGTCATACAATCACAACTATACGTAGCCGTAGGTTTTGTAAAGTATATTAAACACCACCTCATGTAATTGATGGACTTTTCCTTGGAACAGAGATTGCCAAAGTAACAAACTCTCAATTCCAACTACGTTTATGGCACAAGATACAACTGTTATATATATATAAATAATATAGGTCATGAATAATACTCGTCGCTTACAGAATACCGACAAAATGATGCATGAAAATTGATATAGCCATATAGGAACAATCCAATTTAAACAATTATGAAAATAATTCCAAAACCAGCTGAATATAATGATGAATTAACAGCTCAAACCTGCCGAAATGTTTTAAGGAAATCACCGAGTCAGAAGTAATGGCACACATGCTGTGTTAGGAATATAGGATTTCTTGTATCGGTGATGAGGGTAGGCGGTTGTTGTGTAATAATTGGAGTTCAATTTTGACCCAGTGCTGCTACAATACAAAGCAAACTGGCTTGTTTTTGAGTCGTATTTTGTTATACTATAGTATATTGAAAAACGTTTCTGGAAGTCGAGTCGAAATTTGAGGTGAGCATTTTCTAGCGATATCAAACATGCATCATGAAATTTAACATTAAATTTATTGTGATAATATATAACCCGTCGTTGCATGGCCGAACTAATATCTTAGGCACTGAATGACAAGTACAGGAGACGACTGCATATTCACTGTACAACGCGTGATGCTTATAGATATAAAAAATGGTATAAGAATTTGTAGTCGAGTTGTTTATTATAGATGTTCATTTTATTAAACTATATGTTTAAATAGTATGGAATCCTGTGAAATGCTCGCCTGTTTTATACCGTGAATATATATTTTGCTATTTTATAAAACTATATTGTTCGTAGATCACCCACCAATTCTGCATATGGTCACAGTGAAACAATGCCTGAAAAATCCGACTGCCTTCCTCATTGTAATATAGTAATTTTATACATGACAGTGATTTATTTAGCTATTTTCAACTGATTTATTACTACATACAGCATTTTTGATTGCCATAAATGGCAGGCATCTTGAATTTCTCATATTGAAGTATACGAGGAAAATCACCAACGAAAAAGTAGACATTCATGCATGAAAACAACAAATACCTGCATAATACTACGTGCGGCGTTGAAAGCATTGGAATGAGATGATCCTTTTGTCATCTGTTTGGTTATTGCATTAATTGACAATCAAATACTTTAGGTAAAATCAATTCACCCCTCTGTATAAACATTCGGACTTGGGTGTTCCGTATTAGTATGAATGTCTTTGAATTTCACGTGCTCGGACTGCGCGAGTCTGACGGATGTAGAGCTATGATTTCCTTCCTGCGTGTCTTGGAATTTCTGTGTGAGTCTTGCGAATGATGGATTTAAAAAACTCGTGTTCAATCGTATTCTTTTCATGCTAGCGCATGCATCGCCTCTTGCCTACAAACAGGCAGATACTGGTCTGCGTTTAAACACATTTGCTTTGAGGATACATCACAACCACGAGCTTCTTAATATCATGTTTAGAAATAATTTCGTTGTTTCTATAACTGGATAGAAACGCAGGAAAAAATGTTTTCTATTTCTTTTATAATATAACTCAATAAAAAGATTTTATAATTCGATTCAATTACAAATTCTCATAACATTACTTCGCTTGTCAAGTTCGGAACAGTTATATGCAGTTATAGAAACACGCTTTTCGACCAATCAGCACGCGCGTACTATAAATGTTATATTATATGGACAGGTATATATACTAGATTTTGCTATTCACACGCGGCTGTTCGAAGGAGGTGAATGAAAAGCAAACAAACGCGTTTGTAAAAAAAATTCAAATGCATTCCGCAAGGAATTTCAGGCAAACTAAAGTTGTTGATAGCTGCATGACGAACAATTAACAATAGTGTGTTCAGTGTCATTCCTTAAAACTATATTTTAGTAAGTCCATTGCTTTTTTAGTTTGTCTGTGGAACTGTATATCATAGTAGAGCAAATGATCACAGAGTTTCGCGCGCTATCGGACCAGATATAACATAACCTTTAGTCCCTGATGGCGTTCCCATCGAGGCTGGACCGCCGCATATTTTCTATTTTTTTTCGTTGTTGATGGTCTAAAGCTACACAGATTTAATTGCATGCATGCGTAAAAAATCACTTGCATTCCTGCAAAGATACCGTTGACAAGACGCGCAGTTTGCGTCATCACTTTTCATATTGCTTATGATTCCATGTCCATATATTTCACGATCATGGCTATCGCATTTTAATTATAGAAATCGAAAAACATCCTATAGACACTCTATTTAAGGCGACTTTAACATGAATTCGTGAATTTGTAGTGTTAGATCTATTAAATGATACCAGCCTTAAGAATATTCTGTGAATTATTTGGCTATTGTTAACATCTTCCTGCCTATAGATTATAATGGAATATCTATGTGTATAATCTTATCTCTATTTACTGACTATTTCACAGCCGTAGGGAAAAGGTCCTTTTTATATGCAGCGCTCGTCTATACGCGATCCATATAGTTTACGATTCAAATTGTGCTTATTTTTAAATCAGCCATTAGCGAAAGGTATTCGAATGCTGAGAAACATCTTCGAGTGGTGGTGAGCATATTTCATCACTTGAATGCTCCACGTAGAAAGCCTGTAATCTCTTTAATTAAGATATCTGCACATGGCGGCATATATATATTATCACTGTTATCATATACAGATGACAAATTCATGTTTGTTCTTGTAGATTTGTCGTGCAAAAAGCGTGCCGGGCCGGTAAATAATTCATGCATGTTGCATGAATAACGTTTTTAAGTACTATGGGGACAAGAAAGATTTAAGTAGAGACGTAAGTAATCTATGCACGAACTCACGATTACTGCATGTGAAGGCGATTAGATGACTGCATGCACAGTTATTAATTGAAATATGCGACCCCCTCCATATGAACTGCTGTTGAAACAATCCTTTTGTCCTGGGCCCGAGGTTGGTCCAATCCCACGCTAGTTATTTATAAAACACGAAATCCGGCAGTAAAAGCACTAATTTATTGGGAAACGAGTGTCTGCTTCTGACCAAAATAACAAGTGATGCCAAATGAATGGCGGCACATGATGACACGTATTTTTTTGGTCTACGATTGTGTTTCAAGGTGTAGGATCTTTCATCTTTTGAGTTGTAAGTATAGGTTTATATGAAATATATGGTATATCTTCACCTGCTCACCACAGGCTAATAGTGAACAGGTATATTTAATCTTGAATTTGCGCTATCTTCTATTTCAATAACTTAAAATTGTACTGAACTACATAGACCAAGCTTTAATAGGTTATTTACATTTGTGAAACAAAAGTAGGACAGGCCTTTCCAAATTGCCGCGATGGGTGACCGGACATCTAAATAATCCTTCGTCGTAAATCTCGATAAGCTTTCGTTAGCAAAACGAAAAAGGCGGTATAAAGGCCGCGCGCATGATTTGATTTCTGCTTTGATTTCAAAAAGGCGTAATTCAATATTAAAACCACAGTTAGTAGGTCAGAATAAAATGGAGGATTTATAATGAACAACAGAATTTTGCTGTGACGTTCTAAAGCCGATGTCGTTGATAGAATAGTCTTCACGGAGAGAGTAAGGTTTCCACTTTTAAGCACCGCATGACCCTATGATGGTAACATCTCCCCTGCAATTAAAACCACAAATTCAAACGATGTAACAACGCGTTGAGATCTACCATCATTCCTTTAAGCATAGGTCTATTTGATTTATCTAGGGTAGAATCGTTAGATAAACAGGGTTTATTTTGATTACGAATTCAAAACAAACGTAAAAATCGTTACCAAGAATTTCGCCCCGTATAGTTTGTTAAAACCGAAATCTTTCTATAATATAACTTGATATATACGCCTCTACTGTTACAATAGATAAAGAATGATAATATGATATTTATCAACTCAAAAAACCAGATGTTTCGGGCAACGAAACGTTAGCAATAATCCTTAATTAAAGTATTTTTTTTGCGTTGATTTTAAAATAATTTGGCCGATGCATGTGTTCATATTTTAATCACGATTTCAAACTATATATATATCAGGTATATATGGTCTCTTATAATGTACAACGTGAAAGACAAATCCTAAGAGAATGCGACCGGTGTTGGAGGAAACTTCTTATATATGTTTATAGTTCGAGTCATGTCGTGCCAAGACATAAATATTATTGCAACTCGAAGTTATTAAGACAACGCCAACGTTGGTTCATCCCATTTGCTAATTTCTCTCATTAATTTCTTCAGCTGCGGACCCCATGCTTCGGCCTCGCAGTTACTGTTTGCATGAAAACATTAAAAGGTAAATGGATCATTGACTAGCAACGATCACTGCGTAAACAAGTATTGATTACCTTCACGCATTTATTGTCTTGAAGTGGATCAGTGGAACAATCTGTTTATACATAAGAGTTTAACTTCAGTGCACGTATATGAGATAAGATTTCAATTAAAAAGTTTCCATTTCAGAGATGTTTTCTGCATGTTATTCTACACAAGCTCACTTGGTCCGTATTCGCTGAGAAAAGTGTAAACCGTTATGTCATGTTCACGCATGCATGCTGATTTTCTCTCTAGGAATCGCTGGCTTGAAGTAGTATAGTTAAAATGATAACGCTATTGAACAAGTCCTTAATAAGCAAGCCATGTTCTTAATTTAGCGTGATATGAACGATGCATGGACTTAGTATGCATGATTGATGAGTTTTAAGAAGATTATAGTCAGTGAATACTGATTTGTCAGTGAATAAGTGTATATGACAAAGCATGGATGTGTGAAACCTTCCGTTGCGAAACAAAAACCATCTGTTTGACTGCTTCATGAAATGGCTGGACTTTTAGCCCCTAAAACTAAACAGTCCATTCAACTAAGACGTCCTTTGAACAGAACCACAGCATTTGCACAAAAATATATTGAACTTCTTTATTCCATTGTCTTTTCAAGTTTTTAAACCACTTCTGATCATAACTATTATATAGCCTCTTACGTTTTTTTTTTGCAAGTTTAAAGTGTAGTCAATCGCATCTCAATCAGGCTAAATTTTGTATTTGCATTTGTATAGATGTGTTTATCAAAATGATCAATGGAAACATTTCCCTTTCAATTATATCAGGTCCGGATATTGCGCGGTTTCTTATTCAAAAAGTTTCAAAACATCCTTCACTATAAATAGTGTTCATTTTTGCGTCTACGTACATGACGTGAACTCTTTGACATTTCGGCCTGTTTTTGAGATTTATAAACGACGTTTGAATCCAGTATTTGCTTTTGCATGCTTTTCTGCAAAGGGAAATTCGTCGTAGACTCACCCGAAGCGTACAAAACCTCTGCCGGTTTATTGCAAGGAAGCCATGTAAACTCAGTGTTACTTTCACTCTCTCGTTTTTGTTAATGTAACGACTTTTTTCTCGTTGTTTTTCTACCTGTGGGAAGTCCGCTAAAAAAACACCAATGATTGTCAGTTGTCGTTCGATAAGCGGGGGGTGCTCTTTTCGCAAATGGCCTTATCACACCACCAAGTCAAACCACAAACTCCTGGTAACCGGATTCTTGTATTTACTTGATAGATACACTTCTTAATGTTCGATAACATTTGCAGCGATGTCACATCACTCACATGCATGCGCATGGGTAATCATTGCAGTTGTTTTAGGGCTATCTTTAAAACCAGGAACGGGGAATCAAGGAAGGGAACGGGGAAGGGAACGGGGAATGATAAAACCAGGAATGGGAAAAGCCGGAATCTTTAAAACCAGGAATGCGAAAAGCCGGAATCTTTAAAACAAGGAATGGGAAAAGCCGGAATCTTTAAAACAAGGAATGGGAGAAGCCGGAATCTTTAAAACCAGGAATGGGAAAAGCCGGAATCTTTAAAACAAGGAATGCGAAAAGCCGGAATCTTTAAAACAAGGAATGAGAAAAGCCGGAATCTTTAAAACAAGGAATGCGAAAAGCCGGAATCTTTAAAACCAGGAATGGGAAAAGCCGGAATCTTTAAAACCAGGAATGAGAAAAGCCGGAATCTTTAAAACCAGGAGTGAGAAAAGCCGGAATCTTTAAAACCAGGAATGGGAAAAGCCGGAATCTTACGGCCGGAAGTTTGTAACTAAATTAGTTACAATTTCCGCGCGTAATACAAAATATGCTAATTTGACATGGCTATATTTTCCGTATTTTACCAAATTTCGCAGCCAAACTTAGCATTTCCACTAATTCAAGTACGCTCAATTCTTTTATCTGTTATATGGAACATAAACTGCATTCTTTTGTGGGGGAAGGAATGGATAATACATATATAATTACACAAACGATGAAACGAACACAAGGACTGACAAGGTTAGTTTGTAAACAGTTAAATTTGTTGATTTGGTCTCATTCATAAACCTACAAAGTGGAGCTTTGCGCGTTGCTATCTACCGTTTAATATCTACATTGCTATTGGAATTGAATAATGTTTGGTTGGAAATGAAAACTTTTTGGATCCAAATTTGAATTTCCAGATTTTCATATGAATTGCATACTGCATGATATAAAATATGCATGAACAACTTCACTAAATACACAATATTTTACCTTTTCTATATTCAGTACATTGTATTTACAGCTACTTAATATATCAGTATAAATCTATGTGAACAACAATTTTGCTCCATTTAATATATACATACTAAGCTTATTTTGCAATATATATTTGTCATAGTTCATGGTAACAGCTTTTCATTATTGGATCAGATTACCCCTGAACAATGCACTACACTTTTGTTGTCCCAAATATAACATGATTTTGCTTGTAAGTAAAATTGTATAGAAAATAAAAAATATTTTAGTGCATTTTGTACCTTAATTGACTCAGATTATAATTAAACAGTTACTATTCTCACCCAAGGTTTTAATGACTGGAGGCAGATTAAAAATATACAATAATAATCTGTAAGTAACTAACAGTTGCAATCAATTAAAATCTTGGCTCTTTGAGAGCAACTTTGTGTTGGGATGGAATTTTGGTATATATCCTATTGTTGTTTTCATACTGTAGAGTAGATTTATATTAAGTAGCAGCAAATACAATGTACTGGTAATATTCCAAAATTTAACAACATATCTCAATTCTTTTATCTGCTATATGGAACATAAACTGAATTATTTTGTGGAGGAAGGATTGGAGGAATATATAATACATGTATAATTATGCAAACAACAATTAATTTTGCTGCACTTAATACATTATTTTGCACTATACAGGGTGTCTCAAAAAAAACGCAACCGCTTAAATATGCAAGAACATTAATACAGCTCTAAAGTGCACCTCTGGGAATTGAAAATGGCTCTTAATCCTTCATTTAAAATGCTAAAAAAATGCTAAACGTCATTTTAGCTGAACTATGGTGCAAACCCGAACAATATTAATATTAATTTTCTTGTATGATTGCATGGCGACTTTAGTAATTATAATAACTTATATAAAAATAAATTGCACTGATGAAGGTCCGGGTTAACGGACCGAAAGCTTTGCAGTATTTAATACTTACGTGGTGTACCTACAAGTTATTATAATTAAATATTAATATTCTTGCATATTTAACTGGTTGCGTTTTTTTTTGAGACACCCTGTATAGTCATAGTTCATAGTAAAAGCTTTTCATATTGAATCATGCTAGCCTAGAAAACCACAGCTATGTTTTCCCTACACAATTTCTAAAGCATTTTTATTTGAATAAATTATTTGTAAAAGTAAATGCTGGTTGGAAATTATACTCTTCTAAACAAGACCTAGGGTATATTCCAAAATTCCATCCCAACATAAAGTTGTTCTCAAAGAGCCAAGATTTTAATTGATTGCAACTGTTAGTTACTTACAGATTATTATGGTATATTTTTAATCTGCCTCCAGTCATTAAAACCATGGGTGAGAATGGTAACTGTTTAATTATAATCTGAGTTAATTAAGGTACAAAATGCACTAAAATATTTTTATTTTCTATACAACTTTACTTACAAGCAAAATCATGTTATATTTGGGACAACAAAAGTGTAGTGCATTGTTCAGGGGTAATCTGATTCAATAATGAAAAGCTGTTACCATGAACTATGACAAAATATATTGCAAAATAAGCTTAGTATGTATATATTAAATGGAGCAAAATTGTTGTTCGCATAGATTTATACTGATATATTAAGTAGCTGTAAATACAATGTACTGAATATAGAAAAGGTAAATATATTGTGTATTTAGTGAAGTTGTTCATGCATATTTTATATCATGCAGTATGCAATTCATATGAAAATCTGGAAATTCAAATTTGGATCCAAAAAGTTTTCATTTCCAACCAAACATTATTCAATTCCAATAGCAATGTAGATATTAAACGGTAGATAGCAACGCGCAAAGCTCCACTTTGTAGGTTTATGAATGAGACCAAATCAACAAATTTAACTGTTTACAAACTAACCTTGTCAGTCCTTGTGTTCGTTTCATCGTTTGTGTAATTATATATGTATTATCCATTCCTTCCCCCACAAAAGAATGCAGTTTATGTTCCATATAACAGATAAAAGAATTGAGCGTACTTGAATTAGTGGAAATGCTAAGTTTGGCTGCGAAATTTGGTAAAATACGGAAAATATAGCCATGTCAAATTAGCATATTTTGTATTACGCGCGGAAATTGTAACTAATTTAGTTACAAACTTCCGGCCGTAAGATTCCGGCTTTTCCCATTCCTGGTTTTAAAGATTCCGGCTTTTCTCACTCCTGTTTTTAAAGATTCCGGCTTTTCCCATTCCTGGTTTTAAAGATTCCGGCTTTTCTCATTCCTGTTTTTAAAGATTCCGGCTTTTCTCATTCCTGGTTTTAAAGATTCCGGCTTTCCTCATTCCTTGTTTTAAAGATTCCGGCTTTTCGCATTCCTGGTTTTAAAGATTCCGGCTTTTCCCATTCCTGGTTTTAAAGATTCCGGCTTTTCTCATTCCTGGTTTTAAAGATTCCGGCTTTTCTCACTCCTGGTTTTAAAGATTCCGGCTTTTCTCATTCCTGGTTTTAAAGATTCCGGCTTTTCCCATTCCTGGTTTTAAAGATTCCGGCTTTTCTCATTCCTGGTTTTAAAGATTCCGGCTTTTCTCATTCCTGGTTTTAAAGATTCCGGCTTTTCCAATTCCTGGTTTTATCATTCCCCGTTCCCTTCCCCGTTCCCTTCCTCGATTCCCCGTTCCTGGTTTTAAAGATAGCCGTTGTTTTAGACGATTCTAATCATCTTAATCTTGATATCGCTATAGAAAGTGCTTGACTTACTCTGCAAGCATGCAGTGATGGCAATTTTCAGGAAATAGCACGAATTTCCCGAACATCAACGCAACAGTAAACATCGATTAACTTCCAAGCTGGCATTTCTCAGCTAATTTCGGAGACGTGCGAGATGACATGTTTTGGGAAATTGATCAATTTGCCGGGCAAATACGCACGCATGAAACCTCAAACAACAGTCCACTTGCAAGCTGGTAATTCTCAGCCGAGTTTGAGAACATGCGATATGAATGGGGGAATGATTTCTTTTGGGAATGATAAACTAAACCTGCCTAGCAACTTCATCAACTTAAAAATACAACATGGCTCACTGCTATCAACCCACAGCTCATTTAGACTTTAGTATCTGTCATAAGGACACCTGAAATTTGGAGGAAATTAATTAACGATATACGCTTGCTCTCATGAAATTCAAGAGCGAAAATTTGGAGGAAAAAAAAGAAGCAATCCCGTATCCCGCTAAAAGACAAGGAAATTATATACTTGGAAAGCAATCTCCTCGACCCAGGGCTAATTGCAAAATTCAGCATTAAATGATGAGAGTGGTGCGGTAGCCAATCAAAACGCAGCATTTCTGATCAGTGTTTAGACATAATAATATTATATGATGATGGCTGATCTTCAAATAATACTGGACAGCACACGGCTTGCCCTTCGCTTTGACGAAAATGAAGCTAGGCACATACATGCAGTGCCAACAAAAGTCACTATTACTAAGGACTAGCAGATATATTTCTTTTGAAACGTTTTCGAACTATCAAAAGGGTAGAATTCCCACCTGCACAATACTTTTAAAAATAAATGTCAAGTGTGTTAGTGACATTGACATTGGACTGGCTTCACTTTTTTTATCAACAAAGTAATATAAACAAGATCCATTGAGACCTGAAATGATGAATCCTTTAAATTTTTCCCCACCACGACCGTTACATTGAATGCGTTCATTTCTTGCGGGAGTTTTGTACAGTTTAGCAAGTGTAGTTTTTCTCATTTCCCCCTTTCAAAATTTGTGTCAATTGCGGCGACGAAAGCAAATTATCTAAGATAGAGTTTTTATCATAATCTCTTTCGCATTGTCAACGCAACAAAATGATTTTTTTTCTGACGCGTATTTTTTGATAGTCTACTATCGCTCTCGTTTCATTGTGGAAAACATCCTGTTGACTTTTGTTCTCAAAATTGTTGACATTTCGTTCGTGTGAACTGTTCCAGTTCGATTATCATACGCGGGCATACAATCGCTTTCGGTTAACCAGATATGTAAATGCAGGGTATATTTGTTTTAAAATTGATTAAAAGGCGAAAATTGGACATATTTGGGACAAAATTAAATTGCCACATTCAATCATGAGGACCACCTCTGTTGTCACTATGAAAGATAAAAGAGGTTCCTATTTTGCGTGAAATCTCAAAAAATCTTTCGAATATTCTGATGTTTTTTCCCCACTTCAAAATTTGCTGCTGCTAGCATATAACTAACTAGTTATCATGACGTCGTATTTATTCAGAGTAAAGGTAATCAAATTATTTTCCCCAGAGGCAGTCATTACAGAACAGTGCGTCATATGCCACTTTGAGAAACTTCTGTAAATCAGGAAAACGATGATGAATGGACTTCCTCAAAGCTGTTGCTTTCTCAGACCTCTTACGTTCGTAAACAAGAGGGCCGTAAATTTCCAAAATTTTCTTAAATTTTGCAAAGATTTTCCATTCGTTTGTATAATTCTAATTAGTATGCTCGTCAATCAAGGGGATCCTTATTTGCGATTGTCTTTATTAAAAAAAACGAATTTCTTTTGACTAATTTAAATAATTAGTCTGGATCTGTTTCTAATGGACGTGATTCGAATAAAAACTTGTGTCCTTGTTGATCAAATTTCAGGATTATAGGTTTGAGTATTCGAGTTGACCAATGAAAATCACGATACACGAGAGCCAGGTTTATGACTTTCTATCGTCCATAGTTTATCTGTTAATCATTGATTCAATCTGTTAATCATTATGCTAATTGTGCCGGCTTTGTTATGTTTATAGGATGGTATACAACAATATCTGCTGCACTAAATACGTCACAGATACTATTAACTGAACATATAAACTAGAGCTTCGTCGTATTTTGAAGTACATACAAAAGTCTCTTCACAGAAACACTGAAAGGTAAGCGAAACTCTAATTTTACTTCAAATACAAAGATTTTACCTTGACTACTATGTATGACTTTTATATCCATAATTAAGCCCGAGAATAGTTCTTTCTAGCCTCTCCAGTGAGATACAAAAATTTCAGACGGGCTGAAATGATCGTTTGCTGTACATGTAAACGACAGTTCTGTCTATTTTTTCTTTTTTGAGGCAACTCCAAAAATGAAATGTTTTGTAGTTTATTTACCCTGATATATGCATTTAATGCATGGACATTGATATGCAGGTTACGACTGTCAAGTTTTTTATTCAGTTTAGGTTTCAGACTTTCAGTAACCGAATCCTGTTGAGTGTTGAACGTAACTCATTCCATCTTGTTGATTTTATCATGATAGTGCGGTCTCAACAAAACCCTGGGGGTGCATTAACCTTATAAACTCTTGTTTTGCAGTTGGCAGAACAAGCATCGTTAAACTGAGAACGTCGCTTCGACACAATTCGCGATACTGAACATGGACGAGAATGGCTCGCTAAACGCAAACCATAGCATGGACTTTGAAATGAAATTTGTCACGTCAAAACACGTTCACTGGGTGATTCTCTCGGTCTTAATCGTCCTCATGAACTCGTTTGTTATTCTGTTGTTCGTCTTCAACAAGAACCTACAAAAACCAACAAATTTTCTGCTCGTGAGCTTGAGCGTATCTGACTTGCTCACAGGGATGATTGGATTACCCTTAGTGCTTGTGTGCTCAACGAGACCGATATGTCTTGCATGCGTGTTCTCGTATACCTTCATCGTGTTCACGTCTATCTCTACCGTGCTACACATCCTCGTGATATCTTACGAGCGTTACATAAAGATCGTGTTCCCGTTTCGAGTGCACCAAATAGGGAGAGCAAGTTTCGAGTTGAAACTCGTGGCTTGTTTATGGTTTATTAGTTTATTAATCCCTCCCATACAATTCATCTGGTGGCCTCCGACTCCGACATCCTGCGACGAAGACCTCAGTCCCGAAGACGCCAGAAGTGAAAGGATCTTCACCATCTTAATTATGGTACTGTTCGTTGCACTACCTGTGTTGCTCCTGATCTATGCTGATGCCATGGTTTTCCTCGTCGTTCGTCGGCAGTTGGACGGAATCGAGAAGACATCGGTCGGCCTTCGGGATTCTCAACGACGCCTGCAAAAAGAGACGAGAGTTTTAATGCTGTTCGCAATCATGATGTTGTATTTCATCGTGGCCTGGTCCTTCTATTTTTCATCCATGGTCATGCATTCGATCGTGGGACGAGAAATGCTCCTTCCTGAATGGATATTCCAGTTTGCAGAGATTCTACGGTGCAGCACGCCATTTGTCAATCCAATTTTATACATCTTGCTCAAGCTTGACTTTCGCCGCGCTGTCTTGGGCGTGATGAGACGGCTGCTGAGAAAATACTCTGGAATGCAAGTTGACAGCAGTGTGGAATACAGCAATGGTATTCGTTCAGGAGGACGTTCAGACTCACGTAGTAATTACACTGAAAGAACCATGTTCTTGTGATACCATTATGAGATTGCTAAATTACATGTGTATATGATAATAACTGGAACTAAATAGTTCGCTGGAATTAGGCAATAAGCGGGGCGTTTATGGACTAATATAAGCTTAGGTAAGCCTATCGTAACAGGGCATACACTGTTGTTAGCTGTAGCTCTAACAAGTTGTGATTTGCAGTGTTAAGATGGCAGATTGTAACAAGTAACAATAATATCTCAGGCGGATATTTTTTGACGAAATTTATATTTTGTTTCGGAAACTATTTCATCTAAAGGTGGCTGCTATCTTGGTACTCCAAATTCGTCATATTCGGGGGTTTCAACTGGCTTCAGTAGATGTTCTTTCCAGGCACGTTTTGATCTGCTTGCGAACAGAATATCAATAATGCAGCCAACCACAGTGCAGGACTTGTGGCAGTGTACAGACTTGTATACTAATCGATAATAGAAAGTGAAATATAATGTAAAATGAGAATGTAATTAGTGACGCACCAGTTTTCGGGAAATCAGTTTAATAATTCCTGGTCATTCAGTTGTGTTTTACCAGGTATCTATTCTTTAACGAATATTCTTGCAGCCTCGTGAAGGGCTCGCTCTCTCGATAAAAAGGTGAGCGTCCGTGCGGTGACCACCAAACATGCTAATTTGTCATGTAATTGATTTGAATTGGATTGGAGTTAATTAAAGATGTCATTATATATACATAAATATAAAAAAAGTAAATGTATCCTTTTATCTAAAAATAATAAAAAAACCCGTTTACAGTTACAGAAGATATCGTACCACCTTTGGTATATTTTTTGAAGGATTCGAACAGCTAAGTAATTTGCATGGTTAGCGCAATTTTGCGCTGATATACGTATACTGCGTCCTTGACCTGCACACGGGTGTAATGTTTCTCGGGCTTTAGGGTACTGTATCAATTACACATTTTCTCACAACGCAGTGGGGCTCTTCCTATGACATTGGAACTCTGAGAAAGACGCTTTATAAAGTGCTTATCAATCAAAAATCGTCCATTTCATGGCTATTGTATATAATTTGGCTATTTAACTTGTCTAGCATGAAGTTGGAAGCGTTCAAAAGCGGAATACCTGGGTCAGTATAACGGCATTATATTAAAGTTTTAGTGTTTTAATATGCTATCAAATTATACGAGATTCATGTATGTTGTTTATAAGGTACATAATGTATCATTATACTTTCAATATTTTGTTAACTGATACCGTATGTCTCTATTTTCACACAACGCTTAGCAAACCACCATCCTATTTACTGTTCTGTCTAAAATGAACGTTATGTTAGTGTGGTCACAATTTTGTTTCTAATCTGATCCGTTTTATATGTATATGTTATAATTTTATAATTCAGAATCATACGCGTTAAACACTTGTGAATGTTGAAAGCTGATACCATTAGCTGAAGCATTACAATATTGGTACATCACATTAATATGGTTGATGTGTACTTTTCGGATGGTATAACGCAAGATAGCAGTATTTGTGTGTTTTGAATATAGTTGGATGATGAGGACATCGTTTCCATAAAATAAAAGCATCTTTAATTATAATACTCTATAAAGCCAATATTTTGGTCACGTGAGGGTGGCAACGTTAAATCTACAAGAAAGGGTCTTGGAAATGTGGGTGCATGTCATTGTCACCTTCCTGTTTCAAATTGCATGAATTGTCAATGGTGAAAGACTGAACATTATCCTGTCATCCATTCAGATTAAGGTGGTCAAAACCTATTATAAAAACATTTATCTTGAATGACTCTTCACTCTTGGATGTTAATTGACCATATCAACACAGGATTGCATGGAATTTTAGCTTGCAATAAATCGATAAATCTATTATAATGTATGAACCATCTGAAAAGTCAATTCATCTTGTTCTACCATGCATGCTAAAGGTGTACCTTTTTTGGCATTGCTGGTAGGCCAGGCATTGCCGTAGGAAATAACTTGGTTTTAATCTGCCATTGCAGCTAAAGAATTTCTGACAAAATATGAATGATCTGTCAGATAGTCCAATCACCTATGGACAACTGATTGTGTTAGGGTAAGATCAAGAATCTTTTGATAGTGGTCAGTATGATGCATCACTATGCATGCCTGCATTGCTGCAATTCACAAATTTTAGGATGTGCTTATTCAAACACGTAATTTCCACCTCTGCAACCCCATTGCTGTAGGTTTAATGGTAGGATACCATTTGAGACTGGAGATGCTCGGTTGGCCAGCAAGTTCTTGGTGAGACAAAGAGAAAGTGGGAATGCCCAGAAACCATGCAAGCAATATTCTTATAAATCTGTGAGACAAAGCGTTGTAAGGATCTCAGAATTGTATTGTTGCAAGTAATCACTGTGTATTTAATTGTACTTAATACATGTATGTGGCAATGATTCTTACCACTTCATCTCTACATTCCATTACAGGACTATATATCACAAGATATTCATTCAGTCTGCTATACTGTGAGTGAGAACGAGAATCTTGTTGTTACCTACGAGGCACTTCCTAACGTGGACATGTTCCAGGTAAAAAATTAAGTAAAATATAACATTCTTATGATCTTATCACTAGTCCACTCTATTTCCAATATAACTCTGTGATCCTGTACATCAGAGGTTACAGACTAATGCCTGTATTAAAAAAGCACACTCACACTCATGGGGTGTGACATATAAATTTTGTTAATGCATGTCAATGAGAAAGTTCTTGAATAGGTGGAAATATTTAAGGTAAAACACTGAAAATCGAGCCCCTATTTGACTGGAAACTAATGCTACCATGATGGAAACGTTATAAGAAGATTAAGATCTCCCACTCAATGAGTTTGAGTGTCCTTTTAGAATACAGGCGTAAGTTTCTGCAACTAGGAGAACATTTTCTCTTGTGTAGATTGGTCGTTCGTCGGATATCAATGACTATGTGGTTATGGATGTTGTACCAAATGCTCAGAAAGCTACTGACTGCATGCTACCAAAAAGCACTATTTCACGTTTTGCCTGCCGAATCTATGTTGACAGGTCTCCTCCATATACTGCAAGAATATATGCTGCTGGATTTGATAAATCCAAAAATATTTGTCTTGGGGTAAGGACTATATGCTTTTTTTGTGAAATGTTTCTCAGTATAGATACAAATGGAGCTGTTTTATGCTGCAACACAACATTTAGGGCAGCTCCAATACAAACCACTACAGTTAGTTACATCTAAACCGCTGTTTGAGATATTATTTAAGGTGGTTCAGGCACCAAATGTGATGTCAATACTAGCTTTGCTTGAACTATAAATTGAGCTACCAACTGTAAATATTTTTTGAAGTCAAAGGCAATCAAATGGTGTAAAGAAGATGTTGGTATGATGGATGGACTCACAACCAACGGGGTTCTTATCTTACATCCTCTCAGTGGCCAACATGGTGTTGTTGATAGGGGACCAGGACTGTGGAGGGAGGTGTCAATCACCGGAGATATTTACGCTCTAAGAAGGGCAAGATCAGATCGTGGGGCAGGAAAGAAGGTGTGGGAAAAGTGAAAACAATGGTTCAACATTTTGACTTTTTAAATAGACTGTAATAGCTTTGTAATCATTTTTTAAACATTGTAGGTGGCAAATGAGTCTAATGTTTTAGTGGATGGCACTTTAATTGACCTCTGTGGAGCCATATTGCTGTGGAGATCAAGAGAAGGGATTGCAAATATGCCAGTGAGTATTCTGCCTGGATGATGATTGATGCTTGCTATCTGAACTGGTGAGACTACCGTTTGCGAGATGATAAAATATTCTCATTTTTTCAGTCCCTTCGTGATATTGAGGATATGCGACAAAAATTAAACGCAACTAAACCACAATGTCCCGTTGGCCTCACAACCTTGGAGTTTCCATCAAATCCTACAAAACAATCCAATGTACGTGTTTTGCTATTCACCCCCTTCGCGTATCGTGTTGAACTCAAGTGTACTGAATTAGAGAATGATTTTGATCCTAATTGTTACTTTCAGCGAACACGTTCGAAAACGCCGCACGTGTACGTCAAATGTGGTCACGTGCATGGATTTCACACGTGGAACTCCTCGATGTTTGAGGGAGAGGAAAGAACGTGCCCGATGTGCAGACAGGTAATAAACTGTTTTAAGAACAAGTCCAGAGTGCCCCCTCCCCTATCCGTTTCCCTTTCCCTTCGAGCGTGTGTAAAGTGTGTAGTATAAACTATGTTCCGCGTTTGTGGTAAAGTGTAATCTATTTTTCAGGTGGGACCTTACACCAAACTGCAGCTCGGCGTGGAGGCCGCTCTCTGGGCTGATTGTAGACCAGAATACTACGCTTTTGTTCCTTGCGGCCACATGTGCTCCGAGGCCACTGTCAGGTACTTGTTCGCTGACTTCGTTTATTTACTTCATTGAGTTCGATGTATAACTATGTTTCTAACATGAAGAAACCGACTTTTGGTTGAAATGAATGTTACTATTAGGAGCAGGATTTCAGTTATAAATATATCAAGAAAGACCCGATAAAAGAGGCCCCGAGCAATGATCAACCACAGCACAAACAATGCCGGCCATCAAATTGACGTCTTCGTCTCTTCTAGGTTTTGGTCTCAAGTTCCGCTGCCTCACGGTTGCCACGCCTTCCGTGCCGCGTGTCCTTTCTGTGGCACCCCCCTGCAAGATGACGTTGATGGTTTTGTGCGTCTGATATTCTCGTAGCATATCGCTCATACCGTGTCTATCGCTCTGTATTTAAATGCTGTTGTGTACACTAATGTATAGACGGGATAACCATGTATCGACGAAGTGGGGTTTCCGAAGGGATGCGAAGGGTGAACTTGGGTTATTTATATTATACGACACATCAATCGTTCAGAACGAGATCAGTACAGTGAGATCAGTATCTATCATGAGATGAACTCACTCACGAAGTGAAAATTGTCGAAGATCGCGACGAAAAGAAAATGACAAAAACTGTCACTTCGGATGTACATATGAAGTCGATCGTTGCATGCGATGGTTTCTTGGGTGGGTTGGAGTGAAGGGTAGATCATGTTGTTTTCTGAATTAACCTAGGGGGAGCGAATGTAGAGGGGGTGCGACGTCTAGGCCCAAGTCTCGTGTGACAAACTGGCATTCTGGAAACGGCAATGATTTTAAACATTTAAGAGAATTATTAACACTCACCAAGAATTATTTAACGATTACTTGAATCACAAATTGGTGCATTTTGATGATAATTTATTGCTTTTAACGATGTGAATATTGCAATTTTGTACATCATTTGTATTGAAAATGAATTTTAAAACTACACTTTTGATCTAAATCATCACGAACGAAATATCAAACACAAAGGGTTTCCTCGGTATTGACGTCACAACCTGCAGGCGTTTCCGAAAGTAGGCGATATTGACGATTTCCTGAAGTTACGAAGTACGTGTTAAATCCTCATGAAGAAAGAGCTTTGTATTGCATAATTGAATGAATTAGACGGATGTTATCTTTGTGACCATGTTAGCTGCCGGTAGAAACTATAAATAGTCTTTGGTTGGCCAAAGAGGATAAGAACGTGTTCGCATTACGTCATTTGAAATGAAAGAGGCTGCCCACCCAAATCCTTCTGAGAATATCCTGAAAGTAATTAGCCTGCTTAGCAACCTGGCAAAATTCAGCGCAAATATGCCAGACGAATGTCGCGCAAAAAATGCTATCATTGTTTTCCTTTGTTTGATGATCTTTTTATGCCATAACAACCAGTAATACATGTTTCATCTTGGATAGACAAGTTGCCACTGGCATTGTTATATTAACTTTGTATTTGCGATGACTTTGTGTAGAAATAATTTGACCAAAGGGGATGACGTTTTAAGGGTTTTTTTATTGAAAAACTTTAACTAAGCCTTCGGTCAAATGCGGCTTGTGAAAGTTCCGTCAGTAACTCATAAACGATTTGTGTATTCAATGTTTTCATTGTTTTGCGCAATGCAATGGATGCCCCAAGAGATTTGGTCGCGCGTTTCTCCGCAGAGTCTGGCGCGAATTGCGCAAGGGCTTCTCTGATTGGCTGGATTTTTGCAGCGAAGCCATTTTCCAAATTTAGTTGACATCTCAGTTTAAATTTTAAAATCTGTGGTTATTCATTCGCTTTTCTGCCTTCTCTCTGCTTTGCTGCTGTTTGTTCTTCAGCGAATATTCTCGTCTTATTGAACGTGTAAAAGAAGCAGTTTGTTTTAATGGAAGGCGGCGATTTAAACGTGGAACAGCAGTCGAAATTGCCAAACGATGCTGAAATTGGTAGCTCTATGGAGAAAGAGGATACAAGTCCCAGCACAGATTTAAATGAACCAACTTCTACTGGAGAAGATACGGATGAAAATGTTGTCTCGTCAACATCAAACGACGACCAAGTCGATGCAAAGCGATTGGAGACTGAAGACAAATCCTTGGAGGAAAAATCTGCCTTGCCTAGTTCAGGTCTAATGACGCCCATCTTTCGTCTAAAAACATTATTTATTTATCACTATGATTTTCAATATCTGATACAGGTGTCTAAATATTTTTGAGGGTAAATTCGGTAAAGAAATAAGTACGTTTTCATAGGGAAATATCGAATTTCGGTTTGGTTTTATCGGTATTTTATCAGCGATCATGTGGTGTCCTATATCATAATTTTATTGTACATAATTGTACAGAAATATGTCCGTTCCCCCGCATTGTTTGCAAAATTAAGAGGAGCTTCAAGTATATTTTCATAAACATAAAATAAATAAATCAACGAATTTTTATAAACACACCTATATATCCAAATAAACTAGGCCTATACACAATGAATTGTGCAATTCTGGATGCGAATAAGCTTGCTAAGACCTTGCTAATGCAATTCAAAATAGTCTGCTATAATACCTTGGGTATATGTTATTACGTGTACAGTCAAGTGCAGGATAAATATACTTGATAAATTTGCATGATAAGAATATTCATCAGTGAAGCTATAAATTTCAGTCAACTGTGAATGTTTAGTGAAAATGCTCTACAAAAACACCAGGCAATTTTATACTTACTCCACTAAACTACTCTATCGCCTTTTCTTAGTTCTTTCAACTTAGATACTAGAAGAATTTATTACTTTCAACACTAAGGGCAGAGCTTTCATTTTCAGTTAGAATTCAGGATCTGTTGCATACTTATGCATACACTTGTTTTAGGCCAATTAACGAGTCGACTCGCTGTTTGGATGATAAATAACGAGACTGATCAACGAGGTAACAATAAACATACTGCAGAACGACCGACTCTGCGATAGTTTCTTAATAATGACCTATTCCTTTATTATTTTCAGTTATTGATTTAATTTATTGGCGGGATATCAAGAAGACTGCGGTGGTGTTTGGTATAACTTTACTAGTATTGTTATTCCTTGCATATCACACTGTCTTAAGTGTCCTATCCTTCTTTGCACTGTCCTTGCTTACCGTCTCATTGCTCTACCGCATTGGAATGACTGTGATTGGTGCAGTACAAAAGACTGGCACAGGAAGCCCGTATAAGTATGTAGAGAATATGTGGATGTTTTGCCTGAATTGCAAAGAAATTTGTCTCAGATCATTTCAATGTTCACGATGTTCTATTTTAGGTCACTTCTGGAGAAGAACATTTCTATCTCACCTGAGAAGGTATTATAAAACAATTTTCCAAGGCTAAATATGTCATGGTCTTTATGAAGGTGTATGGTAGAAGTGACATTTGAGAGAAGCCAATTAATGTGAAATTTTGTTTTTTAGGCGAGGGACATTGGTGAATGTGTTGGCTGTAAAATAAACTGTGCCATTGCAAAGCTGACAAAACTTTTCCTTGTTGAGGATATCCTAGCATCATTGAAGGTAATTTATGAAATGAATGGTGCTTTTTATTCTGAGAAGTAAAGTTGCCGTAGCATTAAACAGAATGAATTTTCTGGTAGTTTACTCTGCCGGTGGTTAAAAATGTCCAGAGCCCAGATGATATGAAACAACATAGAATGCATATTTATCTCAGACTTTTTTCTTTAGTTCGGTGTTTTCCTTTGGTTCCTGTCCTGTGTTGGAAAGTGGTTCAATGCTGTCACCTTGATGATCATAGGTAAGTTGACCTGTGCTTGAACCTGTGGAGCCATTCAACAAAAGTTGTTGTTGATTATGTCAAGTGAGACACATCTTGTAAATTTATCCCAGGTACAATCTTGCTCTTCTCTGTTCCTAAGCTGTACGAAGATCATCAGGTATTTCTTATAACGGACACTGGTTTCTAATTTCTTTATGAAATGATTTGAGACCTGGGCAATATGTTTAATAACAACTGCAATACAATTGCAGTACCAAAATGTGATATACACTTCACAAGATATTTACCAATTTAATTTTTAAAAAATAGCAATCTGCCTGTGTTGATTGTTCTTGGCTGATTTGCATGTAACGCATTTTTTTATCTGGTGTTTAGACACAAGTTGACAGCTTCCTATGCAAGGTTTGCAAGAAGACTGATGAAATTGTGAAAACGTAAGTTTTGGAACTCAGTTATCGGTGGTAGTTAAGTACAAATAATCAAACATTTCTCATTTTCGTTCAAGGGTGAAAACGAAAATTGAAAGCCGTTTCAAAAAAGAAAAAAGTTCCTAATTTGCTTCGTAGACGTTTATATATCACTTACTCCTTTACAAACCGTATATTTGAGTTTTAAAGATTATTTATTATATATTAGATTATTCTAGACTAAATTGTACCCAATTAAATTAATAATGGGTAGAGAATCACGGACCTCGTAGAGCTTTGTTGGTTTCCAGAGAGAGTAGAGTTGAACGATGAAGCAAGATTTATTAGATGCATGTATTTCAGTCATCTGCTCAAACACTAGGAATCAGAAGAAAGGGTTTTCGCAGGAGAATGCATGTTTAAAAAAGGAATCATTATTAGTTACAATTTTGCAGGATCAATGGTGTTCAACTGGCGATGATCATTGGAGAAAAATGAAGGTTTTCTTAGCATTTCTTGTAGTATTAAATATGGGACGATTACTACAAATTTTATTTCTCGCATTGGCATACACACGTAAAAGAACCACAGCAGATTGCATGATATAAAAAAGCTGGTTATAGCCTGTTACAGTTGAACAACAATTGTTCCAAAAGTTGTCCCAAAAGCTCTGAAATTCAGCTGCACTTTTACAAATGAAAGAAAAAAAGCGTTTTTACGTGTATTTGTCCATGACGTGCTTGAAATGAAATTGCATTTGACATCCTTACTGATTCAAATTACGTTATTGGGCTATTGATTTGTACATCTAATTTTGAATGAATTTGATCTCTGAAGTGAGCCTAGTGCTAAATATTTGTATTGTGTCTCTCCAAATAACACTGTAGAACGTACACGCGTAAAAATCATCATGTTGATGCAAGTTGTTAAAAACAGACGTGAGCAATGTTCAATGTTGTGCTGTCCTGCAACAGTATTGTTAACAATGTTGTTGAAGCTTGTTGAATCATCAATGTTGCAAAATTCCCAGGGTGCAGCACAGCACTTTTCACCCCTGATGCGACAACAACCTGATCAATTTTTGGCTGTGTAACCGAACCTTTCTGAAAATGGTAATATAAGAACAGCTCCAATCCTTGTGACTTGTGGCCATTCCAACACTTCGGGTTAACTTATTTTCTTCACGTTTTCTGACTGCATCAAGTAGTTTGCATCAAATGCAACAGCTATTGTTCATACGTTTGTATGCAAATGATGAAAAAAAATGGCAGATTATATCGAACAGGAAACAACAATATGATGCAGGAATGAATCGTTGTATTTATTATAGTTAATAACCCTGGTAAACAAGCCAGGAAATAGGACTCAATGAATAAGTCTAGCACAGTGAATGTGTTGCACCACCCTCATCCCCTCTGGGTCGGCCGGTTGTTCAATCTACACTCAACGCTGATAATTCCGCAAACTGATATTTACAGATGTGAAGTTGGAGGCTGCAAGCCGGAGCTGATGACCCTACGCCCACATATACTCTAAAAAAATGTAAACAGTGTCAGGAGGAAGAGTAGCGCGTGGGTGGTCAGAATATGACGCGAGTATGACGAAGGAATTTGACGTTTTGTATTTCATATGAAGTAGTCACGATCAACCTCTACCAATCATGTGACATCAAAAAAATTTTCACGTTCAACGACCGTTTTTACGCGTTTTTAGTTCTAAATGAAGATGGCAAGATGCTGTTAGCTTGATAGCGGAGAGAGGGGATTTCTCGGAAAGGTCGTCGCTACTAGTACCCACCAGCTTTTGGTAAAATTGTCCTGATGACCCTACGCCCACATATGCTCTAAAAAAAATGTAAACAGTGTCAGAAGGAAGAGTAGCGCGTGGGTGCTCAGAAATATGACGCGAGTGTGACGAAGCAATTTGAAGTTTTGTATTTCATATGAAGTAGTCACGATCAACCTCTACCGGTGATGTGACAGCAAGAAAATTGTCACGTCCAACGACCGTTTTCACACGTTTTTAGTTCTAAATGAAGATGCTCATAGCTTGATAGCGGAGAGAGAGAGTAGATTTCTCGGGAAAGGTCAAAGCTACTAGAACCCACCAGCTTTTGGTAAAATTGTCCTGTGCTTCGCGCTTCACCTCAACCATTTGGTCCGGGTACCAATACCTCCGCCGAGGTGTGAGGTGAACACCTGCTGATAACATCATCGAAGCCTTGAAATGTAAATTAAAGCAAAACACATTTGAATATTTGTTTGTCAATGCCCCTAATTCACTACACACATTCCTCACAGATTTTTTTTTGCTATGAGAAACCAAATATAATCCGAGTGTGCGCACATTCCTATCGTTACCGCGATGCGTGCCGGCAATAAGCCCGAGCACTTTATATCGATCCTCTTAAAAAGGCATTACTAATGCTAACTTAAGTGCTCTATCTGTTTAAATATGCAAAAATGGTTCGGATGTGACCTCAACTATCAACGCGCTTCATTGACGTTTGTGTAGATGCCTCGCCAGCCTACGCTCCCTCGACACTCGTATTGTTGTTAACGTAATTTGGAACATTGAAATCCCACGGCAAGCTGTAACAAATGTGAGCTTCTGGCTGTTTAGCAATCACTTCAAGACGTGCTATTGTTGGTTTTGAACATTTCGTGCAAACGTTTTAGATAGCGATAATCCTCGTCCAATATTTTTTACTGCTTGCCGGCCAAATGGACGCCACACGATCTAACCGACGGGCTATTACTCTTCAATGTGGTGTGTTTCGCGAAACGACTATTTATGAAGATCAGGAACTCTCAGTTTTCCAGGAACTGGTGTATTTCTTCCTTGATAATAAGGTAATACTGTGTATACAGGTCGTACGTGTATCCACAATTAATATTCTGTTAGAGTGTTTATAAAATATAGGAACAATTAGGCCAAATATATGCTCACCGGGTATTTAACTTTATTCAAATAAAAGCAGTGAAATAGGACAGGTAGTTGAATGTTGCGGTGTTACATATTAAAACGTTGTTAATTACACAATCCTCAAGGTAACATGAGCTTTATGGAACTGCTTTCAACAATCATTTGGGAGAACAAGTTCCGTCGCTTTTGTCTTTAATTGCAACTGATTTAAAAAAGCAAGCGATTTTGTTTGAAATCAAGCGATAGTTATCGCCTGGTGCGCGTTGAGCCAAACAATCTCACAAACAAGCACAAATCTTCATTTATTACAGCGATGGAGGCATCCACACGCTACGTTTGTCCAGAATTGTAAAAAGGTTAAAAAATGACCCTGTCTAATATATCTCGGAATTTGTCATACACTCACTATTGAGCTCAACAGTAAATATTCGTATAAGGTATCTTAACATTCCATGTCAATTCACTAAGTTAGTACGTTTGCAAGCTACAGCCGGATGGTCCTTATATTTTAACACTGATGATTCTTCACAAATGAATGCCTTAGTTTATCACCTAACCCAGTCGGTTCGGTAGAAAACGGACGGTTTACTGAATCGTGTATGCTTGGCAAAATAGTTTGTTTGGCATATTCTATTCTAAGTAATCGATATTGTGTTACTAGTTAGTGCACTAGAATTCTAACAATGCTTAAGCTTTGAAAATTTGGTGCCTGTTGTTTTACGCAATAGTCCTTTTTTTAAAGATTTGAGCGTAAAGTGCGATAATCCATTACATGAATTTCGTTGTTACTATGCGATTAAGTAGAAGGCAAATCAAAGAAACTCCACGATAAAGAGAAAGGAAAAAAGAATGTGATGTCTTCCTATTTTCTAGAAGATTGACACTCAATAGTAACGTCTTCCTCCATCCTCAAGAAAGCGGTCTTTTTGCCGCACGCCTAGGCTCGTGTCGCTGTAAGTTTACAACTCCGTGATAATGCGTTTCGGTAGAAGAGATTGCTTTCGAAACTACTACAAGCTCTTCCATTCTTTAAAAATGTTTGGTCCGTTTTCATGCTTTAATGCGTTGTGCAGAGGAAACTGGCAAGCGACCAAACTATGATTTTTGTACAACACGAAAGGAAAAAATAAAACAAGCAGTCGTTACGGAGGAGAATTTCCCATTTCTTTTGTACTTAGATTATGTTCAGTTATGACATCCGGACCGGACTCGATGGAATCAAGTTCCTGTCGTTGTTTACTGCTTCCCGGCAGAAATGCTTTCCTCGATTGCCAGTTTGAACTACAATTAGCGCAAACCAAAGCGAATAGTGATGTCATTTATAGTTCGCTTCACGTTCGGTGCTGACTGCGGTAGTGCTGACTGCCAACAAGCAGAAATTGGAGTTTCAACGTCATTCAATAATTTTTCAATGTTCTGCCTAAAATAGCGACGGTCGAATATTATTACATTGTGTTCCTTGTCGTTCTAGATTTAAATCCTTAAAAACCAGGTGATGGCTTAGGACTAATAAAAATAACATATTCACGGATATCAAAAATAGATTGTGTAAAATAATGATATAAAAAGAGCGTGTAATTATAGACCACTTGAAATCGGAAACAACACGCCTCACAACAAAGGACGTAAATACTTTGTATACACACAAATATACGTCAGATTGTCGCACATGGAACACCTGAAAACTCAAAATTCGGTGACATCACATCCTAAATAAGAATTACAGCGTTTGCGAGCTAGTATTTTTAGCCATATAGATTTAGGTTATGAATAGGACTGTCTGGCACCATCCTTGACCTTGTACTGTACTGGGAAAAACACTGTAGATTTATTGAAAGACAGTATTGAAGAGTAGAAAAAAATGATATGAGTTGGGTAGGGAGCTAAAAAAGAAACAGGCAGATGCCTGAATCTTGCAGAAGTTCCCCCAATTTCCCAGGGCATGACATCAGGCCTTCAAGTTCCCCTTCACACCTCACTTTGATTCTCCCCCCCCCGTCTCGTTCCGGCACTTGACGATAATTTCACGTGACCGCATTCGGAACATGTTCGTGCAAGCTGTTTTTGTTATAAATTCTTATTTAAAAATATGGCAGATACTGAGTCGCTGACAGAAAGCTTGTGTTTTAGCTGCGGAATTTTCATTGAACAACATTAGAAATGAACGGCAGTGCAGCACGAAAGGAAATCGCCCTTCAATGCGGCATTGCAAGAGAAACACGGGTTTTTGAAGCGAAAGATTTGGCAACACTTACCGATCTTGCATGCGGCTTTGTGGATTTTAAGGTAAAAAAACTCTTTGGGCGAGTAGAATGTAGAGAAACATTCACAGTTTACACTTTTCTGTAGGGTTCAACTTCACTTAGTATCGCCGCATAGCAGTTTCCTTGCGTTCAAACCATTAGTTTGTACGCGGGTATTTATTTTCTAAATATTTTTGCTTGATTTTTACTTGATATTTTTGCTTTCACAAGTTGTCAAATTGTAGCAATTGTTATAAATGACTTTCACGGTTCCGGAGTAAAAAACTCGATGCTTTTAGGAAGTAATAAAGTTATTGCAACTAAGTCAGGGAAGTTAGGGATGTTTTCGTGGTTTTATTTGCAATTAAAGCATTAGGGCCGCTAGACCGCGCATGTTTAATTTGTTTATGCATTGTCAAAATATATCGACTTAGTCAAGTCGTGTTTATTTTGCGAAAAGCCAAAGGCTTTGTTCTCGTTGTACAAAAATGTCTTTATTGAAACTTAGGACTTTGTAACGCTCAGTTTGCAAGGCTTCTGTCGCGTTTTATACTGCCTGAGTTTATTTTGTGGTCGTTGCAAATCTTTACCGCGTAAAAAAAGTTTCAAATGAAGTTCTCCAAGCATAACGCTTCGGCGTGCGAGGCGTTATCTTTCTATTTTGCGTGTGAAGGGAATTGCAATTGCTTTGTTGTGGTTTTATATAGTCTATTCATTTTAATAGCAAAACTCATTAACTTGCTTTATTAATTATTAACAAGCAATTCGTGGACCTGTTTACAGCGAAAGAAGGAAAAAAGTGTGTGGTAACAAAAATAAAGATATGATATCTTAACAAAGGCTTGCACATACAATATTGTACAACACAGTTAGCTATTGTAGATGGCAGTTGTAGTCTATTATAGAATCTTTGTTGGAGAGCAGTCTTTGATATTGGGTGTGTCTTTGGCAGGTGCTAATTGAGAGCAAATTGCACATCCTGACTGCAAGACGCATTAAGATAAGATATCCTTTCTTAAATCAAGTAAACCTAGCTGTGTTTGTGTGATTCCAAAATGTCACAAGTGACTAATTTTCAATTTGGTAGCAGATTTATAAAATGCAAATTTAAAGTGCTTTCGGGAATGCAGTTGCTTAAGATTGATTGAATACTTAATATAAAATGTACAAGATGCATGAAGGGAATTTCAAATATTCAACATGAAAAACATTGATTAAATATTCATCATATTTGAAATCTACTATTATTCAGTTTCCAGATCACAGCTATGTTGCATTATCAGACAAGATTCTCTTGTACAAACATGATTACACCAAACCGAATAAATTGGAATTGTTAACCGATGTGGGACAACTTACAGATGGTGCCGTTGTTGAAATTGTTTTTAAAGGTATCCCTCTTTATTGTCCAGGGTATAGTACTTAACAGGCTCGTTGGATATTGTAGCACACTGATCAGCTGATATTTGGTATTGTTATTGAATATAAATATGGTGATTTATATTTTCTGTATAGCACAAGAACTCCACGATGAGACTGTGATCAGACCTCACATGCTTGTTGTTCATTCATATGGCTCACCAACATTCTGCGACTATTGTGGGGGGATGTTATTTGGTTTGGTACGACAAGGTTTAAAATGTGAAGGTACTTGCTGATGTGTTGCCTTTCAAGATGGATTATGGACTATGCAAGTTCCTGAAAATTTTGCCATTAAATGATTTTATTCTTATTTTCATTTGTACCAGGCTGTGGAGGGAATTTCCACAAAAAATGTGCCTACAAAATCCCAAACAATTGCTCAGACGTAAAAAGGCGTGGCTCATTGCAATCCTCATCTGGATTGGGCTCTCTTGGAAGCGATGCCTTTCCATCATATGATAAGAATGGTCGCAGAAACACATGGACTGGGGGGCGGCCTGTGTGGATTGACAGGGCTATCTTGGGACGTATTGATGTCCCTCATACATTTGTTGCTCGGACTTACAAGAAGCCGACTGTATGCCAGATATGCAAGAAATTGGTATGTGGATATCATCTTAAATAATTTCGAGACATGACCACACAATACTCCCCAATATTCTTATAAAAACCACAACTAATCTGCAAATAATATCCCCTAGTAAATTTATACCCCTGCACTCCAATATCCCCTATTATCCCCTAGTAAATTTATACCCTTGCACTCAATTCCCAAGGGAATCTCTGCTGTCTTTCTCTCTCGACCATTTGCTAAGAGCATTAATATTTATCTTTTTCTTTTACAGCTGAAATTCTTTGTACAAAATGTGCAATGTAAAGGTGAGATTAATACACGCTTCAGTTATTGCATTTAAGTATATTAATTGTGCAAAAAGTGCATGTAAATTATTGCAACTACCTGTCTACCCACATGATAAACGTGACTATATTTTTAGATTGCAAATTTACGGCTCACAAGAAATGTGCTAATGAAGCTCCCAAGAACTGTCTTGGTGACACTGGTTAGTAAATATCACTTAATCTAATTCCTTGCATCCCACTCATGCTCAATAGAATGCTTTGTTATTAACTTTTTTTTCTCTTAGCAGCATATGATGATCCCTCACTGTATCAAAATCCAGATCCAAGTGAAATACAAGAAGAAAGCGATGATTCGGGAACAGAAAGTAACAAACCAGAAAGTGAGCCTGTCACTCCAACCTCCCCAGGTAAATCTCCAAATCTTCAGTCTTCATTAAACAGTTGAAAAGTTGTGTGAACAGTTGCCATGGTCCTAAGATTGTCTAATTGGCAATTTTACTCATGAACTAGAGTTCTTTGAGTCATTAGTTTAATGAAATATTTTCTTCTTTAGTTGAGCCCCAACCACCAAAACTTGAAGCAACTGAGAGTTCAAATATCCCACTACAAAGAATTGTTGTCTCAGTTAAACACACAAAGAAGCGATCTTCGAAGGTCTTAAAACAAGGATGGATGGTACACTTCACAGACAAAGAAAATAATGTAAGTTTATATTTCATTTATTCCACATGACTGAAGATGGTTCGATTTTACACAACTCTTCAGCAGTATATGCCATGAGTTACTGAATCTATATAGTCTACAATACATCAAAAGTTTTGAGGTAAACTTTTCAGTAGAGACACAAAAAATCCACGTTATATTTTATCTTCCTTTTTTTTTACAGAGACGAAAACATTATTGGAGATTAGATACTAAATGCATTACATTGTTTCAAACGTCTACTGGCAAAAACTATTATAAGGTAAATACTTGACACAATGCACACGAACACACACGTGGCGTCAGACAGAGTGAAAGAGAGGGAGTTGGTGTTTACTCACAATTATTCCATGAGGGTGTATGTTGCCATCTGCCCTTCCTGCCTCCCTCGGTCACTTTTTCCTTAGGTACTCTTTTCTTGGGAAAAGTAAGTTGTAAACATAGGATACTATGTGTGCATAACGTAATTTAACCGCTGTTGTGGCAAAAAAAATCCTAAAAATCTTCGATTTGTGCCCGAATAAGAAAGATTTGGGAAGAACTTCTACCAAACACAATCTCACTACGTATAACTGTGTCTTGAAGTTGAAGGATTTGAAAGCGCTCAGTCTTGCGCTCAGAGGAACAAAGGAGTCCATGCTAAAAGTACTTCTTGGCCAAAAACGTCCCCCAATCATATTTTGTTTACCAAACGCTTGTTTACAACCTTAACGATTGAAATAATGGGATTAAGACGATTCTTAAAGAGAATTGATAAAGAGAATGCTCAATCCATGAATTTTGAGGGTGGCCAAACAGGTAGCGAGCGAGACTTTTGTTAGTATAGAGATTCACCAGCAAGTTGCCGTTTAGTTCTTGCCAATATTTGTGTAGTTTTGGCAGTCACCGAGTTGTTTATTTCACAGCGGCTGCATTTATGTGCCATTTTTAGCCGTTTTTTGGCGAGGGTTTTGTTTTCAAGAAATGATTTGGAATTTAGTTAAAAAAACGTATTCATTTTAAACCGAGCACTGATATGAATGAATGAATTGAATGGTCCTGAAACAAAGGAGTTTCTCGCCAGTCTGCCATCATCGCCTGATGCTTTAAATTCATTAAGACTTGATTTCTCGTACAAGTGAAGACGAATTGGGTAAGAGTTCGTTGTAATAGATTTTTTAAGATTTCAAGTGTTTGTGAGAATGCCATGGGGAGTTGATTGTTGGAGTTATCCCCCTCACTACGGTGCATGGTATTTAGAATGGACCAAGCCGTGATCCATTCATCGTGACTTCGATAGCAGAGTTTTTCTTTCCTTAGTTCGGTTACAGATATTACAAGTACTATGGCAAAGAAAATAATGCCTTAGCTAAATTGTTAAGGCAGTTTTTGACATTTACACAATATTGAAAAGCCGCAATATTTCGTTCGGATTTGCAACGAGAGGAGAAGCCAAAGTATTCACGAGTTGTTAAGTCCGTATCATGATTATCATCATACTAAAATGTCTTTGTAATCCGAAATTTTTTATACATTGTAAAGTTCATAATACCAGTGTGTCACGATGTATTGGATGGCTTTCAAAATCGGTTATTCAAGATTGAAGTTTGGTTAAAACTGTGTAAAGATACAGCCCAGTTTCGCTTTAATTTTGACTGGTGAAAGGCTTATCGCAGCCCGAAACACAACCATTTCGTCATATCTCAACCGTGTGAAACATTATAAATACTGCCCGAGATATTCCAGAAATCTGTCAATGTGTTTGAGTCAACCTCAGAAGATGAGAAACGTTTGGACCTAACTAACCCCCCCCCCCTCCCTATAGGCTCTTTCACGCCACAACAACGAAACATACGAAACTATTCTTCAACATCTCAGGCTTTCAGCCCCCACCCCACCCCAGCTTGAGGCTCGAATATGTCGTCCCAAAGTCTGAATCTGATCGTAATTTTTTGTATTCTAGGTTATTCAACTATCAGAAATTCTGTCTGTGGATGCAAATATCGATCCTCTGGCGACGGACGCAACAAGAGGACCTCATTGCTTTGAGATGAAAACTAGGACACTCACGTACTACGTTGGTCAGGCAGATAACTTAGAGGCGTCGGATCCCGTCGATAGGGATGCTGGGATCGGCACGAGGCTGGGTTTGGCCTGGGGCGAGGCTATCAAATCCGCTCTGAATCCTGGCTGCGTTACTCCGCAAGCCAGTGCAATCGCAGGCCAAAAACCAGCAGGTGAGACCGCGATCATGTGAAGTGATGCCATCTTCATGTCTGGTGACTGGTGTGATATGATGTTCTGATAAGATGTGATATGATATGATAAAGATACATGATGTTTCACTGGAAATATTGTAGGGCTATAACAAAGGAACATTTTTCTTGCAGAGAAAAGTGAAGAAAAACAGAACAACATTGACGAGAAGAAGCCAGAACCAAAGCCGAAACAAGTAAGTTTGATTGAGATACTTTTGACTTTTCTCGAGCCGGAGAAATACGTCCTGTTCCCCTGGATTTCTTACGATTAGATTAGAACTTAAGATTTTTTTTACGTATTCCAAGTGGTACTCTGACAGCTATTTTATGGAAAAACTGCTTTTCTATTTCAGGACTTGTCTCAACTTTACCAAGTATTTCCCGACGAAATTCTGGGTTCCGGGCAATTTGGGATCGTTTACGGCGGTAAGAAGTACTTGATTCTGTGAGTATAATAATTTCATGTTCTTATCTCAAGGATTAAATTCATGTATTTAGGATATACTGAACATGAAATTGTTATCATCTTGTGTTAGTGGAATCAGAAGAGATTTACTGTTTAACACCATAACACCATCATAATCATCCTATCTGGTGTACCATAATCATCCTATCTCAATATAGCTCTTGGGTTGGCCTAAATACGGCCATGTTATCAGAAACTCTTGGAATGGCAAAGCCAGTCGCTAGGACAGAAAAGCTTTAGAAAAGCTTTCGTCAAAAGCTTTAGTGTCATAATAGTATTAAAAATTGCTGCATGTAATCCTCATCATTTTATTCCGCACCAGGCGTTCATCGTGAAACAAGCAATGAAGTTGCCGTCAAAATTGTCGACAAGTTAAGATTCCCGACGAAACAGGCAACCCAACTAAAGAACGAGGTGTCCATTCTGCAGGTAATGCCCATCTTGCGAGGCAGGCGCTTGCGGGTTGAGCAGCCCCTTTCAGAAGTTAAACAATTGCAATTTGTTTTCTTCACGACAGGAATTACATCATCAAGGAGTGGTTAACTTGTATCACTTTTTCGAAACACCTGAAAAGGTAAGACTCGTATCTGATTATTATTCTTTTGAACTTTTTCACTAATCGAGTGTATCTTTGACGTGTAGATCTTTGTGGTGATGGAGAAATTAAAAGGTGATATGTTGGAGTTGATTTTATCCAGCACGAAGGGAAGATTGACAGAAAGATGTACAAAATTCTTAATATTCCAGGTTTGTCTGAAATCGAGGTTATCGAGGACCCGCCATTAGGGCTTCCTGATGTATTCGGCTTTGGCACAACCTGGCGAGCTAACTAAGACTTATTTTCTTGCAGATTTTAATAGCTTTAAAGCATTTGCATTCGAGAAACATCGTCCATTGCGATTTGAAACCAGAGAATGTTCTCTTATCACAGAATTGTTCTGATTGCGGGTTTCCGCAGGTGAGTGTCTTTGACCAAGATGAACGTAATTGTGTGATGTGGTTTCTTGTGTTGCGCGTGTTGCGTGCGTGTGTTGCGCGTGTTGCGTGCGTGTGTTGCGCGTGTTGCGTGTATGTTAAAAGAAATTGTCCTTGCATGTGTTTCTCTTCATATTCTTGTTTGGGAATGGTTGTGTGTTGTTATTTTGTTTCTGTGTGTGAATGTGTGTATATATTTCACTATCTATTTGTTGCTGTTGAAATACTCTTCTCATACCAAATTTCAGATTAAACTATGCGACTTCGGCTTCGCCCGTATCATTGGCGAGAAATCATTTCGTCGCTCGGTCGTCGGAACACCCGCTTATCTCGCGCCTGAAGTGTTACGTAACAGAGGATATAATAGATCCATTGATATGTGGTCCGTTGGAGTCATTATTTATGTTAGGTAAGACAACCTTTCATTAACGCGGAGCTTTTGATAGATGTGAACGAGTAATTAGTTACGAATGCTCTGATGTATAAAAGCTTTTATTTAAACATCAGTAACTAAATTACTCGTTCACATCAATCAAAAGAAGAAAATGAAATTGAAGCATTCTGCAGTAAATGTGGTAGAATCCTTAGGGATTTAAACACGAAATGATGCCGCTCATACAATTCTTTTCTGTTCCTTAGTCTTAGTGGAACATTTCCATTCAACGAGGAAGAAGAAATCGCCGATCAAATTAAGAATGCTGCGTTCATGTATCCGTCAGATCCGTGGCAAGAAGTTTCCAAAGAAGGCATCGATCTCATCAATAGACTTCTTCAAGTTGACAAGCGGTACCGACTGTCGTGTGACAAATCACTTGGTCATCATTGGTTGCAGGTATGGCAATATTTTTACATTAGTTATGGCTCTTGGTATGCGGTTAGCGCACTCTCTTTGAAAGAGTAACAGGGCGTCCCTCCCCTCCCTCCCTACCCCGCCCTACCCCTCTCTACCCCGGGGTTCATGATCTGGAAACTCCAACTAATTCTCCGACTTCACTCCCCACCAGGAGTACCAAACATGGCTCGATTTACGAAGTCTTGAAGGGATCGTCGGTGAACGATATCTTACACACGAGAGTGATGATGAACGTATGGAGGCACATCGCTTACGACTTGAAACTCCTCGAGCAAACAATCATTACCAAAACTCTATGACTGGAGCCCAGTCTCCAAAGGGAAAACTCCAAACGGCCATGAGCTATGTATAACTCAAGGAGACCCCATTTCAAAATTGAGCAATCGAACTTTTGGCCTCAACAAGGCCGAAGCAGGGGGTTTCTTGCTCATAAATCACCTCTTATAAACCTCATTGCTAATGATCAGTTTTATCATAGTTTTACCTCAAAATCCAGCAGCGCAAATACTTATCTAAGAAATCTCAAATTCTCATATTTTAGCACTAGAAACGCTTAATGTATGGTTATGGGTATGCGTCTTCACTGAATTAAGGGCAAGGAGATGGTATGATGTTCAGTGAAGGCATTTGCAGTTCAAAGCATATTGCAAAAATCTTTCCTTTTGTAAAAAGGAATGGTGCAGTGGATACATTATGCGTTTCTAGTAACGATCAATCGTTAAGACTTGTACATTTTCAAGATTTCAAGATGTTGCTATTTTTCCTGTCTTCTACCATCCTAATTAGTAGGGTATGCTCAACCCCCACCCAATTTTAATAGTTGTCTTGATCCTAAATCTATCTTGGGCAATAAATCTTGTATTATCAAATATATATCAAAGCAAGGATTTACAAGAAAAAAGCAATCCTGTCTAGGTTATATTGCATTTGAAAGGATTATTAAGACAGAACATATTTTAAGATGCATAATATTACAGAATAAAGGCCATTTTTTATTGTATCATAATTATTACCCTGCACAGAATGTAAATTTTACACAATTTCATAAATATTCCTAGTTCATTGTGTTTGATTGTGTTTGCTATTTTTTAAATTAGTTGTGGTCTGATGGGTTAGGTTTGCAGAGAAAACACTAAAGCAATAGTTTAAAATGAAATAATTTTATATATTAGCAAAAAATTAGTCAATTTAATCTAAAAGTTTGGATTGTACAAATTTGATCAAAGCTATATATCACTACCTATATGACTACATAATTTATATATTACTGATATCTAATTTGCATTCAGCATATTCAAGCATCCATTATATGAATTCTAAGTGCTCATCTTCAGCAATTCCAAATTTTGTTTTATTTGCTTCAAAGATATCTGTCAGCCCTTCAAGATAGAGCTTGTGGAGGTTATCTACATCCTCAATACCAGGCTCTTTATTTGCATCAATGTGGATTGGTTTTCCAACTAAACATGAAAGGATTTGTGTTAAATTGTTGTGATGGCTACATTTGTCTTGAGCTTAGTTGGCATGTATATGTTAACTACCCTTTCCCTCATTTGACAGGATTATTTTACTCACCAATGGTATGCACAGGTTTTCGGAAAGGAACAAAACCAAAGGTATATTGAAATATGCCCCGACCATAGAAAAGTGGTGGAGAAAATGTAGCAATCTCCTTGACTTTGTTTTGGATCTTCCTAAGGGGGGAGCCTTCAGGATTTGGATATTGCTTGAAGAGGTTGTTTTCACCAAATGAAAATACTGGAACAAGTGAGGCTCTGAAAACGAGTGAAAACAAAGTTGACACTTGGCAGGTATATAGGTCACAGGTTAGGGAGATAGCCTAATGAATCTATTAATAATTAATATGAACCTAAATGACACCTGTACTTCTTTGCTTGAAGGCTCTTAACGCAACACTCACCCTGATTTTAAAGCAAGTTTAACAAAACCTTTCCTTTTTTAGTACCAATTTAAAATTTCCTGGCCGAGCTTCCAGTGCCTCGGCTGCCCCTCCAACCACTACAACACATGAATGCCCTGGACCCATTTTGGTCAAAATATGATTTTATGCTTTCTTTAGACGCTGGGCAAATGCCCATAAACATCAGCAATTCTCGGAATAATGGGATCTTAAATTGAATGTTAAGCGTGATAAGATGAGCAATAACTCCTGGGGAAAAGCTTGGAAAATCCCGTCGCTTCAGTAGCGAAGTTTCCCGACGCTCCAAAACCCATCACACCGTGCGGATGACAGCCAAATAAATAGTTCTTGGATGGATCCAATTCGTGAGTTTTTACTAGATTCAAAGGAAAGAACTCCACGTAATGTTTCCATATGTTCAAAGTTCGTGTAAACGGGAAAAATCTCCCGCCTTTCTGTGGCGTCTCTTTGTCGACGATGAAAGCCCAGCCGAGGTAAAGTAGAACAAAAATACGAGTGAAAAGATTAAAGTACAACATCAGCAGACATAATAAAATACAAAAGAACATGACCAAACATAAATAAACGTCGCAACCAGCCACACTATAAACGTCTGACGGCGTCTTTGAACGGGAGTCTTTAAAGGTGCCATTCGATACCAAAAGCCTTGGTCATGATGGAATTAAAAAGCCGAATTTCGGACTTCTTTTACCAATATTTCAGGTAAGACAATCACGCCAACGCAATGTTCTTTTGTTGACAATATATTGCGAAATTTATTCATATATTCGTGAGGGCTTGCACGCTCACTAGGAAAACAAAGAAATTTAAATGCCAGCCTATTTTCGTGTCGTAAATATCTTTTGATATTTTGAACTTTTTCTAAATTTTATTTTTTGTTTTTCTTTATGCTTATTTATGACGTCACCTCGTCGCTATGTAGCAAGATGTTTCTAATCAATTGTTCTAATCAATTGTTCTAATTGCTAATTTTCTAGAATTTATTCCAGGAAAAGTTGTGGATAGATGGTTGTGAAAATAGGGATTTATTGGAAAGGTATGAATGGGTACAGTAGGGGTAGTACGTACTACCAGTAAGCAGTATAGGTTATATTATAATATGCTATGAAACTGCTCAAATTCATTATTGCACATTAAAACTGCATTCTTTTCATATGAAAGATTTTGCTCAGCATAATTGTGAACAGTCTATTGTGTAATCATATTTTCCTACATGATACTTCCACAATTAATAGAATTTTATGGAAGTAATAGTTCATTGATTAATAGCATGGAAAACTGGGATCAATATGTTTGGTCCATTGCTCTAATCCACCAGCCATATCCTTTATTGAAACATCAAAGTCCTGGAGAATTTTTTTCAAAATTAAACTGCTCGCTGTGAGTCATTGCCCTGATGACAAACAGCAATAACTAATGAAAAGAAAATTGTTAGAACAAGTTAGCAATAACATAATTAATGTTTTGATATAACCATGCAATATAACCAGAAGATAAACCTGGTAGAGATGTTTCATGTTCACTATATAATTCTAGCCAACGTTGTGCTTATTTCTTCTTTAATTTTCACCAGGTTCTTGTTGTTCTCTATATCTCTGATTGGAAATGGTCTGTTTTTGGATATTTGTTTAAGAAGAAACTGAAATGTGACACTAAGTAATTGGTGAAGTATGAATATTATTTATTGGACAAATATAAGGATACTTAGAAAGTTGTCAGAAGTTTGCAAACAACATATCTCCAACTCAACCCTTGGACGGACATCAACCAATATGTGTGATATATTTTCATCTACCAATTTCTTGTATTCCTTAATGTGAATATGTTTACCAGAAAAGGAAAATATGTTTTTGACACAAGTTATTTTGACTGATTGACATGCATTTTTATATATTTTGAGTACATTACCTGGGCTGAGATCCTACTGATACTTTGCAGGATATCAATATTTCTAGTCTAGAATGATTTGAAAAGCAGTGTGCTGAATAATGTTGGTCTTAAATAAGAATCTTTGACTGGCAATTTTTAGAGGTTGTCTATAAAAACCAATCAACCAAAATTAAATCCATCATTACTTTATCAGAAGCTGCTGTGCCACAAAACTGTTCATAATCTTGCAACATGGTTATTGTTGGCTCATCTCCACAAACAGCACAGTTGTTTTGCCTGCTGCGGAGTCTAATGGTTGTAAATCTACCGTCCAGTGCATCAAATAACAACATTTTCTTATTAAAGGACACTACAAATGTTGTTAAGGAGTGTTTTTGCTGCCTAATTCAAAGATGATCTCAAGATGAAGAATAAAAAGTTGGGACATATTGCAAGGATACCAGGAAGGCCAACTGCAATCTTTATAACTTCTAGAGCTTGTAAGTTGCCAATTATACCTGGAACTAAAGTGCCAATTTACAATCGACATGACTATGTTAATAGTATGATTGATTGATATTAGACTATATAAGGATAAGGATATCAAACAAGGGACTCTCTTTGAATTCAGAAACAAGGCTGACTTACCAACTCCTAGTACACCAGAGTCTGAACAATTCCCTACTGTCTCAGGAGGTGGAGGGATGGGGTAGAGACATCTATAACAGGGTCCATTCTCATAACCAAATGTAGTCAATTGTCCATCAAAGCGAAGTGCACTTCCTGAGACTAACGGTCTTCTCGTTAGTATACATGCATCGTTTAACAAATACCTGGTTGGAACATTATCTGTTGCATCAACTATGATGTCATAGTTTGAGATTATGTCCAGGGCATTAGCACTGTTGAGATGCAATTTATATGTAATTATTTGCACTGAAGAATTCAATTTAGACAATGTCGCTTTTGCTGAATCAACCTTACTCCAGTTAACTTTCAGTTCAGAATGTAAAACCTGTCGATGCAGGTTGTTTAGTTCAACATCGTCGTAGTCAACCAATCCAATGCATCCGACACCAGCCGCTGTTAGGTATATGGCCACAGGACACCCTAATCCTCCAGCTCCAACAATCAACACTGAGGAGTTATTTAGTTTTAATTGTCCTCTTACACCAATCTCTGGCAATATAAGCTGCCTGCTGTATCTCATTATATCTGGGTTGGTTAGTTTTGATTTTGCACCTCTGAATCCTGTAATGTTTTTCACATTACTTGTTGCACCATTTTCCAGTTCTTCCCATGGTATTCCCTATATTGAAAGGACAGGGAAATGTTCATTTAATAGCAAGCAAATAAACTAGAAGAATTGCTCTAAAATCCTAACTTTCTATTCTAACTCCTCTCTAATGTCTTATTTCATGTAATATGCTATGTGTACATATAACAAATTGCAAAATGTATTCCAACAGGAATTGTCCGTCGCACCTTTTCACTTAGAAATTCTTTGATTTGATTAAGCTCCGAAGTCGTTCGTTCAAGTTTTTCAAGTAATTCTTCCACATTTTCTTCTTTTTATCCTCCATTCTAAAGAAACGCCATTTCAAAACTACACCAAGTTTTTCAAACGAAAAAAAATGAAAATTTTAAACCTTATCGAAAGTACAACATGAAGTATCCAACGCTAATCCAAATCGAATTTATTTTGGGTGACAAATAATACAGAAGAATTCTATTAAATTGTTGTTTTTGGATGATTATCTTCAGAATGGGATGAAAAAACACGTTTGAGTTTCCTGCTTCATATATATATGATGTATTCTCGTCCAGGTAGAGGTGAAAACGAAGAGGATTTGTTGAAAATACAAAAGGAGTTTTTGTCTCGAGGAAGGAATCCAGCTGCTGGTGTTGGACACTCGACTGGTAGCAGATCAGCAGAATTATCAGAGCTGAGAGAGGAAGACGACAGTACATGTGAAAAAAGACCACATGAACGCGATGTTGTACAGCTGCAAGGTACATTTTTGGTTGTTTCAGATCTTGGTGACATTTATCCTTGGATCTTGTAAAAGTGAATGATCTAGCTATTCAAGTCAAAGTGGGCAGTTCCATAGCTGCATGATTTTGTTAATTCTCAAACTGCTTCCCATGTATGAGCTTACTGAGGTATAAGAAATGGACTTTCAATTAGATTTAAGATTATTATCCAGTTGCTCATTATTAAGAAACAGCAAACTTTTACCTTTGTCATCCCCAGAAAATCAATCATCCCAACCCGTAAAACATTAACCCATCAGTCCTTATTCTCTCCTAGGAAGCCTTCTTGACTCCATCAAGAGCTGCTTTGAGTTTCTCTTCAGCTTTCTCTAACTTTGCAAACATTCTTAACTGTGTAGGCACAGAAAATGTTGAAGTGTTTCCAAACATTCCCAGGAAGAAATCCAAGTTTAAAGATAGACATGCCACGCTGCAATCCAAAGTTAGTTATGCTCATTGTGATCTGATTTGTAAATGAAATCCTTAGTAATAAAATGTTCTATATACTTGTTATATAACCCAACAGCAAAATGACAGATCTAGGGATACTAATCTTGATGGGGCAGATCTCTTAGAAAGTAAGTATATTAAAATGTACATAGACTATAGAATGTACAATTGAATATTACAAATACACTGTTTATTTTTATATTTCTGACTTTTAGGTCATGACAAGCATGTTACAGTTTTGCTTTCTAAAGTCATGGTAAGAGGAAATATTCTGTGGTAATCAATAAGAGATGCTAATTTTGCAATGAGTAGTTTGATGTTATACGTTTATAGAATCCAGTTTAAGAAAGTGGTTTTTTAAGATTCAATTGTCTGTTTCTTTTCTATAGGAAAGAGAAACTGAATCCTGTCCTATTGTGATGCCAAGCATCACCCCAAAGGGTTCCCAACAGTTCTACACAGAGATACAGTAGAATTGTCTACCATGGAGGAACAGGTGGGAATTGTTTAGGAATAACTTTTTACAATTTCATAATTTTTTTCTTGTAAGATATTAAATACCATCATGCACAATTGGTAATTAAATTTCTATAGAGTGGTTCCAGGAAGAGTTTGTTTGCAAAACAGTTTGCAAAATCTGAAGAAAAAGACTTTGGTATATTACCAAGAATGCGACCTATTATCAGGGGCGAAGATGGTGATATTGATGAAGATATGATAGATGATGGTAATTCATACAAACAGTTTTTGTCCCATGTGTTTTCTCCTCAACTATTCCTTTTAAATTAATCTTGAAAACAAACAATTTTGTCACAGATTCACTCTCCTTTTGTCCAACGCTCATCACTGGTGAAGGACTTAATGATGGCGATGCAAACCAGTCAGCTGCAGCTATGGCTGAAATACACAAAATACATGCAGAGAATGTTGAGAAACTCTCATCTATGTCCGAAAAAGAGATTTTGGAAGAACAAGCTAAACTTCAACAAATGCTTGGTAAGACATTCAAGGAGTGATGAATTTGTAGTTGTTTTTTATATACCCTTGTACTCGCCAAGTTGTGTTGAGTTTTATTTTTTAAATGAGGCTAATCATCATTATATTCTAGATCCATCTATTCTCAAATTTCTCCAAGAGAGGCGGAAACAACAACAATCTACAAGCACCACGAAAGATAACTCCCTTCTCGGGGAAGATGATGAGGGTATAGATACTATGAATCTTGTTGATGATGGAACAGCAGGTGAAAGCCAGGAGAAGTCTAAGGTTGAGAAAGATGTCGAAGGTCTGGTTGGTATGGCAAATGATATTCTGGGAACCAACATTTCTGAGAAGTGGCTGCATATGGATCAAGTTGAACCAGAAAAGTTGGAATGGATGAAAGATCTGCCAAATGTAAAGAAGTCTGGGGTAGGTTCAGGACCACAAAGTTTCACATCTGTCCAGTGCAATCTTTCCCATAATCTAGAGTGTATTAGGTTAGATAATCAGTTCTTATATATTCCACTTAATTCTTGAATCTTTTATCTTTTCATTTATTTGCAGACAAGTGAACAAGCCAGATTTGACTTTAACGGAAACGTTTTGATTGGTGCTGAAGATATTCCAGAATATGTGGGATTGCATCACCATGGCGATGAACCAGAAAGAGCTGGGTATACGTTGGAGGAATTGTTTTTACTCTCAAGAAGTAACTTTTTGCAACAACGTGTGTTGGCCATCAATACTCTAGCGAGAATCATCAAGAAGGTTCGCCGAAAAAATTGAGTTGATTAAACTGCGTTTACATGAGATGGATAATCTGCCTGCCATAGAAAAGAAAATATAAGTGGTGATGGTTGTAGCTAGTATAAAGTTTTTCAACATCATCAAACATTGTTCCATCATTATAACTTGTTTATCTGGCAAATTCATCTTGCAATAAATCCATGAACTCTTCAACGAGTGAACTTCTCAAGCAGACACACCTGGTTGCGTTATGATAGTTCTATTAATCATGACGGAAAATCCATCACTACTAATACTACACACCAATACTACTACAAAACCTGCTAACAATTTTATCATGCATAAATGGTAACCTCAATTCTTCTTCTTCTTCTTCATGTTAAAGGATCGTTGTGGAACGTATCGTGGTCATTTAGATCAGGATTTGCTACCGTTGTTGCTTCAAGCTGGTCTGCCGTTTCTTCTTCGTTGGTCCTTGGATGATAGCACGGACTCTCAGATTGCTGCTTCCGTCAGTTGCTTTAACGCAATGCTTGTTAGCAAACAAGATGAGGTAACAAGGAATATACAAAAAATGTTCATGGAAATTTGGCACCGCGAGAATGGCAAATGCCACATCGTTTCGTTGTGTTTCATAATAAATAATAAAAAGGGAATCTTAGTTAGTTTTTCTGCATTATTTAGACCGTGGCAGATCTATTGTGCTTTGGTTGGTACCGGGGGAAAGAGTTGCCATGTTTGTGTCCACAGGAGATGAAGGATTCTGAAGGAGGCTCGAACAATCTTCCGGATGTTGATGTTGTCAAACACGACTTGATAAAAGTACGAAGAGATATTTTACCCCCGTCAAACATTCAACTAACAAACTGCGAGAAGTGTCTGTGATCTGCATTTGACAACATGAATGTAGTTTGGTAGAATTTAAGACCTTGCCGCTAATCCTATATAGCTAATCTAAGACTATCTAATGTCTCTGAAACCAATCTGTTGTTTTTTTAACTACATTAATGTTTTCTTTTCCAATTTTTCCTGAATTTGATTTCATTTTGCATATTTTCCAGGGTTTGTTGCAGATGCGATTTCTTCCAAGGCTGCGTTATATCCTGGAGGTGTGTCATCCTGCGTCCCCAGTTGTTCTAGATATCCTCGAGATCCTCACCAGGATTTCTCGACACTCGACCGAAGCTGCTCACTGCGTCGCAAAATGCCCTCGACTACTAGAGACAATACTAGTCCAGTTTGTGCCAAGCTCGTGGAAGGCTAGAGAGAGATCAGTTGCTACGACTGATCTCTATGGCCATCCTTTGGCTGAAGCTTTGAAAGTATTCAGAGTTTTATGTTGTGCTGGAAAACATCTTGCAGATACACTGGTAAGTGTAATGACATGTTTCCTATCTCATTATAACCTGAACAGCTGAGGCATAAAGGCCCTGTTACACGGTACAATTTTTCCTGCAACTTGCAATGCAACTCTTCTTTTGAGAGATGTAAATTTGGGAACCACCAAACTTTTGTCTTTATTACACTCCATGGCGTTTCTTACACTTACATTTTGAAGACTCTTCACTAATTTATATCTCTTAAAAGTAGCATTGCATTGCAAGTTGCAAGAAAAATTGCACCGGGAAACATGGCCTTAAGCTATGATCTACTATGGGCATAAAGGGTGGATATAATGTTCATGTTCTCACTGACCCAAATGTAACGCTAAATATCGCTCTTTTTAGATTACCAAGTACGGTTTGATAACCAAAATTTTACGATTTATAACAGTACCAGCTGAACAAATGATGTTAGACACAACGGAAGCGCTTCAACTAGCTGCAGAGAGTTTAACTATTTGGAGTATTTGTATATCATATGGTTTGTCCTGTGAGAATTTGAGGTAACTTTAATACGGGTTTTTTCAACGTTTTTCTTGCGTTTTTCCAGCCTGGAATAAGTGCTTCTTCTAAAATATCTATCAATGTTTAGTTTTCAGTCAGTTTTTTCTCGTATCTAGCAACGTTTACCCGCATATTCTAACTCAAGTCCAAGGATTGGCCTCGTTACCAGTCTACGATCAACCTCAAGCGAGCACCTCCTGTGCTTGTGCTCTGGTGGATCTTGTTGAAGCCGTGACGCATGTCGCTGGAAACAAGGCCGAACTGCGGGCGCAGTTGACGACTCGGTTCAGTGCAAAAGATAACCATCCCGGTTGCATGGACGCAAGTCATCTCCCCCCGTCCCCTATTGATTGGAGTCATGTGACTGGATTGCTACCTCTGATTGGACACTGCGTTCGACTTTTCAAAGACCAGTTCGTGTCTATTGAGGAGAGGATTGCTAAGGTATCTTTTGATCATTGCTTAAATGATCAAATATTAGAATTAACAACCACAGCACTTCCTGCAAGAGCAAAAGGCAAGCAATATTCCCCGCCTCAGCGCTCTCCTATAGCCCCATGGTTAACCATGCGACCTCAACACGATGTATTTTGCTTTATAGGAAGAATCATTCCTTTTGATGTCGCGAATTTTCAATCTTTTAGCATCGTTTTATGAAAAACTTTCGACCCAGGTACATAAAGCTGCTTTTGCTTTCTGCGTTTTTTCATTTTGAGGTTTTTTTTCAATAGGATTCTTCTTATTTTTCATTTCAGCCGTTTTATTCGCCAGTGGAATGTTTGGAAGAGATCGAAAGCTTTCTAATGAACGAAATTTGTGTCCCCATTCTAGAGTCTAAAACGTTGTCGATTTTGCTGGTTAGAATGAGGTGAGACGCGAAAGGATTTTACTGAGCAAAGATGAGTGGAATAAAGTTGAGAAGTTCTGTCAAGATGTTTTTCATTTGATTGTTTTTTGACCGCGGCAATATTCGGTTATATTTTTGCTTCAGAGTGTTTTAATTTTCTATCTTCTATTGCAACACAGAGTAATAGGAAAATAAGGAAATTTCCTTTGCAGGATCTTAAGATTATGTATCACTTCTTTCAGAGATTACACTTCGTATTTCACGAGGGAAACATCAGCCGCTGATCCGTCACGTATTCCCAATCTTCCTGATTACGGTCGCTGTGCAGGACAGAGTAGTTGCTCAAACCAACCAGATATTCCACGTTGTCTTCACAGAGGAACGCCATTTCCTTTTTTGCTCTCCTTCGCCAGGCTAGCCATGGTCATTACGTCATGTCATAAAGGTCTTGCGAATAAGGTCAGTCGCAAAGGAGTCGGTGGATCGCGGGCTCTGGGCATGCTCCTGCTATTCAATTTTTCTCAATGCTCCTTGATTGGTTATTTTGTAAAAAATTCGTCATTTTTCAATTCTAGTTTTTACCGTTCGTAACGTGTGATACTATCGTCGAATATTTAAAATTAAACTCGACTCCTGGACAAAATGTAAGTGTAGAAAGGTAGTGAATTCAAATATTCTGCCTTGTATAATGCGTCCAGAAATAGTAAGCATTTTCAATCATCACCTTTTCTGTATTTTGTAGAATGGGGAGACTGGGTGTTATTTTATTAAGGTCGAACAGCATTTCCAGTATTTTCTTATCAAACTGTTTTACAATATCGTAAGTATTTCAAGGTTCTCTGCCTGTCTGTCAGGCCTTTCTGTGCAAGAGTATATTTCTGTCCTTCCAACTATCGTTATGTTTCAAGCGCCTGCGAATATGTCAATCTTTATTCTACTTTAGCTTCTTCAAAGTGACATCATGGATGGTGAGCTAACAGCATTGTATCACACGACAAGTTTGCTTCTCTTTTCGCGGCTGTTTCCTGGGGATGAATTTTATGCTCACGATCTTATGTCTCTTGTCCTATTCAACGCTGCTCTCTTTCAGTAAGTTTCTCTGACGCGTCCTGGAATCTCCAGGTTTTGGAGGATCAGAACGACGGTTCTCGCGACGGTTGATGTGATTTCTTTCTTTCAGCGAGAGCAAAGATGAATGCGCAACAACAATAGCATCAAACTTATCCGAAATGGGAATCGAGTCATCTGCCGCGATGAAAGATGTTCCTTCAAACAAGCAGAAGTCATTCTCGCGCGGAGAGCTTCTTTCAGAAGCGTACAAAGATTTGCTGTCCATTCGTTCAACGTTCATATCTTCTTTTGCACAAATGAGACACGCGTTAGCAAAATCCAGGTAATTTTGCAGAGATATGAACTGAATTGACATCAATGAACTGAACTAGTTCATTCCTTCAACTCCCGACCTGTTTTCGCGAGAACAACAACCAAATCAGCTGATTTCTCCTTTCATCTATCAAGAGCTCACAGCCTTCATCAGCCTCAGAACATTACGTCATTTCTACTGCCGCTTGTTGATGGTACAATGCTGCCCGCTGATTGGATGTTTCTTCCTTTAGTCGATCTTCATAATACCGCTGTTAAATCGTAAGTTTGTTGGCTCAGTCCTATTATTAATGTCCATCATGTCGGAAGCAAGCTCATAAACAAACCTTTTATTTGCAGCGAATTGCTGTCCAAACCACAACAGGATCGCCTCACAAGCGCATCAGGTTCTATCGTGAAACGAACATTGCAATGGGTTCTTCTGCTTGAAGAATGGCGACCGGTAGTCTTACATAAAGTAACGACCACGGCAAAAGTAGTGCGGCTCATGTGCACTTTTCTTACAGGTGAAAACTCGTATCTTTTGTGTAAAGATTCTTTCTGTGGGATTCCATTTTGATTTTCTCTCGTTCTTCAGGTAGTGATTTATTTCTGGACAACCTGATTCATAATTACCTCAAATCATTGCTCCATATTTACACTCATTCCTCACAGTTGGCCCCTCTCGATTTCAACTCAGCTATACCAGGAATTACTTCGTTCTACGATCTGTAAGTATAGGCAATGTTAACACTGCAGATGAATGCATGAGAGACTACTAATAACACCTCATGTCCACAATTCAATTTCCTTAAACGTTCAAGCTTAATAAAGTTAGTTGAAAATTGAAATGTTTCTTTCAGATTCATCTCGTTCGTTACCCAGTATGAAGCTGTGTCGTTTGGAGACAAACTCTTCTCCTCTTTTCTAATTTTGCCCTTACAACAACGATACAACAACATGTTTAGAAAAGCTGTTTGGAATGATCATACAGGCGTGTTCAGGTCGTTTGGCTTAACTTTTGACGACGTAAGTTACGATATCAGAAACATGATGATCCAGTCTAGGTACCATGCAGCAACTTCCTAGTAATGGCCTATTCTTACCCAATAGTTGTCCAAAATTTACGAAAGATACCTTCATAAAGATCAATTTATAACAACTTCAGGATAGCATTGATCTTACGTAGCAATGGCATTATATATTTATATATTTGCAGCTAACAATTCCTGTTGAGTATTTTCTATTCCCGTCTGAATCCAGTTTTGAAATCTTAACACTGCAACTACGGGCACTGGCTACAGGCGCTTTACGGTAAGAAAACAGCAACATTTGGCTGTAGTAATTTATCAGACTATGATTTCAATGTTACTGCGCAGTAATAACAGAGTTTCCCCCCGCTTTTTAGCCAAAATTGGTCTTCAATCTTTTATTTAATCGCTGTGCATCATTTATCAAGTTACATTTTCACAAAACCAGAGGTAAACATTTACTCGAATGGTGAATACTTAAATCTCATGAAATTGAACTCCATGGGTATAACAGAGTGTATAGGAAACGAATCAGATTTTGTTTTTATACTACAGAACTTGAATTCATTCAATCAGAAATTGAAGCTTATGAATCAAGTTTTACTCCTACAAAACCAGGTATGAATAGACCTTTTTCATAATGACGTCAAACGCGGAAAGTCTGATGTTTCACGAAGTTTGATTGGCTCAATAGTTTTGTGGAGCCAATTAAATTTCGTGTAACATCAGACTTTCCGCGTTTGACGTCATTATAAGAAAGGTCTATTGTGATATATTTTGCCAGATGAAATTCTTTGTTGAGTTGTCTTTGAGTTTGAACGTTCTCTTGTTTATGTTCAAGGATGTTAGAAATGACGTCATTTTGTATCACAAACCATCGTCAGATCATCCGAAAGGATTTCAAGTCTTCTCTGCCCTTCCTCCGACACGTGAGCTGTTGCTGAGATATAAAAATGAACCCGAGGAAGCTTGGGGAGTCTGGAACCAAACTGCGTAAATTGATAGACTGGGTTTTTGGTTTATGATTAAATTAGATATTGTAAATAGAATCACGCGGTTCGTGTAAATAGTCATCCGTTGTAAAAGGCCTTGGTTCTTCTCCAATCCAGCCTTTGCTCCTTGAACAATGCAGATTAATGTTGTATTTCCTAAAGGCGCTGTTACACTACACCATTTTTCTTCCAACTTACAATGCATTTATAATGATGTTTATTGGTATGCTAAGAAAACGTTAGCAGATCGTAAGACATGTTCGTATTTGTCAACTTTAGATGTCTCAGGAGTAGAACTGCGTTGCAAGTTGCAAGGAAAGTTGCATAGTGTAACAACACCGCCTTGATTAACCATCGCGCACAAGATTATATTGGCAAGAATTGATGGTTGTGTTTTCGAGTCTGATTTCCATCCAGTGCAAAATGTCTTGTATCAGGGTAGTCCAAGGTGTGTTTTAATAGAACGGCAATACGCATGCGTGCGTTAACCACTCGTCAACACCACTTGAGTCAACACAATGTCAGTCAATCGAATTCCAAATAAACAATTAGAACTCCTTAAACTAGTTCCAGTCCTTGTTTTAGTCACGCGAGATAAACGTCAAACCATGAAAATTGGCATTTATACTTCTAAAAGTATTTTGTGAAAATAAAAGGTTATGGCTGAAAAAGGTTTGTAGAAATGAATATTTTACGATGACTTTATTATTGTAAAGATGTTTAACTCCACTTTATTATTCACAAACTCTCAAGATTTGAAGAAATGGACGACATTCTTTCACGAGGCTGGGATACCAAGGGGACCAGCAAGCGAGTAAGTCACACAAAGAAATAATGAAACCTAAATCAAACACCTGTAAAACTTCGCTCATTTCGACTTTATTCAGTGTTACACTTAAGATAGTTTGTTGCAAGCTTATTATAGATATTCTAAACCTATTATATATACTTATTATTTATCAGTTTGATCTCGTTGTATATTGCATTGTTTGATCTTGTATATATACAGTTTTATCAATCGCTTTGACTAGTTTGCTGATCAAGTAAATGTATTCTAGGTATGCAACGTTGTTTTGTAACCATCGACTTAAAGATGATTTGCTTGCTGATTTAACCAAGGTGAAGCCCCAAATTATTTTATTAGGTTGAAGCAGGATCAAATATGTGCTCCAATATCTTTCATAGTAGTGTGTAAAAGTGTTTGTACACTAAGAGTATAAGAGGTTATTCACTTCCAAGTTTACAGGCCTTTGCTCAAAATTTCTTCAATTTTCCAGTGGCTTTATCTTTGATTCTTGTTATTCAGGAGATCCTTAATGATATCGGAATTACTGTGATGGGTGATATTATGTCAATTTTAAAGCATGCTAGAGCTGTATATGCAAAGGTAGTTACTATTTCTACAATGTAATGTGGATTTCCACCATATAACAGTTCTTAGAAACAAATATTTCATTGTTTATTTTTCAGCTTGAAAGAGAGAAAACATCAAATCAGTTGGTTGACAGCCCAAAACCTCTTGACAGATTAACAAATGATGATCCTCCAATAAAGACAACAACTCTTATAAAAAAGAAAAAAGTTGTTGCCAAGCCTTCACTCAAGCCCAAATCAGGTGAGAATTCAGCCTCTTCAGCCTTTGAGTGGAGATCATAGATTTGAATAGGGGACATAGATTTGAAGTATACAATTATGAATTTGTTTCTTTTTCAGATCTTATAGAAAAAGAAGCTCCAACATCAACAACAATCCAAAAACAAATTCCAACAACACAGCCTAAAATCACTGTTACTGTTGGTGATCCACCAGTTGCAGCTAAAAAGAAACCTGCGAAAACTAGAATGACATTGTCAGAGAGGTTTGCCAGCGAACAAGTCCCACAACCAAAAGTTCCCCAGGTGTCACTGGGGAGAAGTGATTTGGCTGAAACTGTTGCAGTTAAAAAAGTTCTTGCAAAATCTAAGCCAGCCACGGAAAGATTGCCACCCAATAATAAAGGTATTCCTTAGACTGTGTTTTTGAAATTTATTATATATAGTCGGCCATTTCTTTCAAGGTATATTTGTTCAATTTCACACTTTGTAACACATGTCTGGTTTGTTTCACAGGGGCTATAAACATGACTTCAGTTAAACGAAAGTCTGCATTCGAACGACTTGGAGAAGATGAAGCAAGCAGTCTGTCAAGACACATGGAAGATTTATCACCTAAAATTAAAATCACCAAACTTGCGAAACCACGAGTTAAATCACCACCTAGTAAAGTGATCTCTTTGGTCAAGGTTAGTTAAAACTTGCTTTTTATGTCTGACGAAAAACAAACATTTTAACAATCAATGTAATCATTCCAGAATAATGAAAGCTCAGTTTTCAAACGCCTTGGTGAAACAGACCAACCGCCAAATTTGGCTTCAACAATGCGTACAGATGCTCTTACTATACATGCAATCAGAGGAGCTGGTTCACGCATTGTCTCAGATGATCCAGAAAAACCTGCGAAATCCCAGAGTGTATTACGGCCATTGAAACCCATCCGAGCTGTTCAGCCAGTCAAGCCAGTGTCATCAGTGAAGGCCCGCATATCAGACAATACGACAAAGGAATCTAGCAGAAAGTCTGTGTTCTCAAGACTGGGTAGCTAAACCTGACTGACAAGATTTTAAAATGGTTGAATCGGTCAAACCGTTTTTAGAGGAGGTTTAAGTTATAGTCTCTTGATAGATGTCTACAATGTTTAAACAGCAACAAATTGAATCATTCCTGTTAACTAAGCAGCAAACTGAAAGTAACCAGAAATATATTATTTTTTATTCACATTCTATTTGACACAGATCTTTATATTACATAATAAACACCGTCTTCATCATCATTGCTTTAACAACTCTTCATTGAATGACACAAGCTTCCGAGCCTGGTGTGTTCTTTTGTCCTAAACTTCTTGCAAGATACAATACTTGCATCCATTCTTGTAGCTCTGATTCCGTTTCGGCACAAAGGAAATACTTTCTCTGTGTGTCTTTTGGCTTCAGACAGAATGTGAAGTTTTTTGATTTTATTTCACATGTTGCAATTTCACATGAATCTAGTACAAAGGATTTAGATGTATCCTATAAAATTTAAGAGAATATCTCATGGACAATTTTGTGAAAATGTCTTGGGCAGGCAGTCATGTTTAAAATTTATGTTTGCAAGAAGAAGGGCACAATTCGTTGACCCACAAAACCCACATGTTTATAAAACAGTTAAATATTAATAGACCCATTTTTACCCTGTGTTCAATTCTGTTCAAATCATGAAATGCATAGTTTCAAGTTTAGAATTCACAAACTGGTATGGATATTCAAAGTTTTTCATGTTTTTTTATGCACTTATAACGCTAAACATGCAAGATATCGATCAAAACTATCAACTTAGTAATGTAAACAAACAATTGGCTTCGGTTCAAAAACACTGCTTACATCAGGAGAGTCGCCATAATATAAAGTTCTTTCTTTTAGTGAAAACCATTTCTTTTCCCATTGCTTCGAATGCTTCGTTCTTTTCAACAACCATCCCGATTTTTCCGTTGCCTCAGCGCCAGTTTCGCCTGTATTAGGGCTTGATGAAACATTATCTACTTCGCATTCCTTGTCTGCCGCCATATTGAAACATGTTATTCTAACACTCATATGACATTGAAATTCCTCAAAAGCAGGAATTCAATGACTAAGAAAGAAAATAATCAACGATGTGAGAGAAGGAATTCTTGGGAAAACTAAGGAAGTTTGAAAGGTTTTCGCATCCTTGCGAGGAATCGTCATCTACGTTTAGCTCCATGGCGGACGAGACGGATCAGACGGACGAATGGCTTGATTTTTCTTCGTCTTGTTTTGAAAACCAGGAAACGCTTTTCGAGGCGAAGGATGAGGAAACACAAGATCCTGAAGAAGACCTAAAGCATGAAATAAACGGCTTTAGCAAGCTTGAAGATATCCATGAACTATTGAAGCAATCACTACCAGACACCTCCGTCACAACACATGTGCGTCAGAAAACAAGTTCTTCCCAATGCACTTCAGATATTTCGGCTCTAAACGAGTCATGTAAACATTGGTAGGTAATATATTGCTTTATGACAACGCGTACTTTACAGAAATATATCAAAAGCTTGGATTGCTGACGCTAATTTATCTGATTAAATTGTTATGTCTATTTTATTTGACAGGATTTGGGTCGAGTTAATTTCCAAATTAAACGCAGTTCGCCAGCCAAAATGGATGGGTTCCTGTTTAGAGGAGTGCTTTTGTCGTTCTCTACAGGTCTCGAAAGATTTAGTAAGTAATGCTTTGAAAGCACGACTCTATGGATTTGTTTGAAATATTTGAATGAACATGTAGTATAGTATAATTTGAGCTTAATTGTCAATCATTCAATTCCGGATATAAAACGGGGCATTTTATACAATATAAGTATTAACAGATAAAGTTACAGTATTGGATGAGGCAGGACAACAAATAAAATAACTGTAAATTGATGTATCCTGGTTAAAAACATGCAGTTTCAACTTGAGAATCTTCTGCCATAGATTTTGCATGTAATCTCTCATGTTCAATGGGATGTTGCATAAGTGCCATCTGTTTTGACTTTCCCATTATCTGATGCACCATAGGGCACAAATTTTAGTAACAGAATTTGATTTCTCTTTTCTAGAATGAAAAAGAACAGCCACAAATAGAATCTGATCATTCTTGCAAAGACTTCTTTAATTTCCACAAGATTTTATCAACTAATAAGGTACCTTATAGAACGAATGATTCTGATATTGAACTAATAAATAGAGATGACAGTATACAGTCCGTTGAACTCACTGACACTGTGAAGGAAGAGTTGACAAAATCGTTAGATGATAATTTTGAGGATATTGATGCCGAGTTAGAATGGTCAGATAACGATGTGAAGGACAATACCTCGTTAAGCAATGCATCTTTGTCATCCTCGGGAATAAATGAGAACGAGGCGACTGCAGGTATTATTGTTTATTTTGACCATGCTGAGGTAATTTGCTTCTCATAATAGATAGTGAACAGTTAAACTGAGCAATTCTATTTTGATGTAGAGCTGGTTTGCCTTCCATATAAAGAGGTTCTCCATCTCCGGGATGAACTGAGAGACTACACAAAACAATATTCGGATATTCTTGTAGTGGAACTGGAGAACCGGGATGCCTACATAAGAGAAAAAGAACTAAAAAATGACTTTATATCAAGCTTTTTATCAGTTCAAGAAAAACTAAGAGAAGTTAATTCAACAACGAGCAAAAAGAAGTTTTCTTTACAATCTAGCAAGCAAAACAACCCCCCAAATAGCCAGGTTTGTATTGATTTATGAACTTATATTCTAGTAACTCAATTTGCTTTGCCATTAAGAGATGGAAGCCAACCCACCAGGGTAATACCCATCAGCAAAAGCTGTTATCAATGGGCACCCTATTCCATTTCAAATATTCTATTGATTAGTTTATCCTTCCCAAGAACAAATAAAATATGATTTTACCTTTTATATAGAGCTTAACAACAATACCATATGAAATTAAGAATGGTGGTCCAAGTATTGATATTTTGGAGAAACTCATTGAAAGTAGGTTTTCAGCAATAGGTAAAAAATTACAATAATTGATATATATTCATCATGGGAAATTGTGATAAAATATCTTGTTTATTTTTCTGTAGTTATGGAGGCAATGAAGACAAATAGTCCTAATGTCCCAACACTTCTAACAAATTATATTCTCAATGGTATGTTTTACTTTGCCTCTGAGTGCATTGCATATTTATATAGGTTATACTAACACCCTCTATGTTCCTTTAGTATTGTGCAAATAATGAACAATGGTGTCTCCATAAAACTTGGTACAAGTTTTTGCCTGGAGCAAATTGCTGGAAAACATGCTGTGTGTGTGGCCAGTCTGATTGAATTTTAGGCTGCGACTATATGTGCTGGCCATACTGACCTTTTTTAAATGAATTGAGAAATAATAAATTAATTGGACAGAATGATTTGTATTTAGTGGAATTAGGATGAATTATGGCAGGTTTAGGTAAAATTATAGAGTTTGTACAAAGGAGATTTTGTAAAGCATAGTAATATACTTATCCTTGTAAATAATTTTGTATTTTTTATAACTATAGCAAAATAAATCTATTTTATTGTATATTATTTCGCTGTTTTTATGATGTTGATTGCGGTCATTTATTGGATTTCTGTGTTTGCTCCTGTTATTCTGATTGCTTTTCATCTGCCAGAGACTAGCATCTTCCAAAGGTGATTTATGTTGCATTGCTTTCTATAAAATAAACATCCATGTTTAACAGTGAAAATTATTGTCAGTGCCCTTCATTTTTATAGACAAGTGTTCCTGTCAAGTACCTTGATCTGTTCCATGATGATAATTTCTCGATTGTGGCTTAGAAAACTGGTCACCCTTGGTGAGGCGTTCGACTTCATCCCAAGCCTTCCTGTCCGCCCAAGACGATGCACATAATCCACTACACTCACAGGAAAGTCAAAGTTGATCACATGATTAACCTAAAGATGAGATGATGGTATTGTAAATATACAATTACAGGGAAAATTTATGAGATACTTTGGAACTCTTCAAGGAGTAAACCAAAAAAACTGTCGATACACCTTTCTACAATCGCCAACTTTCACCTACATTAGTGGTATCCAGTCCTCTCGAAGCAACATTAGTACACACAAGAATAGGTGTTTCTGTTGTTTTAAAATTTTCAAGATGCAACCTTCGTTCCTAAAAAATACCATTTCATCCATTTCATTTGGAGCCAAAGATTTTTTTAACATGCTCAAAAGATTTTAACCTTTTTAGTCATGTTTCCATTCAGTCGTATTTGTGGTACTCCCCGTTCCTCAAGAAAATACGATGTCCAATCACAGCTTTTTGTTGTGTTGCAAAAAACCATAATTTTTTTCTCTTTTTGTGTCAAATCCTGTGAGACTATCTGTAGTAGCAACTCTGTAATAATGAGTTGCAATGTTGGATTTTATTTGAATTTCCAGGTTTCATGTTCTGTTATAATTAAAATCTCTTACCGCTCTTTTTGTGCTGGGAAATTTTTACAAACTTCTGGGAAATGTGCGGTAAAATCTGATGCATGCCAGAGTTGCAGATGGAGAGGTTCTGAAATAGAAAAAATCATAATGTGCTATTCAGGATTTATGCGAATGATCTGCAGACTTGTTTCATTTTGTTTGTATTTCATCTCACACATACTGGAATGATTTGACTCAGTGTTCTAAGTATCTCTCGCGGTACTGTTGTCGTAACAAACACTGTCTGTAGAAGCTGTTCACTTTCCTTCCAGGAGTTCACCTGAAAATTTCAATTGAGATAAAGTAAGTTATAGTCAAACTTCATTGATCCAAAAGATTTGAAACTCATTATGGAATCAGAACTACAACAGTGCATTTTTTAAAAGCATTTTTCAAAGAAGAGTTGTCATTGTAGTTAGCAACATACTCCTGCATATTTTAAAATTTCCAACGCCATGGATGCAAAACTTGGATCAAACATTGTGTCTGCTTCATCAAACACCAGATGGGATAAATCAGACAAAAGAATGTCACCTAAATAGAAATTATTCAAGGTAACTTAACTAAGGTTGAGTGTTGCTAGTGTTTTTGTCTCTGGCCACCTGGATCATGTTTATTATTATTAAATGTATAAACACTGGTTGGTGTACCTTTTTGTAAATATTGAAGAAGTACATGTGGTGTGGCCACCACAATATCAACTGCCTCTGATAATCCTTCATGTATCCATTTCTTAAACAAAAAGAGCTTTTGTACAGACAAGTTTTAATGCTGCTCCAAAGTTGCATTTTTTCAGTGGTGTAAAATATTTCACCTTTTTTCTTCCACTGATCAAACCAAGGGATCGCAACTTCGTGAAATGGCTGAGATACTTAACATCTCTCTGAAACAAATGGAAAAAGTGCAGTAAGTGTTAGTACAGTTAGACAGATCAATTGACACATTCGTGTTTGTAGCCACCAGACAAACACTTGAACTATATTTGAATCATACCAAAATCTGCATAGAAAGTTCTCGGAATGGTACCACAACACAAGTGCGTGGTCTGCTTGGCCTTGACACAACACCTTCTATATCTTCCTCGTTTTTCAATAGATGGATGATTGGCAAAAGATAGGCAAGCGTTTTTCCAGATCCTTGTAAAAGTAAAGCACTTGAATTTGTATTCAGGATTTCTAAAACGTCTCTGCAAAGTAGAAAACAAGTGAATCCTACCTGTATGAGATGTACAGAGAATGTTGTGACCATGCAGGATTGCTGGAATGCTTTGGACCTGATTTTTGTGTGTAATATATGAGATTAAACTGCATTGAGATGAACCGGATTGTTTCAAATGTACTAAAGGTATATTACCTGGATTGGTGTTGGATGCTCAACGTTCAGGGTTTTTATAGCATCACATAAATCTTGTTGCAAACCAAGATTGCCAAAATCTGATACATTATTGATACCATGAAGTGCAGGGTGCTAAAGAAACATGATTGTTTTCTGTATGTATGCATGCTGTCATTAATGCAATGGACCTAAACAACATAAAACCACTCACATCCTTTGAAAATGCTTTTAAAAATGTTTCCATTGGTCCTTTATTAATGCTCTCAGTTTTGACTGGAACATCTCGTGCGGATCTTCTCTTATGGGAAACTCTTACTTGAGAATGTGCTGTTGCTAACCATCTGGACTGTTTCAAAGTGAAATGTCGTGAGAATAAACATTTTTTTGAAATGCCATCTATCCACTGATTAATTATTGTTATTGGAATTATGGAATTATGAAAGATGGGAAACAAGTTTCTGCAGACTGTAATCAGTCTATTGAAGTAAACCCACAAACCCTCAGGCCTCATGTGTGGAAATAATATTTAGCAGAAATAATAATTAACGGAAAGGTCTGTAATTAACATGAAATGCGCGATAGGGCATAGGCCCATAGAAGTAAAGCCGTATGTTTTTTCCAAAGATAATTTTATAATGGTCATAGAAAGCTACAAAGAAAATCACAGTTGTGTTATCTACCTTTACGTAAGAATCAGAAATTTTGCGAATTAGTTTTGTCGAACGCATACTAGCGCATTTCTTCTTTCCTAGTCTCCTTATTTTAGTTATTTATTCTTTCAATTTTCATCCAGTCCACTCGTTTCTTCTATTTAGTCCAGAGATTTAGTCTCGTGAGGATAAATTCCATTGCTCAAAATAACTTTACGAGGATTTCCGACAAAAAGTGTCGCAGTTTGCGGCGTGTTGCAATTTTTGAATTCAAAATACTAGTTGGATACAATGGCTGCTTTCGAGGTGTCAACTTTTATTTTAGCCGTCCTTATAAGTGTTGCTTTGATATTCTTCGCTGTGTGGAATGTAAGTTTTTTGTTTTTTTTGGTGAAATATCGAAGTTCGAACTTGTTCGGTATTTCTTGGTACTTAATTCACATTTGCTGATATGCACTTTCTAATTTTCTAGATTATTTCATTTGATGATTTGAAAACGGATTATAAAAATCCTGTCGACCTTTGCAACAGTTTAAATCCTGTAAGCGTGATTTGTATTTCATACAGTCGCTGGCAGGCTTTAGCTAAAGCTAATTATTATTTCTAGTGTACTCGTTAGCATTTTATTAATTGACATTTTAATCTACATGATTCGTCTGTACTTAAAAAGGTTGTTTATCATCATTTAGATCTCTCATCAATCTGACTTTCTTTCATTTTCAGTTAGTACTGCCAGAATATGGCCTCCACTTATTTATATGTCTGTTCTTCCTTGTTGGATTTTTTTGGACATCATTGATTTGGAACATGCCACTAATTGCATATCATGTTCACAGGTCTGATTTATCATTTTGTTACCTTTGGCAAAGAATTATAATATCCTAAACTTCAAAAAAATGCCATTTGTATTACAAGTTCATGCAAACTACAAGAAAAAACATACTCCGAAAAAGACTTCTTATGAGCTAGATATGAGCTATAGACTAATATTATATTCTGGTTTGACAATGACTTTGAAATAAGGTCGAAATATCACCTTAAAATCTTCTCTTTTTGTCTATAGCTCATATCTTCAGTTTACAAGATGTCATTTTTCGAAGTATGATTTTTCTTGTACTTTATCAAATTGTCTGCTGGTAATGGTTTTTCATGCAAACTACTTGCTCAAATGAAAAAAGAAACCACACCCGATGGATCACTTCTGTTCTACACGCTTTTCTTACACATCACGCAGGCGGTGGACCGTCTGCCATGCAGGCTACAGGGTATCACAAAAATTTTCAGAGAAATTCTGATACTGTTCGTGACAAACTGGTCGAAAAATTTCTCAGCCATCTAGACCACCTATGATTGTACCTAAAGTCCTAAACATTCTGCAAAGCACTCTCAATTGTCAACCATTGCATTTTGTTTTGTATTTTTCAGATATATGAACCGACCAGTTATGAGCAGACCTGGTTTATATGATCCTACTATCATTATGAATGGCAGTGAAATGTCTCGTTGTCAAAAAGAAGGATGGGTCAAACTTGCTTACTATCTTCTTAGCTTTTTCTTTTATCTGTATAGGTGAGTGTTTACAATATGTTTGCCTACGCTTATATACAATTTTGCCTGACATAGTATTTATTAACTCTTAATTCTTTTTATTTCTGCCTTTTTTTAAGGATGATGAGTGCGATTCTCGCGTAGCCAATGTTTTGTTGAACTCTTTTTTTTGTGCAAAGGCAAAGAATGACAAAGACAGATTTCCAAGAGTTTTGTACATTTCATCGATCGAACTACAGTCATTTAAAGCACTTTAAACTGAAAATAAGGTTAGACATTTAGTTTACTATAAATACAAAAACAGTTATGACTTATGTAGTAGTGCTGCACTGTTTAGAATCCGTTCAAAACAAAACGTTCAATCTTTATCTAACTTTTTTGGCACTAATTTTCCCCCATGTTTACCCCCACCATGTTATTTTTACAACAATATATGTATTGTTTATGAAATTCGTAACGTTTTATGATTTTATTACAACGGAACTGTGCTAGAACAGGCTTAACAGCTGGACACAATTGTTTTTATTTATTTTTTTCTTGTGGTCCGAACTATTGTCTGAACTCCGAATTCATATTTTAGCGTTTTCTGCAATCTGATTGGCTACACGAGCGGTCCATATTGTCCATATGAGGCAGTACGGACCGCGCGACATTTAAAAGCGCAGAGCCAACGCTAAAATATGAATTCGGACGGCAAGAAAAAGATAAATTTATTATTTACCAGTTAAGTCGGTCCCTATAAGGAAATATTTCCCTCCCTCTCAAAAACGTCCTTCGGCCTCCCCCTTACCCTTACCATTTTGGTCAAAATTGACGACTTTTTCAATGTTCGAAAAACCAACTAATATTATCTAAAAGTAAATATTATCTAAAAAAAAAATTAAATGAAAGATGTTAGTCTTAGGAAGATATTTTTAGAATTTTAAGACAGTTTTTGAACCATTCAAAAAGTCGTCAAAATTGACCAAAATGGTAAGGGGTAAGCTTTACCATTCTGGTCAAAATTGACGACTTTTTCAATGTTCCTAAAACCAACCAAATATGCTCTAAAATGAAAGATATTAGTCTTACAAAACCATTTTTAGCACTTTAAGACAGTTTTTGAACAGTTTAAAAAGTCATCAAAATTGACCAATATGGTAAGGGTGGTAACCCATACTGCCTTTCTTTGTAAATCGAGTTTGTCAAACTGCTTGCTCTGGAAAAATGTTTGCATCTTGCCTTTAACTCACAATTGAAAATACTCCAAAATTCCAGTCGAAATTATCAATGATAAAACACCATACTGCCTAAGGCTTACCCTTTACCATTTTGGTCAATTTTGACGACTTTTTCAACGGTTCGAAAAGTGTCTTAAAATGTTAAAAATGGCTTCCTAAGACTAATATCTTTCATTTTAGATCATATTTGGTTGGTTTTTGGAACATTGAAAAAGTCGTCAAAATTGACCAAAATGGTATAAGGGTAAGTCTTACCATTTTGGTCAAAATTGACGACTTTTTAAACGGTTGGAAAAGTGTCTTAAAATGCTAAAAATGGCTTCCTAAGACTAATATCTTTCATTTTAGATCATGTTTGGTTGGTTTTTGGAACATTGAAAAAGTCGTCAAAATTGACCAAAATGGTATAAGGGTAAGTCTTACCATTTTGGTCAAAATTGACGACTTTTTCAATGTTCGAAAAGCCAACCAAATATTATCTAAAATGAAAGGTATTAGTCTTACAAAACCATTTTTAGCACTTTAAAACAGTGTTTGACCAATGTGGTAAGGGGTACGACACTGCCTTTCTTTGTCAATCGAAAATACACCAAAATTCATGTCGCAAAAGCTCCATAACCTATGATGAATAACGTCTGCATCGTTCCAAAGAAGTTCAAACTGCTTGCTCTGGAAAAATATTTGCATCTTGCCTTTAACTCACAATTGAAAATACTCCAAAATTCCAGTCGGAAGTGCTCCATAATCAATGATAAAACACCATACTGCCTAAGGCTTACCCCTTACCATTTTGGTCAATTTTGACGACTTTTTAAACAGTTGGAAAAGTGTCTTAAAATGCTAAAAATGGCTTTGTAAGACCACTATCTTTCATTTTGGAGCATATTTGGTTGGTTTTTGGAACATTGAAAAAGTCGTCAATTTTGACCAAAATGGTAAGCCTTACCCCTTACCATTTTGGTCAATTTTGACGACTTTTTCAACTGTTCAAAAACTGTCTTAAAATGCTAAAAATTGCTTCCTAACACTAATATCTTTCGTTTTAGAGCATATTTGGTCGCTTTTTGGAACGTTGAAAAAGTCGTCAATTTTGACCAAAATGGTAAGCCTAACCCCTTACCATTTTGGTCAATTTTGACGACTTTTTCAACTGTTTAAAAATGGTCTTAAAATGCTAAAAATGGCTTCCTAACACTAATATCTTTCACTTTAGAGCATATTTGGTTGATTTTTGAAACATTGAAAAAGTCGTCAATTTTGACCAAATGGTAAGCCTTACCCCTTACCTTTTTGGTCAATTTTGACGACTTTTTCAACGGTTCGAAAAGTCTCTTAAAAAGCTAAAAATGGCTTCCTAACACTAATATCTTTAATTTTAGAGCATATTTGGTTGCTTTTTGGAACATTGAAAAAGTCGTCAATTTTGACCAAAATGGTAAGCCTTACCCCTTACCATTTTGGTCAATTTTGGCGACTTTTTCAATTGTTCAAAAACTGTTTTAAAATGCTAAAAATTGCTTCCTAACACACTAATATCTTTTATTTTATAGCATATTTGGTTGCTTTTTGGAACATTGAAAAAGTTGTCAATTTTGACCAAAATGGTAAGCCTAACCCCTTACCATTTTGGTCAATTTTGACGACTTTTTCAACTGTTCAAAAATGGTCTTAAAATGCTAAAAATGGCTTCCTAACACTAATATCTTTCATTTTAGAGCATATTTGGTTGCTTTTTGGAACCTTGAAAAAGTCGTCAATTTTGACCAAAATGGTAAGCCTTACCCCTTACCATTTTGGTCAATTTTGGCGACTTTTTCAATTGTTCAAAAACTGTCTTAAAATGCTAAAAATTGCTTCCTAACACACTAATATCTTTTATTTTATAGCATATTTGGTTGCTTTTTGGAACATTGAAAAAGTTGTCAATTTTGACCAAAATGGTAAGCCTACCCCTTACCATTTTGGTCAATTTTGACGACTTTTTCAACTGTTCAAAAATGGTCTTAAAATGCTAAAAATGGCTTCCTAACATTAATATCTTTCATTTTAGAGCACATTTGGTTGCTTTTTGGAACATTGAAAAAGTCGTCAATTTTGACCAAAATGGTAAGCCTTACCCCTTACCATTTTGGTCAATTTTGACGACTTTTTCAACTGTTCAAAAACTGTCTCAAAATGCTAAAAATTGCTTCCTAACACTAATATCTTTCACTTTAGAGCATATTTGGTTGATTTTTGAACATTGAAAAAGTCGTCAATTTTGACCAAATGGTAAGCCTTACCCCTTACCTTTTTGGTCAATTTTGACGACTTTTTCAACGTTCGAAAAGTCTCTTAAAAGCTAAAAATGGCTTCCTAACACTAATATCTTTATTTTAGAGCATATTTGGTTGCTTTTTGGAACATTGAAAAAGTCGTCAATTTT